CACTCAGCGATGATCAGGAGTTATTCCTGACTCTGCACTCAGGAGTTACTCCTGGTGGTGCTCGGGAGACCATATGGGATGCTGGGAATCGAACCTGGGTTGGCTGTGTGCAAGACAAACTCCCTCCCCGCTGTACTATCACTCCAGCCCCTGAAGATTTTTTTTGAATAATTCATGGTGTAAATCAGCAGCGTGCAATGTGTGCTGGGGACATGGAAAGAATTTGCTCACAGGAGCAGAGAAACCACTGAATAGGGAAAAGGTGCTTTTTATTAGTGTGGAAAAAGCTTCATATTGGAAAGGATTTGCATCCCCAGAGGCTGGAAAACAGCTTCACAGAGAAGGGAGTAGGAGGCCGGAGTGATAGTACAGTGGGGAGGGTACTTGCTTGCTATGTGGCCTGCCCAGGTTCCATCCCTGGCATGCCCACTCTGGTTCCCTGAGCCCCTCGGAGTGATCTCTGAGCACAGAGCCAGGAGTAAGCCCTGAGCACTGCCAGATGTGGGACGAGAGAGAGAGAGAGAGAGAGAGAGGAGTCAGTGGGGCACTGGGCACATACAACACATACAGCCAATACAGGAGTTGGATGATATTAAGACACTCAATTTTATTTTGGTCCTGGGGCCACAGCCAGCAGTGCTTAGCGACTGCTCCCTCCTCCCATGTTCGGGTGCTTGAGAAAACCAGGATCTCCAGCCCCTGGATGTGGAATTTAATCTTGAAGATAATGAAAGACCAGTGACAGGGGCCAGACAGAATGTGGAGAGGAGGTTGAGGGGGGTTGATTAGAATTTTTGTTTGGGGGCCACACCCAGCGATTCTCAGGGGTTACTCCTGGCTCTGCACTCAGGAACTACTCCTGGCGATGCCTGGGGGACCCTATGGGATCGAACCCAGGGCTCTATAGGGTGCAGGGCATCAAATGCAGGTCAGCTCCACGCAAGGCAAGCACTGTATATTCACTCCAGCCCTGGCTGAGCTTTTATATTTTAGCAGACAGTCAGATCGAAGCTGCTGCACTTCCTGTCCTTCCTGGTCTTCAGTTCTCTTCCCCAAAGGTACCCTGTGCCAGTTTGGCCTCAGATGGTGCAGCAGGCTTGGGGCAATGCCCATTTCCTCTGTCCTGTGGATAGCATGGCCAGTGCTTTCCTCTGCAGTGCATTGGAGCGGGAGATCTGGTTGGCCGTGTCTTAGCTACGAGGATATTGGAAAACTTACACAGCCTTCCAGAACCTCATCTCTAGAACAGAGATACGAGAATTGAATTAGGTAAAGATAATGAGACAAGAATAATGACCACGAAACAAACAACCGTGTGGCAGGCGAGCCCTGTTCCAGGAACATACATTAGCTTGCTAAAACATGAATAATATCCCACAGTGTTTAGGCCTGGAGAAGTTGTGCTGTGGCTAAGAGCCTGCCTTGGTCCTGCGTTCACATCCATAGTGTCAGGGTCAGGGACGTGTCTCCATGGCAGAGCACTGGTCTGGCATGTCCGAGGCTCAGTTCTGACCCTAACACAGATACAGCAAGAACAAAATGGCAGCAAAACCAAACAAAAACCGGGGCAGGGAAGAGGGCTCAAGAGGAACACGGGAATGCAACACCCCCAGCACTGCTGTTTGTGACCCCCAGATTAAAGCAATAAAGAACAAATTCTGGGTGTCCCATGTGTGCTGAGTAAGCAAAGTACTGGTAACTCAGCACCTGTGGTTCCCAGCACAACCAGCACTTCCCGGCCTCACCGCCGGGTGAGCGCCACAAAGCCAGGTTTGAGCACTGCATCTAAAGGAAGTGCAAGCTAGGGCAGGAGGTAGGGCATTTGCCTTGCACACAGCCAACCCGGGTTCAATCTCTGATACTGCATAGGGCCCCCAGAGAACCAGGAGTAAGCCCTGGGCACTTCCGATGTGGCCCAGAACACAAGCCCAACAAAAATAACATTTACTGGGGCGGTTCCCAGGACGTTTCTCAGGTGCTCGGCTTCTCGCGTCTGTGCTGGATTTAACCGCCACCATGTCGAGCAAAAGGGCAAAGACCAAGACCACCAAGAAGCGCCCCCAGCGCGCAACATCCAATGTGTTTGCAATGTTTGACCAGTCACAGATTCAGGAGTTTAAAGAGGCCTTCAACATGATTGATCAGAACAGAGACGGTTTCATTGACAAGGAAGATCTGCATGATATGCTTGCCTCCCTGGGGAAAAAAATCCAACCGATGAGTATCTAGATGCCATGATGAATGAGGCTCCAGGTCCCATAAATTTTACCATGTTTCTCACGATGTTTGGTGAGAAGTTAAATGGCACAGATCCAGAAGATGTCATCAGAAATGCCTTTGCTTGCTTTGATGAAGAAGCCACTGGTACCATTCAGGAAGATTACCTGAGAGAACTGCTTACCACAATGGGAGATCGGTTTACAGATGAGGAAGTGGATGAGCTGTATAGAGAAGCACCTACTGACAAAAAGGGAAATTTTAATTACATTGAGTTCACACGCATCCTCAAACATGGAGCGAAAGACAAAGATGACTGAAAAGAACTTCACTTTCCAGCCAAAAGCTCCTTGTTGCCAATTTGGGTATTTCTGAGATTTTCTCTTAGAGCCTATTGCATGTCCTTAGCTGTTGCCTTTTCTTATTGTACTTATTCTCAGCCATTTTGGGCACATGCATCTCTATAATCAGACTGGAAACAGGACTTACTCTTATTTACAGAATAGAAAATAGGGTAATTTAACTTACCATCTCCTCTCCCCCAAAATAACTGCACACAAAATCTGTACACAGAGTCAATATATTTTTTCAGAGAAGGTTATTCACCCAATTTTTTCTGAATCATAATTAAACTTTATGATAAAAAAAATAACATTTACTTCATGATGGGGACCTAAGACTTATTAGATTCCTCCCCTGTTTCCTGCCGGTCTCCATACTTTGTCAGTAGCTGATCTTTTGGCCTACTCCCCTCTTCCAAAGGCTTTACTGAGTCCCACAAATCAACATAAGGGAAAAGCAGAGGAGATTTAATTTAGGGTCAGGAAGCAGCCAGTGAGTTCTTTCCAGCATTATTTGAAAAGGAAGTACTTAAGGCTTAGAAATAAGCTGTACTTCAACCAAATTATAATTTAATACCCTTAGCTCTTCAACTTAATTTTAGGTTCTGGGTCCTGCAGAAGCCAGAGACGGCTGCCTCCTCCTTTGACATGTCCATGGGTGGTTTTGATGATTAGTGACCGTTTTCAGTCCAAATGATCAGAAGAAACATACAAGTGTGCTTCGTGCTGTTTCGGGAACAGCTTTGGGAGATGTAAGTTTGGTCTGAGTTATCTGACCCAGTCTGGGCCTGGCTGGTTTCTGAGGCCTCCAAAGCCCCCGTCTTTATCTGCAAATGCTTGGAAGGTCACCTCCAGCTCACCCACTGCTGTCCTTCTAGGAACACTGCACACGATAGCCTTTCTTTTCCTGCTTTGTGCAGGTTTTAGTAACTAGATCCTCTTTGAGGCGCTAAAGCCGGGATTAAAATGAACTCTGTAGCAGCCCCAGGATTACGGGCTCAGGAGAATAATCTTGGGTTGACTGTGACATGAGTTCACTGAAGTCAGCAGCAGAGGGAGAGGCAGCTCTGGGCTTGGTTTGCTCCTGGATCCCCAGACGTCAGTACTGATGGGTCTCTCATGGGGGCATATGGGATTTGAGTGGTTGTTCTTATTGTTTTCTTTTTTAGGAGTCACGCCCAGCGATACACAAGGGTTACTCCTGGCTCATGTGCTCAGGAATTACTCCTGGCAGTGCTCGGGCGACCATATAGGATGCTGGAAGTCGAACCTGGGTCGGCTGTGTGCAAGGCAAACGCCCTACCTGCTATGCTATCGCGCCAGCCCCTTGAGTGGTTGTTCTTGAGAAACAGGCGGGGAATGGGCAGTCTGGAGAAGCAGTGATTATTCCCCAAAACTGACTGGAGCTCTGGGCCCCACTCCTTTTTTTTTTTTTTCAGTGGTGGGGTGGTATATTTGGTGATGCTCAGGGGTTCCTCCTGGTTTTGTGCTCAAGAATCACTCCTGGTGGTGCTCCGAGGAATATATGGTATTGCAGAGATTGAACTCGGGTTAGTCATATGCAAGGCCAGTGCCTTACCTGCTGTATGGCCCCTTCTGTCTTTTATTTTTGGGTTTTGGGAAACATACAGACCATATAGAGTGCTGGGATTGAACTTGGCTAAGTGGCATGCACGGCAATCACCTTACCCCCTGTTCTGGGTAAGGCCCTTGGGTCCCATTTTCATCCCTGATCAATGGAGCGGAACCCAAGGAAGACAGGAGTCATTGAAACATTCCATAACTCACCTGAGTCATCCCTGAAGCACAGCACTCAGTTAGCGGCAGGTTTGCCCTCTCTTCTGGACCCTCTTCTTTCCTTCTTGCCTTCCTTGGCTGGGGAGGTGGCTTCAGGGACCGGGAACACAGACTTTGTATGTTGGAATCCCAAGTTCCATCCTCGGTGCCACATGTTTCAAGCACTGAGCACTGCAAAGAGTAGTTCCTGAACACTGAGCTGGGAGTAGTTGGGAGCACTGCTAGATGTGTTGCCTTCCTTTTCAGGTGGGCATGGAGCTCAGTAGTAGGGCACTGGCATGTGAAGCACTGGGTTCAGTCCTTGGCACCGTGTGTGTGTGTGTGTGTGTGTGTGTGTGTGTGTGTTATTTCTCCTCTGGAAATAGATCTCTCTTTTTTTTGGCCTTTTGAGTCACACCTGGTGATGCTCAGGGGTTACTCCTGGCTCTACGCTCAGGAATCACGCCTGGCAGTGCTTGGGAGACCATATGGGATGCCGGGGATTGAACCCGGGTCTGTCGTGTGCAAGGGAAACTCCTTACCTGCCGTACTATTGTTCTGGCCCCGGATTTATGTTATTTTATTTTTTTTGCCGTGGCACAACCCCAGAAGCTGCAGGGTGCTGTGCAGAGGAGAAGAAGTAATTTTCTCTTCTCTCTTTTCCAGCAACAGCTGCAGGCGTATGTGGCCTGGGTGAACGCACAGCTGAGGAAGAGACCTGCGGTGAAGCCCGTGCAGGACCTTCGGCAGGACCTTCGGGATGGAGTGGTCCTGGCCTACCTCATCGAGATCGTTGGTCAGTTTCAGCCAGAACCCTGGCGTGACATCCTCTCGCCTCCGTACGCCCTTTAGAGCCGCTTCTCTCAGTTGCATGGAGGCAGAATAGAAAACTCAGTATGGACCTTGGCTCATCACTCAGTTCTTTAGCATCGAGCAGGCTGTGCCAGGCGTTGGGTTGTGCTCTGAGAATGTGACGGTGAGCACAGTCTGTCCTCTCGTGAGTCTCCCAAAAGCTCAGGAGAGACAGAAACATCAGTTCCACACAGATTCTTAGTCCTCCCGGGGAATCAGTACTGGTGGGAACCCAGGGGAGCTGCCCAGCCCTGCCATGGGCTTGTCAGAAGAATTAATGTCAAACCTGTGCTAGAAAAGGACACAGTAGGGGCTGGAGAGATAGTACAGTGGATAGGGAGTTTGCCTTGCACACGGCCGACCCGGGTTCAGTCCCTGGCATCCCATATGGTCTCCCAAGCACTGCCAGGAGTAATTCCTGAGTGCAGGAGCCAGGAGTAACCCCTGAGCATCACTAGGTCTGGCAAGCAAGCAAGCAAGCAAGCAAGAAAGAAAGAAAGAAAAAGAAAAAAAGAAAAGGAAACAGTAGCCAGGTAAAGAGAAGGTTCAGGGATGGAACTCAGTGGTAGAATACCTGTGAGGCGCAAACCTGCAGCTATCCTAATCACGTATAAGCAATATAAATGTATGTTTGTGTTTTTCCAAAACCCAGGTGTACCCCAAAACAAACAAACAGTAAATTCCGAAGGCTCTCCAAAAGACATTCGTTTCCCTTTTCTCCATCTAACTTACGTACATGGAGATTTAACTCACTTACTTGCCTACCTAGCGATGATTTTCAGGCTCTGTCAAGTAGCTCCTTCTTAGTATCTGGAAGCTATGAATTGCGGATGGTAATTGTCCCCTTGAGCTCCAGATGTTTCCTTTCTTCGAACAGCAGGAGAAAAGCTGAGTGGGGTCCAGCTGAGTCCCAGGAACCAACAGGAGATGAAGAATAACGTGGAGAAAGTGCTACAGTTCGTGGCCTCCAAAAAGATTCGGATGCACCAGACTTCGGCTAAAGGTCAGTGTCTTCTTGCAGGTGCACTCAGCTGGAGAACTGCCCGGGGAGGATTAGGCATGTTTTTTATACAATTTGTTTTTAATCTTTCAAAATATTATTCTGGGGCCAGAGCAATCGTACAGCGGGTAAAAGATTTGCTTGCCTGTCGCCCACCAGGGTTCAATTCCCGGCGTTTCATCTGGTTCTCCTGAGCACCACCAGGAGTGATTCCTGAGTGCAAAGCCAGGAGTAATCCTTGAGCATCGCCAGGTGTGGCCCCCAAACAAAGCACTGTAGCACTGTTCTCCCATTGTTCATCGATTTGCTCGAGCAAGCACCAGTAACATCTCCATTGTGGGACTTGTCACTGTTTTTGGCATATCAAATACACCACAGGCTCTGTCGTATGGGCAGCATACTCTCAGTAGCTTGCTTGGTTCTCCGAGAGAGACAGAGGAATTGAACCTGGGTTGGCTGCGTGCAAGGCAAATGCCCTACCCGCTGTGCTATCTCAAACAAAACTGTCACTGTCACTTTCACTGTCCTCCCGTTGTTCATTGATTTGCTCGAGTGGGCCCAGTAACAATGTGAGACTTGTTACTGTGTTTGGCATATCTAATACGTCACGGGGAGCTTGCCAGGCTTTGCTGTGCGGGTGAGATACTCTCGGTAGCTTGCCGGGCTCTCTGAGAGGTGCAGAGGAATCGAACTCGGATTGGCCATGTTGGCTGCGTGCAAGGCAAACGCCCTACCGCTGTGCTATCCTCCAGCCCCTCAAACAAAACAATAAAACAAAATATTATCCTTTTGGGAGATGAGTGATTATCAGAATCTGAGTGTGATGGAAGCCTGGGTGGAGATAAACATTTTTTTTTATTCCTTTTAACCGAATAAAGATTTTGCCTGGAGTGGGGGGCTACATGCTGGGAACCCACCTGGCTGTGCTTAGGAGCTAACTTCCTTCTCAGAGACAGCATTGCTCCTGGCAGTGCTTGAGTGACCATGTGGTGTATTGACCTGCACCTCCTCTGTGCCAAGCATACGCACTAGCTTTGAGCTTTCTCCTCAGCCCCCATAAAGGTTTATTTATTTATTTATTTATTTTGGTTTGGGGGCCACACCCGGAAATATTCAGTAGTTACTTCTGGCTCTGTGGGCAGGAATTACTCCTGATGGTGCTCAGGGGACCAGATGGGATGCTGAGAATCGAACTGAGATTGGTTGGCTGTGTGCAAGGCAGGCCTCATATCTGCTGTACTGTTTCTCTAGCCCCTAGATCACATATTTTATTCAGTCTAGTAAAAATCATTTCAATAATCAGCCGGGTTCGATTCCTCCGCCCCTCTCAGAGAGCCTGGCAAGCTACCGAGAGTATCTCGCCTGCACGGCAAAGCGTGGCAAGCTCCCCGTGATGTATTTAATATGCCAAACACAGTAACAACAAGTCTCATGATGGAGACGTTACTGGGCCCGCTCGAACAAATTGATGAACACCGGGAGACTGTGACTGTGATAAAGGTTCCCCAGCAGTGTTCCAGGCATGGGGACCATTCCCAGTCATAGTGACCCAGTGTGAGGGCTCATGGTTTGTGCTCAAGATTTGGTGTTTCTGGGCCTCAATGGCATTGGGCCACTGTTTTATTTTTATTTTTGATTTATTTTGAACCACTTGGGCCACACCCAGCGGTTTAGGGCTTACTCCTGACTCTGCTCAGGGATCACGCTTGGCAGGTCTCTGGGGACCATGGAGTGCCAGGGGTTGAATCCGGGTCAGGTGCATGTAAGGCGACCCACTGTTCTATTCCTCCAGCCCCTGTTTGTTTGCTTTGTTTTTTTTTTCTCGTTTCTGTTTTTGTTTTTAAATTATCTTCGGTCCCAGGGGCTAGAGCAATAGCACAGCGGGTAGGGCATTTGCCTTGTACAGGGCCGACCCGGGTTTGATTCCCAGCATCCCATGTGGCCCTCCAAGCACCACCAGGAGTGATTCCTGAGTGCAAAGCCAGAAGTAACCCCTGAGCATCGCCGGGTGTGACCCAAAAAGCAAAAAAACAAAACAAAACAAAACAAAACCAAAAAACCCTATCTTAGGTCCCAGCTTAGAAATTGCTTCCTCTGGGTATCCTCCTCTGAGCTGTCTAGAGTAAACTCGGCTCCTCTTCTCTGAGCTCCATCATTGTGCACTATTGCACTTATTGGCTTTGTTTTGTTTTTTTGGATGCTTTTGAGGAAGGCGGGGGAGGGGGGAGAGGATAAGAGAGAGAGAGAGATAGAGAGAGAAAGAGGAAGAGAGAGAGAGGAAGAGAGAGGACGAATAACATGCTCAAGAGAGAACGTGGTCTTCTCCAAAGGTGGCGAGAGCCCCAGTACACATCCCAGCATTAGATATGAAAGTACACATCTCAAGAGGGGAGATGCGGATGACACATGTGTTCGGGCACCACATGCACTTGACTGCAAAACCTGGGCACAGGTAGCACATGGGCCCGGGCAGCATATGTGCCTACCCCATTGCCCTTGACTGCAGTTGTTTTTATTGATGGACCCTGGTGGTGCTTGGTCAGTTGAACTCAGGCCCTCGAACCTAACTGCTTCTATGTCTTTTGTCTCCCGGGCTGGACATAGTTCTGTAAGGACAGAGGCGCTGGCTGCCTGGCTTGTCTGTTCTCCCAGCAGAGTCGGGTGGCACAGGGGTGTCCTCAGCACTCAGCCTCTCCTCCTCCATCCCTCAGATATTGTGGAAGGAAACCTCAAGTCCATCATGAGGCTGGTCCTGGCCCTGGCGGCGCATTTCAAACCCGGCTCCAGCAGGACGGTGAACCAGGGACGGGGCTCCCGAGCCCCTCTGCAGAGCCACCAGCCACACTGTGCCACCGCCGTGGCCCACGGCGCAGCTGCTGCCCTGGCAGACGTGTGTCATGATATGTCACGGTCGGGACGGGACATCTTCCGCTACAGACAGAGGTAGGTAAGGTGGCGTCTGGTCTTGGGACCCCCTTCACTCCCCTCACGTGTCTTGTCCTTGAGATCAGTGGTTTTCAACCTTTTGCTTTGTTTTCGTTCACACTTGAGGGGGGTGGGGGTGGGGTTACTCCTGGTTCTTAGCTTCGGGGACCCTAGGGTCCCTGCGACTGAACCCAGGCCTCCTACATGCAGACCATGCATTCCAGCTATCTTCCTGGCCCATTTTCAGCCATTTTTACTCTTGCAGACTGGCACCAGTCCATGGGTCTGAGGTTCAAAACCACTCTGTGGGGCTGGGGAGGCAGATCAGTGGTAAGAATGTGTGGCTTGGGGGCTGGAGCGATAGCACAGCGGGTGAGACGTTTGCCTTGCATGCAGCCAACATGGCCAACAGAGGTTCGATTCCCAGCATCCCATATGGTCCCCCGAGCACCGCCAGGAGCAATTCCTGAGTGCATGAGCCGGGAGTAACCCCTGAGCTTCGCCGGGTGTGACCCAAAAAGCAAAAAAAAAAAAAAAAAAAAAAGAATGTGTGGCTTGCATGTGAGAGGCTATAGGTTCAATTCCCGGCACCAGAGAAAAAGATGACAGAAGCCACTACCTGCTCTGGCAAGAGCTCAGTGCGCCGTGGCATCTGCTTTTGTATGTAGGGACCCCAGGTTTGGTCCCCAGTACTCACTGCATGTTCTTCCTGAGCAGTCAGCCAGGAGTAGCCCCCAAACACTGCCAGGTGTGGTCCAAAACAAACAAGAAGACCCCACTATTTTGTTTATTATTTTCTTGTTAGTTATTTATTAATCTTTCTTTCTTCCTTTCTTCCTTTCTTTCTTTCTTTCTCTCTCTCTCTCTCTCTCTCTCTCTTTCTTTTTGGCTTTTTGGGTCACACCCGGGCATTGCTCAGGGCTTACTCCTGGCTCTGCTCTCAGGAATCACTCCTAACAGTGCTCAGGGGACTATCTGGGATGCCGGATATCGAACCCAGGTCAGCCACGTGCAAGGCAAATGCCCTCCCTGCTGTGCTATCGCTCTGGCCTCTGTATCACAGTTATTTAATAGCTCCCTCTCACCACTTTATTGAGGCACTTAATTTAAAATACTGTTAGTGATAGCTTCATTCATACAGTGTTCCAACACCACTACCCATTACCAGAGTGTCAGCTTCCCTCCACCCATGTCCCAAAGTCCCTTCCCGTCCCCTCTGCTCCGCTGATAAGTTCAGACTCTCCTATCTTAAGTGCTACTGTGCAGCAGCAGGAAATATGCTACCCAGCAAGCCCAATCGACAATGCAAGGAGCACAGTAGCGACTGGCGCATGCCTCAAGAGAAAAGCCTCGCTTTGTCTGTGTTGGTTTGGGGACCGCACCGAGCAGTGCTCAGGGCTTACTCCTGCCTCCGTGCTTACAGATCATTCCTGGAGGTGCAGGGGATCAAACCTGGGTCAGTTGGTTGCTTGAAAGGCAACCAACCTGCTGTACTATATCTCTACATCCCCCATCTTTTTTTTTTCACTGCTTGCAGTGTTTGGGGAACCATATGGGATGCTGGGAATCGAACCCAGGTCGGATGTGTGCAAGGCAAATGCCCTACCCGCTGTGCTGTCGATCCAGCCCTCCCCCCCATCTTCTTTATTTTACTTAATCCTCGTTATAACCCTAGGAAGCCTTTTTTTTTCCTTTTCAGGTCACACCTGGCGATGCACAAGGGTTACTCATGGTTCTGCACTCAGGAATTACTCCTGGCGGTGCTTGGGGGACCATATGGGATGCTGGGAATTGAACCTGGGTCGGCCGCCTGCAAGGCAAACAGCCTATCCGCTGTACTATTGCTCCAGCCACCGGAAGCCATTCTTATTGTTTCACTTTAGAGACAGGGAAACTGAGATTCAGCCAAGCTGAGTGACTAGAGTTGGCTTCGGAGCTCTGCGGGCATTGGCTGGGGAGTCGACTCCATGGTCTGTTACTGAAACAGCACAAGCCAAAGCACTCTGAAGGGATGGACCAGGCTTTGGCACTGAGACGTTGATCTGAGGAAATAGCTGGTTCAGCCACAGCTGCTCAGCTCGTCTCTGAATTGAATATCTATCTCTCTGCCCCCCATAAGAAGCAGACAACTCCCTCTTTGTGGCATCCATATTTTAATAACGAGTCACCAAATCCTGCCTGTGTCTCGGTTTCTCTCAGAATCCATCAGCTTCCTCTTTTTTGGGGGGGAATGTGGATCGGGGGTCGGGGCCACACCTGGCAATGCTCAGGGTTTACTCCTGACTCTGCATTTAGGAATTACTCCTGGCGGTGCTTGGGGAACCATACAAGATACCAGGATTGAACCCAGGTCAGCCGTGTGCAAGGCACATGCCCTACCCGCTGTACGATTGCTCCAGCTCCCATCCTCATCCTCTTTTGCTTTCCCCTGCCACTCACTCGCTGTTTCTCACTTGACTTGTCATAATGGCCTGACATTTAAAAAAAAAATGGATTGGTCATTGTTTCACAGTAGGGTTGAGTTTCCTGGGTTTAGCTTCCCACTTCTGTATGTGTGGAATTCTCACCGATCCCACATCCAAAGTCCCAGGGCCGCCCACCACCAAAAACACACCTTGATTCCTTCCTCCCACCCACCTTTCATTCCCTCTGGTCACCTCCATAGTTTTCAGGGGTGTAGGAGTTAGTTTTGCTCATACCAGTTTGTTTGCTTTAGTTATTCATATGCATAAAGGTGAAACCATCTGGTAATTGCCTTTTGTCCTTTGTCTTTCACTCAGCAAAATCACCACATCCTTTCCATTCAGTTTGCCCTCCCCCCTCCCAGAATGGTTTTATTCTTGTTTTTGTTTTAAGTGAAGAAAGAGAGTGTTTACTGAACAAAACATACTGAGAAAGATCTGAGTGGAGGAGCTGGAGTGATAATATAGCAGGGAGGATGTGTGCCTTGCACACAACTCACCAGTGTTTGATCCTCAGCATCCCATATGGTCTCCGCACCCCCCAAGCCCCCCCAGCCCCCACCTCCAGTGATTCCTGAGTGCAGAGCCAGGAGTAAGTCCTGAGCACCACTCAGTGTAGTATGGCCCAAAATAAAAACAAAAAAGGTGAGTGCAGAGAAAGACGAAGGAGAGGAAGTATGCAGTACTCCAGAGAGAACAGAGACTTGAAGAGCAAGCAAAGAGACACAGAGACAAGCCAGGGAGATTTCGTGTTCTGGAGAGAAAAAGCCAATAAATGGTTTCATCTTTTTATGGCACCACTGTTTTATCGAGGCATCTGTTGACAGAGTCCCACCGCTCTTTTAAATTTTTTTAATTTTATTTTTTACTTTTTTCAGGGGAGTTGGACCATACCTGGCTGTGCTCAGGACTTATCCTGGGCTCTATGCTCAGGGATCACTCCTGGCAGGGCTTCGGGGGGCGGGAGCAGGAACCAGTGGGGGGGTACTGGGGCTTGAACCCGGGTTGTCTGCCTATAAAGCAAGCACCCTACCTGCTGTACGATCTCTCTGCACCTGCACCTTTTTTTTTTGCTTTTTGGGTCACACCCAGCAATGCATAGGGGTTACTCCTGGCTCTGCACTCAGGAGTTACTCCTGGCTGTGCTCGGGACCATATGGGTTGCTGGGGATCGAACCCGGGTCGGCTGTGTGCAAGGCAAACGCCCTACCCGCTGTGCTATCTCTCCAGCTCCCTCCACCTTTTTAAAAAAGGAGATTTTATTTTATAGTCAGCAGAAAATAAAAATCGTGTTTGTGATTTTTGGTTTTGGACCCCAGAATTTTAAATGCAGTTTTTTTTCTCCCCCCGGGGTGGGGGGGGGGCAGGCGGAGGGGATATGTTCCAGTTCATCTCGGGGAGTTTCCAGGCTAAAAGGTCAAGCCGTCCTTTGATGGTCAGACGGGCAGAAAACACTCCGTGGCTTCTGCTTCTGCGGAGGGAGAGCGCGTCCCTGAGGTGGTGCAAAGACTGGTGAAATCACTTGTTTTCGTGCCTAACTTCCCTACCAGGTTCCAAGTAGGGCCTCAGCCTCCCGGGCTCCCCAGAGAGCCCCCCCCCCCCCACTCAGGGGCCTGCAGAGGTGACCGGAGTGCAGGGCGGGCTCTCACCTGTCTCCGTTGCCCTTCCCGGTCTTAGGAACAGCAGCATGGACGAGGAGATCGAGAACCCCTGCTGGAGCGTGCGCGCCCTGGTGCAGCAGTACGAAGGGCAGCAGAGGTCCCCGTCGGAATCCAGCTGCTCCAGGTACCCAAGGCCACCGCCAGCCACCTTCCGGTCTCTGTGGGGGTTCTCGGGGCTTTTGCCTAAAATGGTAACTTAAGACAAAGACACCTTCCTCTTTCCTTCAGTTTAGTGAGCCCCGGGGTGGGGGGTGGGGGGGATGGGTGGGGAGGTGGGGGGAGGGGGGTAAGGGGAGTATCCCTCAGCACTGCTGCCCTACCAGAAAGCATCTGACGTCCCTGTTTCCGGAAGGTTGGTGCCCAGGTTTGTCCCGGGCAAGTGCTCCCTGGTGACCACAGGGGGGCGGGAGTAGCTGTGGGGCCCAGCCTGAGGGTTCTGATCTTTACATATCAGCTGCCCATTTGTGAGAGCAGTTCCTGGCATTGTCTTTGTTCTGGATCCAAAATCTCTGTTAAAGTTGAGAATAACAGGAAAAATCAAGCTGAGTTGTTGGAGACTGTTAGAATGTTTCCATTTCGCCTGTAGGACTAAAATTGGGGCAGATTAGTAGACTTTTTTTCCTTTTCTCTCCCTCCCTCCCTCCCTCCCTCCCTCCCTCCTTCACTTTTCTTACTTTCCCTCCCTCCCTCTCTCCCTCCCTTGCAAGTGCTTCACCCACTGTACTATTGCTCTGCTTCTCCCTTTTTGGTGCAGTTGGTGCTGGTGCTAGGGTGCTTGCGGGGGAGGGGGGTCATGAAACACACCTCCTGTCTGCAGGTTAAGTGCCTCATGCCTTGAATCATTTCCACCCCCCCCCCCCCCAAAGGGCTGATATCTGTAACGGAAACTTTAGAATCAAGTGCACAGGATCCGGCATGGGTCTATAATAAAAATCTGGTCATTGCCAAGTTTAGTAGCAGAAAACAACTGCTTTCTCGGCACGTGTGAACCACGCTGTAAACACATCCCGGGACATCATGTTAACTTATTTAATTATTTCATTCCTAAGACATATTTAACTGCATGCTTGACCTTTTTCCTTGTACCAGACCCCAATCCAGCTGGTCTGTGATAGTTAAGCCTAGTTGCTGCTTGGCTTGTGTGTATTTCATGTATCTTTCTTTGCCTTCCTGTTTCTTGTTTTTATGAAATCCTATTTTAGCTTGTTGAATTCCCCCACCTTTTTTTTTTTTTAATGATTCATGAAAGCCAAGTCACATAGATAGCCTCTCCAGTATTTTTTGTTTTGTACTCAAGGTTTACTCCCGGCTCTGTGCTCAGGGATCATCGAGCTGCTGGGGCGCAGGGAACCATATGTGGTGCCGGGGATCAAACTCAGCTGGACCGCGTGCAGGTCAAGCGTCTTTAACCACCGGATTATGGCTCCAGCTTCCTTTCTGATATTTATTTAGTATACTGGTAATCTGTATAACTTTCTCTAGTCTTAATACTGGTAGCCTTGTTTCACTGCCATTTTCCTTTCCCTTTAACATGTCACTGTCACTGTCCTCCCGTTGTTCATCGATTTGCTCGAGCGGGCCCAGTAACGTCTCCGTTGCGAGACTTGTTGTTACTGTGTTTGGCATATCGAATACGTCACGGTAGCTTGCCAGGCTCTGCCGTTTGGGCGAGATACTCTCAGTAGCTTGCCGAGCTCTCTCTCAGGTCGGCCAAGTTGTGTATGCGTTTTATTTAAAAGAATCACATAACAGGGTTGGAGAGAAAGCTCAAAGGGCTGTCGCATAAGCTGGGCATACAGATTCCCGGCATCACCTGGTCCACCAGCACCACTGAGCAATGTATCGCAAGAAGTGGCCTCTCAGCACCCCTTAGCACTTTTTTAGACACACACCACTCCATTAAATCACCTAGCCTAATAGTAACCATTAGTCATTGTAAAGTGTACAACTTGGTGGCGTCTAGCCCCTTTCTGATGTGCCCTGCCACCTCTGTGCTGATCAAAGGCACATTTCCACGGGCCTCAAGGAAACCCTGTACCCATTAAAGCGGTAGGTGTGCTTTTAATGAGAGTCGGAACCATTGCCTCCCTGCTTGCCTCAGAGCCGGCACTTGGTACAGAATCAAAGGAAGTTTCCATGTATAAAGACTTCTATTGCTTCCTGCATGGTTGCAGGCCCTTCATACCCTGAGCCACGGGAGACGCCTGGAGCCGGAGGGAAAGGCTGGGGGTGGGGATGGGTGGGGGCAGAATCTGTCCCGAGAGCCCTTGCTTCCTTCCTGCCTTGGCCCGGCTGTGGTTAGGGACCTTGTGGTGAGGGCGGTGATTCTAGGAGTGACCTGGCCTGTCATTCAGTCCTTCCCGGCTTTGCCATTAGAAAAAAAGAAAATTTTAAAATTTGGTTTTGGTTTTAGCGATGGAGACTGGGGGAGACTAACTCGGGGCTGGGTGCCTTGTAGGTATGCGGGGCTCTGGGCACCCCGCTGAGGCCCTGGACACTACCTGCAGCCCCTAGCCCTGTCTTCTTGGGACGAGCGCTGGCATTCCTGGCTTGGGCGTGTTTCCTGAGTACCTCGTCGCATCCTCAATGTCACCCTCCTCACACCAATGCCCGGGGCTGTGACTCGGACCTTGGCTGGGCGCGGAGGACTGGAGCAAAGGCCTCGGGTGTGTGCCCCCGCCTCCGGGTCCTCCTGACTCAGCCGTGGCCCCCTGGCACGGCCAGCCCGCCTGTTGCTCCGCCGACCTCGGGCCAGCCCGCACTGTATGCGAGCAAAAACATCCTTAGCTGCAAAAAAGAAAACACAGACCGCCGGGGGGGAAGGTGGGAGGAGATCGGCTTGCGGCGGGCTTCCGGGCGCTTGTGCGGTGGTGGCGGGGGGGATCCCAAGGGGGAGGGGGGCCACTGCGTCCTCACCGCGCCGGGGCCACTTCCCGCCAGGTGGCGGAGACCTGACCCGACCCCGGTGCCCGCGAAGGGAGGGGGCAGAGCGTAGAAGCCACCGATTGCGCGCTGGGCTCGGCAGGACGGGGACCGCCGACCCCCGGGCACCCCCCGCCCGCCCGCCCCGCCCCCCACCCCCCGTCACTCTCCAGCCTCCCCTCCCGTCCAGTCCTAGCCCCGCCGCGGCCAGCTCCAGGGTGGGAAGCGACGGGTGACAGCCCGGGGAGGGGCGCGGGGCGGGGAGGGGCGCCCGAGAGGCGGCACGGGGCGGCGATCACCCGCACCAGCTGCGGCCGCGGGCGACCCGAGCGGCGGGCAGCGTCCCCCCCCCGGCCGAGCGGGCGGGACATGGGGTGAGATGCCCGCGCCCGGGGGCTTGCCCGGAGCCGCGCGGCCGCGCGCTGGGCGATGCCGCCGCCGGGGGCCGCCCGCCCGCCAGGGGAGGCAGCTTCCGCCCAGGCCGGGCTGCGGCAGCGTCTGAGCGGCCCGGACGGCGCGGCCCGGACCCGCGAGCATCCCTGCGAGCATCCCTGCGAGCATCCCCGCGCGCCGCGCCCCCGCCGCGCTCCTCGCCGGACGGCCCGTGCAGGGGTTCCTCGCGCTCCCGCGCGGGGAGACATGCCCGAATTGGGGAGCCCGGAGATTCTCCGCCTCCCGCCGCACCCGAGGAAGCAGGCTCGCTGAAGCCCGAGCCGGAGGGGGACCATGGGAGGGACGCAAGTCAAATGGTGAGCGGAGGTCACTTGGGGTTTTGCAAGTGGGGGGCTCGGGGAGGGGTGGAGGGAGCCGGGCCCCAGATTGGAGGATGCTGTCGGGGGTGCAGCCAGGGCCGGGGGCTGGGGTGGGTGGGTGGCGGAGATGGGGAGCGCTGTACTGGGGCGATCGGGCTGCTGGCCTGGGATTGTCACTGCAAATAGTGTGTTTCGGCACTGGAGGCAGCGCGGATGGGGGTGGGGATGAGGGAATGAGGGGTACCGACTTTAACCGCCTTGTCTTTGACGAAGGAGCCCCCCTCCCCACCCAGTAGCCAGCAGGATTCTTATAGCCCATTACCCATTTGGTAATTAAAAAAAAAAAAGGATTTGATCCTAATTCGCCTGGAGATTGCTTGTCTGATAAATTGAGCTTGGCGGAGAGAGCGGTGGACCTTTGGGGATTACGAAATGAATCAGTCGGACCCGATTTTGTAAATCACTTGGACCCGGACTGCGGAGAGGATTATGGTGGCAGCTCGGGTATTAGGTACTTGTTAGAAAATACGGTTTTTCCGCCAATCGGAGAGCGCCTGGAGCGGAGAATTAATTAGCAGCCAAGCACTTTTCCCCGGCCTGGGGCGGAGGCTGCTCAGCCTTCAGTTCCCGCCCGGGAGCCCGCACCCGGCCTGCTGGGACCAGTGCCTGCGGGATTTCCAGCGCGGGGCCCCTCCCGCCGCACTCGGCCGCCCGCTTTCAGGGTCTCGCCTCTGCCCCGCACACTGGCAGCCTCAGTGCAAGAAAGAGAAATGTTGTTTTCCTCTCCGGGCGCTGCCACTCCCCCGGCCTCCTCCTGCCCTTATTTGGGAGCACGCGAAGGTGGAGCCGAGCATGCGTCTCTGCTCGCTGGAAAGCGCTTCTCCCCGCAGCCCGGCTTCACGCGCTGCCTCCCCGACCCCCCCTTTGTCTCTCACGTACCCCACCGCGGAGCAGACACACGCAGGAGGGGCACGGGCCAACCGCAGCGCCTCTGTCAGCTGAGAAAGTGTTGGCTGCGGGTTTCTACAGGGGAGCGGGGTGGCGGGCCTCCCTCTGAGCTTGGACCCCCACATCTCTGGAAGCGGGCGAATGCTGCAGTCTTTGGTCTGTTCTTATCAGCACCATCGTGCCCTAGTCCCCTGCTTCTCCAGATGGGAATGCTTGCAGGTGTGCGGATGTGTGTGTGTGTGTGTGTGTGTGTGTGTGCGCGAGCGCGCCCGCGCGTGTGGCGAGCAGTGGGCAAGCCACACGGGGGTGTACTCAGGACTTAATGGCAGGGCTTGGGGGACCCTATGGGGTATGGGATATTGGGGGTTGAACCCAGGTCAGTTGGCTGCCTGCAAAGCATGCACCTTACCCATGGTACTCTGTAGCCCAGCTGCAAATTGTTTGTTTTTTTTTTCCCTTTTGAGTCACACCTGGTGATGCACAGCGGTTACTCCTGGCTCATGCACTCAGGAATTACTCCTGGCAGTGCGCAGGGAACTACATGGGATGTTGGGAATTGAACCCAGGTCGGCCATGTGTAAGGCAAACGCCCTACCCGCTGTGTTATTGCTCCAGCCCCTCAGCTGCAAATTGTGTGTGTGCGCGTGTGTGTTTGTCATGCTCAGCGATGTGTAGGGCTTACTCCTGGTTCTGTGCTCAGGGATCAGTGACCATATGGGGTGTGGGAGACCAAACCTGTGTTGGCCGCATACAAGGCAAGAGCCCCACCCACTACTGTTGTGGCTTCTCCTCCTCCTCCTCCTCCTCCTCTTTTTCTTTTTTGTGAAGCAAGATAGTGAGAGATATGAAGGGAGAGAAAGAGAGACGTATGTGCTGAAGAGAGAACACAGGCTTCTCCAGAGCGTAAACAGGCCAGCTGAGGAACAGGTAAACAAGCTAGATCCGAGTTCAAGGGAGAACATGGGCTTGAAGAGCCAGCCTACAAATTCTTCAAAAAAAAAAAAAAGTTTTCCCTAATTTTTAAATTTTTCGAATCACCGTGACATACACAATTACAAAGCTGTTGATTGACTGAGTTTCAGCCTTGCAGTGTTCAAGCACCCATCCTTTCACCAGTGTCTCCTTTCCTCGCCAGTGTCCTCAGTTTCCCTCCCTCCCCCACTCCTGCTGCAAATTCCTGATGACCTGTAAGTCAGATGTCAGTTCAGTGGAAGAAAGTTTATAAAGCAACGAGCTATTCTAAATACTTCTTGCTCTGCTCCACCCCTCCTCTCCCTGTGGGTTGTAGATCTCCCGGATAGGGTTGAGTGACTTAGTTTCCTATGAAGTAGCAAAATACTTCACATTTTTTTCTGTGACCTTAAGGAGGGGCATGTTGAATTCATTCTCTCCCTTCCTCCAAGTGCGGAAACCCTGGAGTGCGGGAGGGAGGCGCAGCTCTGGCTGCCAGAAGCTGTTCCCCTCCGACTGGTTTCTCGGAAGACCAGAAGTAGACCAGAAGTTAACTCCTGATCGTTGTGAGGATTAGCCTGGGAGACTTCAGGGCCACATTAAGTGGGTCAGTGAACCCGAGACGCTTTCCCTGTTGTCTGGGTGATGAATTTGGAAGGAATTTGGGGGGGTGGAGGAGAGCTGGGCCCGCAGCCCCTGTAGCCCCTGTAGCCCCTGAGTTTGTTTCGGTGTTGAGGTTCTCAAGGTGGGGTTCGTAGAAGAGGCTGTTCCCTTCCATGCCGCCCCCTCACGCTCCCATCCCGTCTTGCACATCTAAGGTTCTCCATTCTGAGAAACTGAACAGGTTCTTCCACGTCTGTCAGGTCATCAGAGCTTCAGAATTATTGGGAGGGGAGGTTGCTGGTGACAGATAAGAATGACTTTGATGGGCGATAGTACAGCATGGGGCGTTTGCCTTGCACGTAGCTGACCCAGGTTTGATTTCTGGCACCCAGATAGTTTCGAGCCCACCGGGAGTAATCCCTGAGCCAAGAAGAAATCCCTGAGCACCTGAAAACTGCCAGGTGTGTCCCCCGAACAACAACAAAAAGACTTTGATGGGAAAAAAGCAAATAAACAGTTGTCGTGCTCTAGAATACTTCCCCTTTTTCTTTAGATCAAATTGTTTTTCTCTCATTTTTAAATTTATTGAATTTGTTTTTAATTTTTTTCCCATTTTTTTTGGTTTTGGGGCCACACCTGGTGGTATTCAAAGTTGCTCTGAACTGATTCCTGGCTCTGCACTCAGGGATCACTCCTGGTGGGCTTGGGGGTCCATTCGGGATGCCAGGGATTGAACCCAGGTTGGCCACATGTAAGGCAAATGCCCTGTTCACTGCTCTATTGCTCTAGCACTGTCTTTAGTGTTTTTTTTTTATTTAATTAATAATTTTTCCTTCCTAATGGAGCTACTCCCTGCAATGTTTAGGGACCAACAGGGCTACATCCAGTAGTGCCAGCATCAGTTTTGCAGGGGGGAGGCCTGTGCGCCACAACTTTGAGTTGGCCCTTATTCACGTCTTTATTTACTTTAGGGGTGGGTGGGTTATACCTGGCCATGGGCTAGAGCGACAGCACAGCGGTAAGGCGTTTGCCTTGCACGCAGCCAACATGGCCGACCCTAGTTCGATTCCTTTGCCCCTCTTGGAGAGCCCGGCAAGCTACCGAGAGTATCTCACCCGCACGGCAAAGCCTGGCAAGCTCCCCGTGACGTATTCGATATGCCAGACACAGTAACAACAAGTCTTACGATGGAGACGTTACTGGGCCCGCTCGAGCAAATCGACGAACAACGGGAGGACCGTGACCGTGATTAAGACTTAACGCGTGGTGTGACTCAGGGAACAATATGCAGTGCTGGGGATTGAATTGGGATTGACCAAATCACAAGACAAGCACTGCCCCTCTGACCCATTTTAATTAATTTTGGGGTTTGGGGCTACACCTAGGAGTGCTCAGGGGCTACTCCCAGCCTGGTGCTTGCTCCCGGCAGGGCAGTATTTAGGGGGACCATTTAATGCCAGGGATGAAAACTGGGCCTCCTGCGTTTCAGCCTACTGAGCCGTCTCTATTTTTTGATTTTTATAAGGGGCTTCGTCAGCTTTGCTGAGTCACTGGCTGTATGTGCGTGTGTGTGTGTGTGTGTGTGTGTGTGTGTGTGTGTGTGTGTGTTTGGTAGGGAGTGGGGGTGGGGAACCAGGATGTCACCTGACTGTGCAGTGATGGAGTTCAAACGCAGGGAGTTCCACAATATGTGGCAAGCAAACACCACTTATTTTCTCCCCCATCCAAATTACCCTTTATTTGTTTTAAAAAAAATTGGGGGGGAGGGCATACCCGGCAGTTCTCAGGGTTTGTTTCTGGCTCTGTGCTTAGGGATCACCCTTTGCCGGCTCAGGGGACCGTATGGGGTGCCAGGGATGCCAATTGGCATTAGGTGCATGCAGGGCAAGCATCTTACCCCTCCCTGTTCTTTCTTTCTGACCCAAGTTACTCTTTCTCTCATCACATGCTGTCATTGTTGACATATCCTTTGCCCTCTCTCTGCCTGGCACTGTCCACGCTCCAGCAAGTGCTCCCCCATCACTCCTTTGGCTTCTGCCCAGTGCTGATCTGTCATGATTACATGCCTGTTGTCTCTGAGAGGTCATATACTTGGAGCAGATTTCCTCCAGCGCCCAAAGCTACCAAGACACATGAGACATCAGATTCTTCAGTTGGGTCCAGAGAGGGTGGTGCTGGTCTTAAACAAAACGATTCTGTTTTTGTTTGTTTGTTTTGGTGGTGTTTAAGGCCTATTCCTGGTTCTGCACTCAGGGATCACTCCTAGCAAGCTTGGGGGAGCATACGAAATGTCAGGAACTGAGTCCTGGGTGGTCGCACACTAGGCAAGTGTCCTACCCGCTTTACTATCGCTCCCGAGAAACAATTATTTAAAGTGGTACATTACTTGTGTTCCTGACACATCATCACTTGGTGAATTAAGCTTAAATTAGAGACATCCTTTTCTAGAAAAGAACTTCTAAGACTGATTAATTCATTCACTTGGTATTCATTTTATTCAATTTCATTATTTTAATGCTATTTTTGTTTATTTATATCTTGGTTTTTCAGCCCTGGTGGTACTCAGGCACTATTTCCTGCTTGTGGCTTGGGGATCACTTTTTTTTTTTTTTGCTTTTTGGGTCACACCCAGCAATGTTCAGGGGTTACTCTTGGCTTTACACTCAGGAATTACTCCTGGCTGTGCTTGGGGGGACCATATGGGTTGCCGGGGATTGAGCACGGGTCAGTCACGTGAAAGGCAAATGCCCTACCCACTGTACTATCGCTCCGGTCCCTGGGAATCACTTCTGATGGTACTTTGGGGACCATGCAGTATTGGGAATCAAGCATGGGCTTCCTGCATACAAAACCAAAGCTTAGTCCATTGAGCTGTCTCCTCAGCCCCAACAAATGTTTATTTTCTTTTTTTTTTCTTTTTGGGTCACACCTGGCGATGCACAGGGGTTACTCTTGGCTCATGCACTCAGGAATTACTCCTGGCAGTGCTTGTGGGGATCATATGATATGCTGGGAATTGAACCCGGTTTGGCAGCGTGCAAGGCAAATGCTCTACTCACTGTGCTATCGCTCCAGCCCCAAATGTTTATTATGCTAGGCCAGCGACTGTTGTAGGAGTGCAGGAACCTCCCTTGGGACCCGAGTGGGAAGGGTACAGTGGGAAGGGTGGTTGCTTTGCACGTAGCCAACCTGGGTTTGATCTCTGGCATTTCAAAACACTGTCAGGAGTGATTCCTAAGCACAGAGCCAGGAGTAAACCTTAGTATTTCCGGGTGTGCCCCCAACCCTCCACAAAAAAAAAAAAAATTAAAGAGCATCTAGTCCCTTGAGTCTGTTAAAAAAAATGACTTATAAATCAATATAAATATTGTTTCTCTTCCTTTTCCTTCCCTCACAGCCTGACTTCACCCAGTCCTGTCCACAGTGCAAAAAGTGAATCCATAATAAGCCAGTCGGAAGAAAAGGCCGGTTTTGTGATTATTCCCTCGGAAGGAATAGAAAACCGAACAGGTATGATTGCTCCCTCTGCCTGGGTTGGCTCAAGGAACTGTGCCCGATTTGAAGAGCTGGTGGGGGAGCATGCAGGCCCAGCTCTAGGGGGCTGCTAGCTTCGAACCTGTGAACCTGCTCATCCTCTTGCAGAGTGGCCTGTCTGAGACCTTTGCTGTCAGAATGTTGAGGGCAGCGTTATTGTGCTGCTTCTCAGTAGCTGCCTTTACTTGAAAACATTCGGAGCCTCCTTCTTTCAGGGACACAGCATTTACTGTCCCTGCGCAGGACAAATCATGCCAGCACTTTCCTGGAGTTCCCAAAAGAGTAGGAGCCTGAAGTGCCCTGAGAATGTGCAGGAGAGACCCCTGGTCTACGTGGGGTTGGAGAAGGGGCCTGAAGGACCCCAGGGTATCCTCTGTTTAGACTTCTTCCTCCCTCTGAGAGAGTCCCATTTTCTCATTTTTTTTTTTTTTTGCATCACACCTGGCAATGCTCAGGGGCTACTCCTGGCTCTGCACTGAGGAATTAACTCCTGTAACTCCTGGCGGTGCTCGGGGGACCATATGGGATGCTGAGGATTGAACCCCAGTTTGCTGTATGCAAGGCAAACACCCTCCCCATTGTACTATTGCACCAGCCCCTCTTTTTTGTGTGTGTGTGATTTTGGCCCATGCCCAGTGGTGCTCTGGATTTATTTCTGGCTTAGGGATCATTTCTGGTGTTGCTCAAGGGACCCTATTGGTTAGCAGGGATTGAACCCGCGTCAGCCACATACAAGGCAAGCGCCTTATCTGCTGTACTCTCTCCAACTCTCTGGCTCCCCTTTTCCTGAAGTAAGCCTTGAGATCAGCATGGAGGAACCAAAATGCATGATACCGAGTTTTATTCACCCAATAAGGGTTGGGATGAAATGGAAACCCTCAGAAGGAAAGCTGGAATCACATCCTCCCAGGCCCTGTGCCCCCATTCCACTCTGGAAGGAGACCCACAGAACAGGGTTGTATGCTGCTTAGAACTCGGGGCACTGGAGGGAGAGCTGCCTACCAGCTCTGAGCCTGCAGAACACCACAGGCCCTTACCTCAGCGCTGCCTCATCTGATCTGCAAAGCTGAAAAGGGTTATATTTTTATTCATGCGTATGCTTGGAGAAACTTACTCAGGCCTATACCCTTCTGTATCATTCCCCTCTGCCTTGAAAATAGCACTGCAGGGGCCGGAGAGATAGTCCAATGAGTAGGGCACTTGCCTTGCATGAGTCTGACCCAGGTTCTATCCCCTCCTCTGCAGAAGGTCCCTGAGCCGTGCCAGGAGTCCCTGAATGCAGGCCCAGGAGTAAGCCCTGAGCACCGACTGGTGTGGTCCAGAAGGAAGAAAGAAAACAATCATAACAGCACTGCACACGGTTAAATAGGAGAAATCGTTCACGACCCTTCACAGTGCTATCAGTCACAGCTTTGTCTTTGCAGTTCCTAAATACGCACCCCGTACTTATGTGCCCTGTGTGGTCAATATGCTCCCCAGTACGTGCCCTCCTTGAAGTGTCTCCCTTAAGGAAGTCAAAGGAGAGAACTTGGAGGCAGTGGAAGGTGAGACCAGAAAGGGAGAGATGGAGAAGTTGGTGCGAGGATGCCTGTGCTGGTTGGAGTCCTGTGTGACTCGGGCAGTGTTGGGTTCTGTGACCCCTGTGAGGAGCGTCAGAGGAATGAGGTCCCTGAAGCTGCTGAGGCTCCAGTGCCACTGACAGGAATTTTGTTTTCTCTGTCTCTGATGGCTTTTCTGTTTTTACTGCCAGAGTCAAGCCCTAGGAATGTCAGCTCTAGAGAGGTCAGAGTTGAAATCTGGAGACTCTAGACCCAGACTCCCAAGGAAGGCATCTGAATATTGCTTTTTTTTTTTGAAGCAAAACAGATTTTATTTGGAGGTTCTGAAGGAAGGAGGGAGAGAAAGTGGGAGAGAGTGGGAAGTATCGTGCTTGAGAGAACCCAGGCTTCTCCAAGGGCGGGGAGAGCCCCTACACACATTCCAGCATTAGACAGGAAAGCATGAAAGTCCACATCTCAAGAGGGGAGATCAGGCGACACATGTGCTCGGGCACCACATGTGCTTGGCCATGCGGGTGCAAGCAGCACATGGGTTCGGGTAGCATATGTGTCCTGAATGCTGCTGCTGCTGCTTCTCTTCTTCCTCCTCCTCCTTTTTTTGGTCACATCTGGTGAATCACAGCGGTTACTCTTGCCTCATGCACTCAGGAACCACTCCTGGCGGTGCTCAGGAAACCATATGGGATGCTGGGAATCAAACCCCGGTTAGCCGCGTGCAAGGCAAATGCCCTACCTGCTGTTTTATCGCTCCAGCCCCCTGAATGCTTCTTTACCCTTGTTGTGGTTGTTGTTTGTTGTTGTTGTTGTTGTTGTTGTTGGAGAGGATCCCAGGCTTGGCGCTTGACGATTCTCAGGGCTCACTCTTGACTGTGCCCTCAGGGATTACTCCTGGAGGGACTTGGTGGACCATATGGGGTGCTGGGGATTGAACCTGGTCAGCCACATGCAAGGCAACCTGCTGTACTTCCTATCTGGCTCTGCGTTTTGTTCTGGGGGGCAGGGGGGCACACACCTGGCAGTGTTCTAGGATGCGGTACCAGGAAGTGAATGTGGGCCGCTTGCATGCAAAGCCTGTGCTCAGCCTACAGAGTGCGCTCGACCCAGCTCAGAGGATCCATTGAGTCCTACAGACTGATTTTTGTAGCCAAGGTTTTCTGCCTCACAGCCCCACCTGGTGGACAGCGTGTGCATGGGGACAGGTTCCGAAGGCAGGTGACCTGGGAACCCAGAGGACAGGGAAAGCTCCCTTGCTCGCTCTCTGCTCTCTCGCCCTTGTTTTCCCTCCAGCATGAACTGTCCTCCTCCCCCCTTTGACTTTGCAGAGGAGACAGACTCCCCCTTATCTCGAGACTGGCAACCAGGGAGCCCCGGAACCTACCTGGAGACTTCATGGGAAGAACAGCTGTTGGAACAACAAGAACATTTAGAAAAAGAAATGGAGGAAGCGAAGAAAATGATCTCAGGATTGCAGGTACCGCTTTTCCCATCTGGTTGTTCCTCCGACCGATTGTTGGGATTTCTTTGTAAGCTGCCGAGCTCTCTGAAAAATAAGTTCCGGGGGTCAGAGTTGAGCAGCTCCAGGTGTTTACCTCACTTGTTCAGAAGTGAGTTCCCTTGTCTACACAGTCCGAGCTTCTGATTGCAGGACAGCTGTAAGGATTCCTGGGGACCCCGGGACTCACCCCTTTCCCCAGTTTTCTGCTTCCTAGGTGGAATTTGCTTCCCTCTCTGCAGCTCCAGATCTGCAGTTTCTCCAAAGATTGGGGCCACGACTAGTCAGCGGGGTTCACCCAGGAACTCTCTCCTTAGCAGGAAGCCAGTTCACATAAGGAATATGCAGGTTTCCACTGGAATCTGGCTCTCAGGAGGGTTAGTTCACCCCTGGTGCGTTCCCAAGCGGCTTCCACGGCAGTGTGATCACGTGGAAAAGGTCTTGGTCGCGCCAGCCTGGCCCTTTCTTTTAATTTTCCCTGTACTTGCAGCACCAGCTTTCCATTCTCCCCAGGCCCACCCACCCACTTGACTTAGGTGCCTGATGGTCCCCACCTCGACCCCTCCCCCCTCCATCCTCCGTCTTTGTCTGTCTGACCCTGTTTGGGGGCCCGTTTGTAGGGTATCCATGACCCTGAAATCGCCTCGGGATATTTCTTTCGGTGTGTGCTGGGAACGGCGCTGCTTTGGAATTGTCAAATATTTATGGACACGTAAACAAAGCCCACATTATGTGAGCCGCTCTGGCAGCCCGCAGGCGCTGGAAGGCGTGTTCGCAGCCTGCCAGCCTCTGGGTGGGGACACAAAGGGCTCCAAAGAGGAGAGAGGATTGGTGCAGGGCGAAGAACATTTGCATAATCTATGCCCCTGGAACTGGGGAGGGCCGCAGCCGTGTTTACTGCCTGAACATTCCAGGCTGAGCTGTTGACTTTCTTTCCCCTTTGGCTCCGTACTTTTCAGAAGTCTGGCCTTGGAGACCTCTTGGGTCCCTTTACTGCCGCCCCTTTCAGGACTGGCTTCATTAATGCGGTGGTTTGCGTGTGAGCGCACTGCCCTTTAATGGGAAGCATTAACACGGGGAGGGAGAACTTGGAGGATGAGACTGACCAGGGTTTTTTTCCCCAGGACAATGTGAGGTCTATGCTCATCAGTTTGGCTTGCGGGTTGGTTTGCATTTTTCAGTCTGGCAGAACATGGGCACATGAGATGGAAAAAGAAGATCGATAGGCAGAAAGTCATCATCCTGCTATTCCCTGCAAAGGAGGAGTCCTAAATCATAGCCACATGATCACAAAGAGAATTCAGTACCCTGGTAGGAGACAATGGGGCTCACGGCATCCTGGACTTCTTAACTCTTTCAGTGATGAACAGGGTTTCATCTCAGCCTCTCACTTAGTAGTCTGCCTTACCTCTATGTAATAAAGTTTAATGAATCAAATTACTCTGGTTATTTGAGTCTTAGAGTTAATCAAATTACTTTGCTTAGTTGACTCTTAGACTTATCCAGACCTCTTGCCAAATCGAATTACTTTGCTTAGTTGATTCTTAGACTTATCCAGACCTCTTGCCACAACTCCATAGCACAACTAAAGTAATTTGATTCGCTAAATTTTTATTATTAATTATTGCTAGACCTTCTAGTGGCTGGATTTTTAAAATGTTTTCATAGCCCCTGTGAATTTGTATAACACGAACTTGTGTTATATCTGTTGAAGTGGGCTTTAACCTCTAACTCTTTATTGGATTTGATCAGAATCACTACAAAAAATGGGGACATGTTTAAAATTCTTTTTATGAGCTGACAGGCCTCATAATACCTACCTGTAGAACTGACTCAAGTTTTGTGAGTGCTAAAGAATGCAATTTAGTGGGTTCTCTTTACGACAATGAAGTGTGGGGGGCTGTGAGATTGTTCAACGGGTAAGTTGCTTGCCTCGCATATGGTTGACCTGGATTTGAGCCCCAGCATCCAGTATAGTCCCCCGAGCCTGGCACGAGTGATCTCTGAGCTCAGTGCCAGGAGTAGCACCTCCACACATTTGAAAGCAAAGCTTGGTTTGGGAACTGGAAAGGAGTGAAGCATCTCTCTGTAGATATGTTTTCCTTCGTGTTCTATTCAGGTTTGCCTTAGTAAAAATGCAGAATTATTAAAGCACAGTTTAAAAAAAAAGACAACATAACTTTGTCCAGGGAGATGGATCCAAGGGCTGGCATTGCAGTTTTGCATGTGAGAACCCTGAGCTTGCTTCCTGGTCCTTCATGGTCCCCCAAACACCATTGAGTGTGACTCCCTGAACAAATTCACCCAATAAATCAGAGCCTTATTTTATTATTATTATCACTGTTATTTTATTTGCATTATGTCTTGAAGAACTTAGGGGCTTTTCTTGGCTCTGTGCTCAGGAGCGACCCTCAGCTTCATGCTTAGGGGACTGTATGTGGTGCTGGAGATTCAAAGTGGGTTCTGTGGGATGCAAGGCCAATGCCTTAACCTCTGCCCTCCCTCTCTCTGATCGCCAGTCAGTGCTTTACATGTACTCTCTGGAAGACCTTCAGGCCAAGATAGTTCTAGTTCACTTCCCAATCTGTAATCCCATTCTGGTTTGAGAAGCTTGAAATGTCACTGCTGAAAGCAAAATTTATTTTAGATTGCTTTCTGGGGCCAAGAAACAGGCTCAAAAAAGGATTCTCGGTGCATCCAGAGAGATGCGGAGCCAAGCGCATGAGCTACACCCGGGTGGGCAATCAGGGGTACTTCCAAATGGAGCATCAAAACTTCCCAAGGAGATTACGAGAGGGATCCAGGCTGTGATTTCAATGTGGGGTGAATTTCCGAGCTCAGCTCTGGACTCAGACGTGCAATGGATCTTGTTTCTCTCTGCCTTTTTGGTTTTCAGGCCTTATTGCTTAATGGATCCTTACCTGAAGACGAACAGGAGAGACCCTTGGCCCTCTGCGAGCAAGGAGTCAATCCCGAAGAACAACTGGTGAGCTTTTTCTTTTGCAGCTGGACCCTAAGTACTGGTTCATGGATTTCATTTGGATTTTTTTGTTTTGCTTTGTTCCCATTTGGCCCTGTTGTCAAAGTCTTCTTGAAAAGATTTCTTCATATTTCTCTCATATTTTCTACCTTTTTTTTTGAAATATAATGGATTTTATTTGAAATTTTGTGGAAGGTGGAGGGAGAGAGAGAGAGAGCGAGAGCGAGAGAGAGCGAGAGAGAGCGAGAGAGTGAGTAATGCACTCAAGAGAGAACACAGGTGGGGCTGGAGCAATAGCATAGCAGGTAGGGCATTTTCCTTGCATGCGGCCGACCTGGGTTCGAATCCCAGCACCCCATATGGTCCCCTGAGCACCGCCAGGAGTAATTTCTGAGTGCAGAGCCAGGAGTAACCCCTGAGCATCTCTGGGTATGACCCAAAAACCAAAAAGAAAAAAAAAAAGAGAACACAGGTTTCTCCAGAGAGGACAGAGAGCCTGAGTATATGTCTGAGCATTCAATATGAAAGTAGTACACATCTCACAAAGGGAGATGTGGGCGACATGTGCTCTGACACCGTGTGTACTGGGCAGCAGAACATGGGCACAGGCAGCATGTGGGCTCAGGCAGCATATGTGTGCCCTAATTTTTACTTTTAAGTGCCAACCAGGTGCTGGACCCTGTGTGCTGGGGATTTGTTTCATTGGTTGGTTGGTTTGAAGCGACCCCCATCAGTGTACTGGGACTTCTCCTGGCTCTGTCCTCAGGGGTCACTCCAGGTGGTGCTCAGGGGACCACCTACGGGGCATTGAAACAGAGTCAGCCCCCTTCATCTTTCGTTATCTCCCCGGCTCAGTGCTGAGAGCTGGTGGCCAACACTAATGCTTGCCCTTCCAGCGTTTACTTCAGACCCCCTGAGCAGCTCTCAGCACTACTCAGCGTTCTCCTCTGGGCTCTTAACCTCACTTTCCCGGGCACAGCATCTGCCTCTGTGTGTCCACTCACCTCCCAGCTCTCCATCCTTTCTAGCTCAGCTCTTCATCCTTCTGTCCCCGAAGCACTTCCATGTCGGTGAGTGAGAAGTTAAGCCGCTTTGCTCTCTCGTCTCATCTCCCACATCAAAAGAACTTGCCCTCTTTTTTGTTTTGTTTTTGGATTTTGGGGCACACGCCCGGCCATGCTCAAGGGTTACTCCTGGCTCTGCACTCGGGAATTACTCCTGGTGGTGCTCAGGGGACCATATGGGATGCTGGGGATCGAATGCCGGCAAACACCTTACCTGCTGTTCTATTGCTCTGGCCCAACTTGCCTTTTTTTGAGTTGGTCTGACCACTTTCCACCGTCCCAGATATTAAAAGCTGAAATATGAATGCATCCTTTTTTTTTTTCTTTTTGGGTCACACTCGGCGATGCACAGGGGCTACTCCTGGCTCATGCACTCAGGAATTACTCCTGGTGGTGCTCAGGGGACCATATGGGATGCTGGGAATCAAACCTGGGTGGTTGCGTGCAAGGCAAACACCTTACCTGCTATGCTACCACTCCGGACCCTCGTTTTTTAAAGAAAAAATTTTTTCCAATTTTCTCCTCACATTTATGTAAACACTGTGGTTTACAGAATTGTTCATGATGATTTACAGGCATTCAGAATTTCAGCCCCAGTCCTGATGCCATTACACCTTCTTTCCACCGTTGTCTTCAGTTTTCCCAGCCGTTTTGAAGCCTGCCCCAACAGCAGGGAATAAATCCCTTCTGACCCCTTCCTTCTGGGCATTCACCAGACTGTAGTTTCACTCTCCTGGGGCCTCCCAAGCAGCACTGGCTCTGCATGCTGCTCGCCTAGTGTTGCTGCCCAGTGATGTTGGGCACCAGCAGGGACACCCCAGTGCTTGCCAGGCCTGTGCCCCGACCCCTGAGCTATGTTCTGGCCCCTTCGTTCACTTTAAATCTCTTCATCCAGGGCCAGAGTGATAGTACAGTGGGTAGGGCGCTTGCCTTACAGGCGGCTGACCCAGATTTGATCCTCAGCACCCCATATGGTCCCCCAAGCCCTGCCAGGAGTGACCGCTGGCCACAGAGCTAGGAATAACCCTTGAACACCATCAAGGTGGCCCCAAAACAAAACAGAACAATCTCTTCATTCAGTTTTCTCCCTTTTCATAGTTGCTACTTGAATTCAGGCCTTCATCCAGTGTTTGTTCTAACAGGCTGCCTAAAGGACTTCTGATTCCTCTCATGCCCACAAACTCTCTCTTTTTCTCTCTCTCTCTTTCTTTTTGGTAGTGGGGTTGTTTGTTTGTTAGTTTTGGTCACACCCAAAGGTGCTCAGTGCTTACTCCTGCGCCATATAGGGTGCCAGGGATCATCGAACCCAAGTCAGCCACATGCAAGGCTAATGCCCTACTCGCTGTACTTTCTGTATAACAGCAAGAATGATTTTCCTTAGAGAACTACTTAAGTTTTTGACCCTTTGCCGAAAACTTTTCATTCACTTCACCATTATCCTCACTGGCCTTTCTTGACCCAACTCCTGTTTCTATTTCCCTCTCTTACTTGATCTCTTGTCATTGTCCCCTAACCCCTTACCCATTCTAAATGGTATTCATAGTATCTGCTTGTGCTACCCAGGACATAACTTCTGTTAGAGGGCCAGATCTGTTTCCCGTTCTTCTCTGTTCTCATATTACTGGACTCCTGTATAGTAGGTGCTTAATAAATGCTTATTGGGCTGGAATGATAGTATAGTGGGTAAGGCACTTGCCTTGCTTACAGCTGACCCAGAACAACCCCTGAGCATCACTGCATGTGACACCCCCCCCGAAAAAAAAGGTCAATAAATGCTTATTGATGCATGAGCTCTGCATTTCACACCATATATAACTATCTCCTTTTGCCTTCAGATCATAATCCAAAGTCGTCTGGATCAGAGTATGGAAGAAAATCAGGACCTAAAGGTATGGCAGGACACTTTAAACTTTTCATAGTTTTTCATTTTTTAATTAAAAGTTTCAAATAGATTGAATCTTTGTTATAAGTCTTTTCTAATGTATATTTCCCAGAATTCTTATAGGTAGTGATTCCTAATTTTCTTGGAGTCATAAGTGTATTGATAAGATCATGAATTCTCTCCCCAGAAGCGTATCCGTGTGGCATGCACACACTCACAAAACTGACTTTTTATTTTTTATTTATTTTTTAATTTATTATTATTTTTGCTTTTGGGGTCACACCTGGCGATGCCTAGGGGGGTTACTCCTGGATTTTGCCCTCAGGAATTATTCCTGGCGGTGCTCAGGGGACCATATGGGATGCTGAGAATCGAACCCTGATTGGCTGCGTGTAAGGCAAACGCCCTACCCACTGTGCTATCACTCCAGCCCAAAACGGACTTTTTAATAAGATAGTTTTAGAACCCACCTGGAGAGGGTCCAGGTTCAGAATTTCCATTTTTAGGTCTATTATTCCAAACTCTTGCTGTGATGCAAGAGGAAATGAAGAGAGCGGGTCCTGCCTTGTGGGTCCTCCACTCCTGAAATTTTTTTCCTAGTAACAATAAAATGTACTTTCCATCTATTGCAGACAAGGACTGAGGACTGAGAGAGTCAGAATCCTGTAACAGTGGTTTGCTGGCATCAGGAGTAGGCATAAACGGTGATCACATATTTCAAAAATCAGAGAGGGATTTTGATTTTGATGCCGAAACTTTCCACATATTTCAAAAATCAGAGATTCTGATTTCTTTTTCTTTTTTTTTTCTTTTTTTGGATCACACCCAGCAACACTCAGGGGTTACTCCTGGCTCTGCACTCAGGAATTACTCCTGGAGTGCTTAGGGGACCATATGGGATGCTGGGAATCGAACCCGGGTCGGACAAGTGCAAGGCAAACACCCTACCCACTGTGCTATTGCTCCAGCCCCAAGAGATTTTGATGTCGAAACTTTCCTCATAGTGAAGATGGTATGAGATACGAAGGCGGGCCTTTGGGAATATACGATGTCTTCTGTTTTTTGTTTGTTTTTGAGGGCCACCCAGTGGTGCTCAAGGCTTACCCCTGGCTCCGTGCTCAGGGATCACTGCTGGCTGGGCTCAGGGTGGTTCTGATGATAAAACCTGGGTCAGCCACGTACAAGGCAAGCAAGCACCCTCCCCTCTGTGCCATTGTTCTGGCCTGCTGTCTTTCTTGGCAAGACCCTTCTGCCTAGTCTTTGGTCCTGAGTCCCACCTGGCAAGAGTGCAGTGGGCCCTGTCTTTCTTTTGCCTTCACGGTTTTCCCATCCAAAGCTGCTCTCTGCCTCCACAGAGTTAATTTTGCACGGCCTGGTGATCCGACTGTTGTGTTATTACTGGCAGATGAGGTAATGCTGCCGAGACAGCACAGATGCTCCCCTCTGATCTAACTATATTTGGTTTACAGAAGGAACTGCTGAAATGTAAACAAGAAGCCAGGAACTTGCAGGGGATCAAGGTAAGAAGGAAGACTCTTGGACCGGAAGTAAGCGCTCTCTGAGGGAAGGTGGCCTCCTGGAGAGAGGTGCCGGGAGGCGGGGTTAGTGCCTCTTGTCCTGTCTCGCTGGCCTGTGCTTTCAGTCTGGAGAGCCCTGGGGCAGGAGCAGTGCTTGATTTTCTTGGGGTTTGTTTCCAATCATGATGACTTGGGCAGCCCCCACTTTCTGTGTCATCTTGTTTCTAGATGCCCCCCCAAATTTATTTTTTAAGTCACTGTGAAATTGCGAAGTTATTAATGATTAGGTTTCTTTTTCTTTTTTTTTTTTTTTGCTTTTTGGGTCACACCCAGCAATGCCCAGGGGTTGCTCCTGACTGCACTCAGGAATTACTCGTGGCGATGTTCAGGGGACCATATGGGATGCTGGGGATCGAACCTGGGTCCACTGCATGCAAGGCAAACGCCCTCCCCTCCCCCCCCCGCTATACTATCGCTCTGGCCCCATGATTAGGCTTCAGACATACAATTTTTACAACACTGATCCCTCCACCAGTGTTTACTTCCCTCCACCAGTGTCTCAGCCTCATTTGTTTCTCTCCCACCAGTCTGCTTCTATGAGAATTCCTTCATACATATGTTATGTATTAATATATATTAAAAATTACCGTTTTTAGTGCACTAAAAACTAATTTTTTTAATATGTTATTATTATTAGGGCTGAAGCGATAGCACAGCAGATAGGACGTTTGCCTTGCACGCGGCCAACCGGGCCAAACCGAGTTCGATTCCTCCACCCCTCTCAGAAAGCCCGGCAAGCTACTGAGAGTATCTCACCCGCACGAAAAAGCCTGGCAAGCTCCCCGTGACGTATTTGATATGCCAAACACAATAACACCAAGTCTCATAATGGAGACGTTACTGGGCCCGCTCAAGGAAATCGATGAACAACGGAAGGACAGTGACAGTGACAGTAACAGTGCTTTTTTGGGACCCTGCAATGCCCAGAATTTCTCCTGGCTCTGTACTCAGAAATTAGTCCTGGCGGTGCTTGGGGTACCATATGGGATTCTGGGGATCAAACCCGGGTCAGCTGCGTGCAAGGCGAACACTCTTCCTGCTGTGCTTTCGCTCTGACCCTAAAAACAGAAAATTTAAAAAAAATCCATTTTTTTTTTCAATTCTAAAGAAGGAAATCCTTGAACAGTGAATACCGGAAACTCTTATTACAATAAACAATATTATAAGTCACAGTGCCTAAATAAAAACTTCCAAGAAAGGGGGGGGGGGAAGAACAAAGTCCATTAGAAAAGGAAATGTTTAGGGCCAAACTCTCACTCAGGTGGTAGAGCGTATGCCCTGCATGTGTGAGGTTCTGAGTTTGATCCCAGCTGTGTGGCCTCTGTGTCCCACCAGGCCTGACTACCAGATAGCTTTGTAGCCCTGAGATCCTGGGGCTTTGCTGCCTGTGACACCTATAATAGATACATCTTCAGGGACTTTACTTCAGGTCAGTAACATTCAGATGGATAAAAGTTAAAAAAATATATATAGGCTTATATATAGGCACTGGAGCCATAGTACAGAGTGTAAAGTGTTTGCCTGGCACATAGCAGACCTGGGTTCGATCCCCGGCACCATAGCTGCCCCCCGCCCCCCAGCCTCAGGTATAATCCTTGAGCACAGAACTGGGAATAAGCCCTAAGCACTGCCAGGTGTGGCCCCTGAAACCGAAACCGAACATACTCTGTGGACCTGTAAGTTTGAGAAGTGCTCTGCTGTTGTCTGGGTCATACGGAAGAGTCACAAGTTAAAGGGGCCCTTAACAGGGTCCTAACGTGAGTGACCTAAAAAGAGTTGAGAATTTTTTTTTAATTTATTTTTTTGTTTGTTTATTTTTTTGCTTTTTGGGTCACACCCAGTGATGCACAGGAGTTACTCCTGGTTCATGCATTCAGGAATTACTCCTGGCCGTGCTCGGGGGACCATATGGAATGCTGGGAATTGAAGCCGGGTCGGGCTGCGTGCAAGGCAAATGCCCTACCTGCTGTGCTATCACTCCAGCCCCAAGAGTTGAGAATTTTAACCCTAGGGCCGTGAACGTGTCACTCAGTGGTACAGAACTTGCCTTCTGTGTGTGAGGCCCTGGGTCGGAGTCCTAGCACAGCATTAGGACAGCAAGTGCTAATTTCATTTCCAAAGCCCATAAGCTCCCCTCTGCACCCCCAACAGCTCCTGGAGCACCCACTGGGAGCTGTTCCTCCGAGCTCCTGGTGCCAGCCACAGCTGAGGCCGCCTCTGCTGTGTTCTCGTGGCAGATGGCATGTTTGAGGCTCCCTTTTTGTCTCGAGCCCACATTGCTTTTGCAGGGCCCGTGGAGAGATCAGCAGGACTGTACCCCTCTCTGCAGCCCCAGGCCACGGTTCTGTTTGAAATCACAAGGTGGAGGAACATGGTTGGCTGACCCTTAGAGACCTGTGTCTCTCTCCCAGCTATGTGTTGTGGGTATTTGGGGTGAGCCTGCGGGCCACTCCCGGCGATGCTCAGCCCAGCTGTGTGGACCTGACAGTCTAGTGCTTGGATTTGGACCCTGTGGGACCACGAGGGCCACAGGCTTGGGTGACCAGGTGGTGGTGAACCTTTTTTTTGTTTTGTTTTGACTTTTTTGAGTTACGCATGGGAGATGCACAGGGGTTACTAATGGCTCTGCACTCAGAAATTACTCCTGGCGGTGCTCAGGGGATCATATGGGATGCTGGGGTTCGAACCCCTGTCGGCCGCATGCAAGGCAAATGCCCTATAGCTTGTACTGTAGCTCCAGCCCCCAGGCACACCTTTGATGGGCATAGTTGAAACTCCGAGGGTCCAAGCTGAGGAGACGCTGAAAACTGGACACTGGGAATAGGAACTACCCATCAGTCGAGGAGCTGTTCTCTTTTTTTTTTTTTTTGCTTTTTTTTTTTTGAGGTCACACCTGGCGATGCTCAGGGGTTGCTCCTGGCTCTTCACTCAGGAACCACTCCGGGCAGTACCCGGGGGACCATATGGGATGCCGGGGATTGAACCCGGGTCGGCCACGACCCGTTGTGCTATCACTCCAGCACCCAACCAGGAGCAGTTCTGAGCATGAAAATTTAGTCCCTTTGTGGTCCACCCCTGGCCTGTGGTGGGGGGCAGAGGGAGAATCATGGCCAACTCTGCCCAGCAGGTGGGTCTGAGCCTGGCATGTCTGGATAAGCAGAGAGCTAGACAGTGATGGCCCTGCCCACAAGCAAGCCGGGACTGGGCAAGAAGGAGGGCGGTTTCTGTGTCCAAGTTAGAGATGAGGACACCAGGGTGACAGGCAGTGGGGAGCACTGTCTGAGGTCACTGTTAGGAGAGGAAGTGGGGGGCTTGTCATTTGCACCTAGCACAGCCTGACTGCGGGCGCTGCTCCTCTCCAGAGCCTGTGCTGCCAGCAGGGCAGTGGAGGGGAGGATGAGTCATACATGGAGGAGGAATCATGCCTCAGTCTGTTCATAGGATGATCTCTGAGATGCTGAAGGCCCCGGAGGTGACAGAACATCCATTCACCGCTCACTTCCCGTGGCCAGACCCTTCTCTTCCTTTTGTCTCTCAGTTCACCAGAAGTCGTGCTGGAGGTGCAGGCAGGGTTTGAACGGCTTGTCCCGCTAGCGGGCTGTTGGCCAGAGTGGCAGCACAGTAACGACAGTGCCTCCTTTCCCAGGATGCCTTGCAGCAGAGGTTGGCTCAGCAGGACACCTCAGTCCTTCAGCTCAAACAGGAGCTACTGAGGGCGAATATGGACAAAGATGAGCTGCACAACCAGAACGTGAGTTAAATGAATGCACTCTGACCTCACCAAGCCCTGCTAGCAAAAGCCGTAGAGCCCTGGGCAAAGTCCCGGCCCCGCGCTCGTCTTTCTTCTGGAATGCCTACCCGAGTCCTGCAGTTATTTATTCTCTGTCAGCCTCATCTCTGTTCCCAGGTATGCAGTAACCCTTCAGCCCTTCAGTTTGAGACTGAGACAACTGAGGCTAATTTGTGCCTCCACCATCTGATTGTCTCCTAAAGTTCCAGAGAGAGGCTGTGTGGGCTTGTTTGTTTGACCTTTGTTTTGGGGTCACATGTGGCGATACTTGGGGGGTTACTCCTGGCTCCGTATTCCAGAATTATTCCTGGCAGGCTCTGGGGACCATGTGGGATGCTGGGGACCAAACCCAAGTCAGCTGCATGCAAGGCAAGTGTCCTACCCACTGCACTGTCGCTCCATCCTCTTCATGCATGTTTTTGACCTCTCAGCTCTGTCCTGCAGCTGCCGACATCGACTCTGGCTGCTGGGTAACTGGTTTCTGTGGGATTGTCAAGCCCCAGGCCAATCAATTCTTCCTTCTTTTTCTGACAGATGGATCTGCAGAGGAAGCTAGAGGAAAGGAACCAGCTACTGGGAGAATATAAAGTAAGACCGAACATCAGTTGGAGAATGATTTCCATGTGTCCTTTTACGAACAGCTTGTTGCCCGAAGGAGGTTTAAGTGCTCTGTTCCCATCCTTGCTTTCTGGAGATCTGCAGGGGAAAACTGCTGTCTGATTCCCTAATCCTGAAGGACAGACAGCATGACAAGGGGGGCATAGAGCGAGGAGTCTGGAAACTCCAGCTCATATGTGTACGTGTCTGGAAACTCCAGTTTGTATGTGTATGTAAACTCCAGTTTGTGTGTGTGTGTGTGTGTGTGTTTATCTGGAGACTCCAGTTTGTGTGAGTATATGTGTATAAATTCCAGTTTGTGTGTGTTTGGAAACTCCAGTGTGTGTGTGTGTGTGTGTGTGTGTGTGTGTGTGTGTGTTTGTCTGGAAATTCTAGTTTGTGTGAGTATGTTTGTGTAAACCTCAGTTTGTATGAGTGTGTTTGTCTGGAAACTCCAGTGTGTGTGTGTGTGTTTGTCTGGAAATTCTAGTTTGTGTGAGTATGTGTGTGTGTAAACTCCAGTTTGTATGTATGTGTTTGTCTGGAAACTCCAGTGTGTGTGTGTGTGTGTGTGTGTGTGTGTGTGTGTGTTTGGAAACTCCAGTTTTTGTGTGTTTATGTGTCTGGAAACTCTGGTATGTGTGTGTTTGTGTGTATGTATGTCTGGAAACTCCAGTTTGTCTGTGTAACCTCGTGAGTGTGTGAGTAGCACTCCTGCCTGTGCTGCCACCGGAGCTGACCATGGCAGTGCTCCGGGGGCCATGCGACGCCATAGGTTGAGCCCATGGCCTTGAAGGTGCCAGGCATGCACTCATGCTTGGAGCCCATATCTCCAGCCCCCCTGTTCCATCTTCAGCTTTCTCCCTGACTGGCTCTGAGGGCACACGGCAGCCTTCCTCCTGACCCTTCCAGAAACCCAGTGGGCATTAGCTGTGCTGGGTCATGCCATCCTGGGGCAGCCGCCGTCTCGCAGAGCCTGTGCTCCGAGGCTCACAGTCTGTCTCTTGCAGAAAGAGCTGGGGCAGAAGGACCGCCTCCTCCAGCAGCACCAGGCCAAGTTGGAAGAAGCACTGCGGAAGCTGTCGGAGGCCAGTTACCAGCAGGTGGGATGTCGGCAGCCCCTTGCTTCGCCCCGGCCTGCAGAGCTCCCTGCTGATGTCGCCTCTGATTTTCAGGTGGACCTCGAGCGGGAGCTGGAGCACAAAGACGTCCTCTTGGCTCACTGTATGAAGAGAGGGGCAGAGGAGGTACCAGCGCCTGCCGTCTCCCGCCCACACGTCCCCCGGGCAGAGAGGGAGGGAGGGAGGCTTTGCTTTCTGAGTCAGGGCTGAACCCAGGCTCCATCAGCTTCGTAGGTGGCTGGTGAGGAGGTGAAGAGGGCTGCTTCCAGGATTAAAAGGAAAACTCTTTTAAGATTCCTCTTCCAGCGTTACCACTCTCTACTGGGGCGTGACCTTATTTCACTTTTAGTTTCCGAATCTTTGAAGAGACGCTCATCTGGAAAATGGGCTGTGGGCATTGCCCTGATGGAGAATACAAATGGTGATGCTTGTACCGAGAACCAAGCATGGCCCTGCTGCGTGCACCAACACCTTAGTGAACACAGTCGCTGTTCTGATGGCTGGGGGTGTGCTCCCGTCCCCGCCTCCAGGGCCCGGGTGGGATTGGGGACCTCCAACTGAGGTTCCCTGTTTATTCACTCTATATTTGACACTCACCCGGTGTCCAGTCCTGGGACCTCTGCTGCAAAACTTGCATTTCAGCAGATCACTTGAAACCAGTATTCGACTCGTCTCCTGTTTCGCAAGTGACAGGTGTGGGGAAGAAAGAGTATGGGGGACGACTCGATGTGGAATTGTCCCTTGGAACAAGTGTCCTCCCTTCTTGTGGCTCTAGGTGACCAACCACAACAGTCACACCTCTCAGAGCAATGGCTTCCTCCCCGGGGTGGCAGGAAAAGGGGCTGCTTCTGTTACCCACAGAGGGGTAAGTTGGGGGCTGGAGCGATGGGTGTTTGCCTTGCGCGCGGCCGACCGGGTTTGATTCCCAGTATCCCATATGGTCCTCTGAGCACCGCCAGGAGTAATTCCTGAGTGTAAATCCAGGAGTCACCCCTGTGCATCGCCAGGGTTACTGTGACCACCCTCCCCAACCCCCCATAAAAAAGCAGAGGGTTAAGTTGTTAGAGTTTGAGAACTGACCCACCTCTTCCCGCTGGCAACAGAAGAGGGGTCTGGGGAATGCCGAAAGCGGGTTCTCTGTAGTTGTGAGACATCACCCCACAGCTCACACATCTCCTCCCTCAGAATATGAAGATAGGGGCTAGAGCGACAGTACAGTGGATAGGGCATTTGCCTTGCAAACAGATGACCTGGGTTCAATCCCCGGCATTCCATATGGTTCCCCAAGCACCGCCAGGAGTAATTCCTGAGTGCACAGCCAGGAGTAACACCTGAGCATTGCTGGGTGTGACCCAAAAAGCACACACACACACACACACACAAAATGAAGATGGGGGCTGGAGTGATAGTACAGAGGTAAAGGCATTCGCCTTGCACCTGGTGGGTTTGATCCCTGGAATCCCATATGGCCCCGAGCATTATTGGGAATGATCCCTGAGCGCAGAGCCAGGAGTAACCCCCTGTGCATCTGAGCACCACTGGGTATGGCCCCAAACCGAAACCAAAAGAACTCATCCCCCCCAGCCCCCCCCAAAAAAAATAAAGAAAAGCGAATGGCTCTGTAGATTTGGCCCCTGTGGTGGGTGACATAGCCCTGGCCCTGGCCACATCACCGCGCCCATCCCCCTCCTCCCTTTTTATTTTTATCTTTTTTTTTTTTCCCGACAGACCAGTGACCTGCAGCTTGTGCGGGATGCCCTCCGGAGCCTGCGCAGTAGCTTCGGTGGACACGATCCGCAGCACCACACCATCGACAGCCTGGAGCAGGGCATCTCCAGCCTCATGGACCGCCTGCGTGTCATGGAGACGCTGAAGAAGCAGGAGAGAAGGGTGAGTGTCCACCTCCCCCGCTCCCGAGGAGGTCCCATCCATGATCCCGTAGCTGAAGGCAGGGCCCAGAGGGAAGACAACCCTGAAGTTCCGCTTGACTTCCTCCCGGTTTCCCTCTTCGGTGGAGCTAAGTCTGGCTCCTAGCAACCATCTAACGGTGGTCTGAGGAATCTGGCACTTCACCCCACCCCCATCTCTGCCCCAGGCCCTTTCTCTCCTGCTTCCCCGAGCAAGGGTGGCAACAGACCAAGGAAATATTTGGGGAAACACATTGGGTACTGAAAACCCTTTATAATCAGGCACGCAACTTCAGTTTTAAAATACTGTCAAAGAAGTATATGTGGCACTGTAGCACTGTCCTCCCCTTGTGCATTGATTTGCTGGAGTGGGCACCAGTAACGTCTCCATTGTGAGACTTGTTACTATTTTTGGCATATCAAATACGCCACAGGAAGCTTGCCAGGCTCTTCCGTGCAGACAGCATACTCTTGGTAGCTTGCCAGGCTCTCCGAGAGGGACGCAGGAATTGAACGCGGGTCAAATGTCCTACCTGCTGTGCTCTCGCTGTATATAGACATATTTCTGTATGGTCATGGTTAGAATTTCATAGTTGAGTTCTTTTACTGTTTTCCCCACAAACCATAACTTGTGATTTTTTTTGTGGGGGGCGGTGGTACGGTTCCCCAGGTTCGTGGCAAGTCACCCAGAACTCAAGCAGATGATGAATACTGGGAGTCCTGGCCCACTAATTCAAGTAAGTACTTTTAATGCTCAGTCAAAACTTCTAGCATATTACAGATCCAAAATTTGATGTCTCCATGTGGCTAATATTTTGGGGTGCTGATATTTTTCTTGTCTTATGTCATTCATAATAGGATGTTTCAGTAGCAATACTAGAATTGGGTTATTTGTAGGACTGTGAAGACATACAATGTCACCACCTCCACTACCACCGCAAGTACCACTTTAGTCACATGCAAGATGCTTCTAATTCAGAGAGCCTAAAATATCCCTGGGAAAAGGGGGCCAGAGAGGTAGTACAGCAGGTAAGGTACTTGCCTTGTACACAGCAGACCCAAGATCGATCCCCGGCAACTCTTATAATACCCCAAGCACTACTAGGATAATATCTGGGTGCAGAGCCAGGAGTAACCCCTCAGCATAGCTGGGTGTGGCCCCCAAACCAAAATAAAATAAAATATCCCTGGGAAATCAACTTACAAGCCCAGAACATTTACACCAAAGTAAAATATAAAACTGCGGAAAACACAGAAATCATCAAACATATTAAGATCACCTGACAGTTTTAAATAGCACGAAAAATTTCCATGTCTTCCTCGAGGACATAGTGTAATTTCTTTGGGGATTTTCCTTAAAACTGAGCGCTTACATCATTTAGTCTACATTCTGCAAATGTCATTTTGCCATCTAGTGGTATGGCTAGGAAGTTTGTTTTGAACCTAGTCTGCTCAACGAACTGCATTCCATCCCACCTCCCATCCCCGCCCATTTATTCCAGAGTTTTGGAACTCTATCCAGCCTGTATTTTCTATTTCACTTTGTATCTTACCTTTTGTTTTCATAGCATTCATATTTTTTCTTTTAGTTTTTGGGCCACACCCAGAAATGCTTAAGGGTTACTCCTGGCTCGGCCCTCAGGGATCACTCCTGGCAGTGCTCAGGGTACCATATGGGATGCTGGGGATTGAACCCAGGTTGGCCATGTGCCAGGCAAGCATCCTACCTGTGGTACTATTCCTTCTGCCCCAATTTTCTGATATTTTATAGTTTACCCATATAGTTTAGAATAATCTAAAAATGTCTAAATAGAGATTGGAGAGAGAATACAAGAGGTAAGACACTTGCCTTGGAGTGCAGTTGACTCTGGTCTGGATCCCTGGCACCACATATGGTCCTCTGGCATTGCCAGGGCGTCACTCCTGAGCACAGAGGCAAGAATAGTTCCTGTACAATATGGGGTATGGCGTCCAACCCCCAACCCCCACCAAACAATAAAAATATCTAAAAATAATGTTTAATGAAAAGCGGACCGTAACCTATTTTGTATGTTATATGTTTTTTATTTTTTAATTTTAAAAACCACTTTAATAGTAAACACAGAATATATGCACAGATGTTCACTGTCACTGTCACTGTCCTCCCGTTCATCGATTTGCTCGAGCGGGTCCAGTAACATCTTCATTGGAGACTTTGTTGTTACTGTGTTTGGCATATCGAATACGTCACGGGTAGCTTGCCAATCTCTGCCGTGCGGGCAAGATACTCTCGGTAGCTTGCCAGGCTCTCTGAGAGGGACGGAGGAATCGAACCCGGGTCAGTTGTGTTGGCTGCGTGCAAGGCAAATGCCCTACTGCTGTGCTATCGCTCCAGCCCACTTACAGATGTTAAATGCATAAAATACTTTGTAAAGAAAATGGCATTCTCAAGCCTGCGAATAGCTTTTCCTCTCCAATTATGTATCTGTTCTGGGAATGAAACAAATTATGTTACTACAAAAAGGTAATTTCATCTTCATTTTCTGATTATTATTTTGAAACAATCCCCTCTAGTTTCTTTTCTCCACCTCCTCTTCCTCCTGTTGCTCCTCCACTTCCTCCTCCTTCCTTCTTCTTCCTTCATCTTCCTTCCTTCCTCCTCTTCCTCCTCTCCTCCTTCCTTCTTCCTTCTTTTCTTCTTCTTTCTTCTTTTTCCTCCTTTTTTTCTGACCCCACTTGGCCATGCTCGGGGCTTACTCCTGCTGGCTCTGCACTAAGGAATCACTCCTGGTGGGGCACAGGGAACCATATAGGATGCCAGGGACTGAACCCCGGTTGGCTGCATGCAAGGCAAGAACCTCACCTGCTGTACTATCTCTCTGACTCCACTTCTCTTTCCTTGAGGCTTTTATTTTGTTTTTCTCTTCAATCCTTTCTTTGGGATAGTAGCATAAGCTGCCAGTGTTCCTAGTCTAAGTATTTGGACATTCCTTTTTGAAAAACAATCTGATAAAGCCCTGCCTTCCCGGAGAAATTCTTATGTGTCTATGCAGTGTGTAGGTACAATACTACAGATTAATTCACAACTGCTTCTGAACTAGGGGCCACCTAAAATCTGTATTCACAAATAAACTCAGATGGCACTCTCTCTGAAATTTCAGAAACTTGTGTGATTTGCTAGTCCTCCAGCTTCCGATTTAGTTCTCTTCCTGAAAGGCTTATCTATTCTTGCTCTGTTTTCACTCTTTGATCCCATTTCTACTTGGTCACTCTTTGAATTTTTACTCAAGTTACTCCCCGTTGTGTTCCTCTCTGGGGCCACTATTGACTTTCTTGTTGCCTAATCCAGATGGTTACTTTTCAAACCTTACCTTTTGTGAACTTTTCCAAAGCATTTATTTGGTGGGGGGGGACACCCCAGCAGTGCTTGGAACTCACTGGAGTCACATCTGATGGAGCTGGAGAGGGCGCTGTAGTGCCAGGGATTGAATTTAGGGCCTCATGCCTGCCAGACCTGTGCTTTAGTCTTTGAGCTATCTTCTTGGCCCCACGTGTGTCTTAGTCATCGATGGTCTTCTGGAAACATTTCTCTACTTTAACTTCAGTGCCATGAATTATTCATTCAGAAGTTATGTATTGAGCATTTTGTTGCTTGAGTGGTACACACTGGAGGACCAGAGATGAGCATGGAACATTTGGTTCTGAGCTTCATTGAATCTGCAGCTAGGGAACAAGTGACAATCCCCTTTCCTTCCCCATTCTGTCTAACCCTTAATGTTGATATACTCTGGGATTTCATGGTGATACAGACAAATCCATATGGCTCCCTGTAGCCCCCCAGGATATTCCAAAGGGGTCACTTGATCACTTGATATCCTGTTACTCATCGATTTGCTCGAGTGGGTGCCAGGAACGTCTCCATTCGTCCCTGTTGTGTGCTAGCATAGCCCAATGGCATCTGCTCATTCTAGGAACATGCAGAGCCTCAAACCTATAGTTCAGGGTCTTGATGAAGAAGTCTGACCATCTCGTAGGTGGGCGTCCACGTGCGATCTTTTGACGTCCCGTAGAATCCAGTCGCTAATGGCTCTAGTTCAGCGGTCATCTCTAAATTCATTACGTGTCCAGCCCATCTGATTTTCGGTGCCTTGGCAAACGAGACAGCGTCCCTGATTCTTGAGCATTGACGGAGGTTGGTACTCCGGATTCTTTCTCTCATTTGAGTGAAGCGTGATACTCCAAGCATAGCTCTTCCGATTCTTCTTTGAGAGACCCGAGTAGCATTCTCATCCTGTTCTTGTAGGGCCCAAGTCTCTGAGGCGTATGTTAATGCAGGAAGAACAGTGGAATCGAAAAGATGTGCTTGGAGCTAGAGGTTCTTCGTCCTCTTAGCTATTTCTTCGGCGCTCTTGAAGGCGTCCCAAGCCACTCTCTTTCTCCTGTGCAACTCAGGTGCCAGGTCATTCATCATGTTGACCTAGGTACACATAACTGTTGCATTCGGAGATGTTTGTTCCGTTGAGAGTGAATGGAACGTCAGGAACAAGACTGTTTCTCATGAACATTGTCTTTGTGAGATTCAGCTGTAATCCGACCTTTCCACACTCACGGTCAAAGTCTGTCAGCATTTGTGCCACTTGGCTGATGTTTGGTGTTATTAGAACGATGTCATCAGCAAAGCGGAGGTGGTGTAGTTGCCGACCATCTATCTTCACTCCCATTCCTTCCCATTCCAGTCGTTGCATGACGTTCTTGAGGGTCACAGATGAAAATTGCGTAAATGGGGAGGATGGCAGAGCATAAGAGTGGGGACCATCTGGTAGGTTAGGTGGGTACATGGGGAAAGCAAGGTCAGAAGGGGACCACGGTTAGAGAAAGTTAAGAAACAGGACTCTAGACCTAAGCCTTTCCTGGTCTTGCTTCCATATTCTCTTTAGATAATCCCGTAAACACCATGACACCAGCTACTTCTATGTGCTGAGCTTCCGATGGAACCAAGAGCTTCACTCTCACAGTCCCTTTTAGTCCCCTTTATTTGCTGTTTTTGTTTGTTTTTTTTTTCCTAATGGCATTCCAGGCACCAGGTGGTGGCAGGGATCAATCAGAATTGTACTCCCACCAGATATAGAAGGACTGCATTCATTTGTGCTATATAAAAACTATAGTAGAAGCCTTAATATCTATGGCCAGGGAAAATGGGTTAGGAGGACTGATCAGTGGTTGGAACTATCCACAAGTGTGTGTGGGGCTGAGAGTAGGTAAGCTAGAGAAGACACTGCTTTGGAACAGACAATAACAGCTGGGAATGATCACTCTGGACAAGATCTGAGGGTTAAAATAGGTAAGGGATTTTTTTTTCTTTTTGGGTCACACCCAGCGATGCTCAGGGATTACTGGCTTTGCACTCAGGAATTAGTCCTGGTGGTACTTGGGGGACCATATGGGATGCTGGGAATCGAACCTGGGTCGGCTGTGTGCAAGACAAATGCCCTACCCGCTGTATTATCGCTCCAGCCACAGGATATTCTTGATAACCTTTCAGTATCAATATTGCAAAACAAAATGCCCAAAGGGGGGAGGGAGGGAAAAGGAGAGAGAGAGAGAGAGAGAGAGAGAGAGAGAGAGCGCCTCCCATAGAGGCAGGCAGGGGATGAGGGGAGGGAACCTGGGGACACTGGTGCTGGGAAATGTACAGTGGTGGAAGGACGCGTGTTGGAACACTATGACTGAAACTTAATCGTGAACAGCTTTGTAATGGTCTGTCTCACAATGATCCAGTACAGCACTGTAGCACGACTGCAATGTCCTCCCGTTCATCGATTTGCTCAAGCGGGCACCAGTAAGGTCTCCATTGTGAGACTTGTTACTGCTTTTGGCACATCAGATATGCCAATGGGAACTTGCCAGGCTCTGCCGTGCAGGTGGGATATTCTTAGTAACTGTCTGAGAGGGACGGAGGAATCAAACCCGGGTCAGTCGCATGCAAGGCAAATGTCCTACCCGCTCTGCTATTGGCTCCAGCCCGATAACAAGAAGTAACAAGTCTCACAATGGAGACGTTACTGGTGCCCACTTGAGCAAATTGACGAACAATGGGAGGACAGTGCTACAGTGATTCAATAAAAAAGTAAAAATATATATATAAAGTTATATATATATATATATATATATATATAAATTTGGGCTGGAGCCATAGCACAGTGGTAGGGCATTTGCCTTACAAGTGGCCAACATGGCCGACCCGAGTTTGATTCCTCCACCCCTCTCGGAGAGCCTGGCAAGCTACCGAGAGTATCTCACCCACATGGCAAAGCCTGGCAAGCTACCCATGACGTATTCGATATGCCAAAAACAGTAACAACAAGTCTCATGATGGAGACGTTACTGGGCCCACTCGAGCAAATTGATGAACAATGGGAGGACCGTGACCGTGAGCCTCCATCATCCAGTTGTGCTCAGCATCTGCGGCTCTTGCTGTTCCATCCAGCCCTTGGCCAGGCTTCCCTGACCTCCCTGGGCTCCTGGCTACAGTGCTTGGCTGGACTGTCGCAATCCTCTGCAAGTACCTGGAATGGGTGGGAACCAAAGGTCCCTGCAGTGGTATCTGTGTGCGAAGCACGTGGTATTTGGCAAGGGGAAGCGGTGTTGTAACCGCGGATGGCTGCACTTCCCTGAGGCATACTGCGTAGCTGGAAGTGAGGGGGCAGTGCCAGTGTCCTGACCACAGCGTCTCTTGCAGAGCTGCCTCACTCCCAGAGCGCCCCGGCCGTCAGCAGCACCTGCACAAAAGTGCTCTACTTCACCGACCGCTCCCTCACGCCCTTCATGGTCAACATACCAAAGCGGTGAGATTCTAGGCCATTTTGATTTCTTTGCTGAATTTTAATTTTGTGTGTGTGTGTGTGCGCGTGCATGCGCGCGCGTGTGTGTGTGTGTATGAAGCCAGACAATTTTTTTTTTCGCCTTTTGGGTCACACCTGGCATTGCACAGGGGTTACTCCTCGCGGTGCTCAGGGGACCATATGGGATGCTGGGAATCAAACCCGGGTCGGCCGCATGCAAGGCAAACGCCCTACCCGCTGTGCTATCGCTCCAGCCGCAAAGCCAAATAATTTTTACTGAATGAAACTTACTTAGATGTGAGGGAGAGAAAGAGAGGAAATATATGTTCAAGAGAGAACACAGACCTCTCCAGAGTGGAAGAAGCAAAGAGACATAGAGACAAGCAGATGAGATGTATTTCCAGAGGGGAACACGGCCTTGAAGAGCAAGCTCCTCTTCCTCTCTTTAAAAAAACGGGGCTGGAGGGACAGTGTGGGGTTAAGACACTTGCCTGGCATGCTTTGGACCCAAGTTCCGGTTCCATCTCTCGTGCCACTTGGTTCCCTGACAGCGTCACTGAGTGCTCTGCCCCTCCCCTCACCCAAACATAGAGCTGGGGGTAGTCCCCAAGCATCGCAGGGTGTGGCCCTCAGTGCCCCTCTTCTCCCTCTCAAAAGGGACAGAAGCCTTCGTAACTGCCCATATGATGAGCTGAGGAAGCCGGGCAGTGTACAAGGTGCACGGGCAGTACCTTATAGTTGCAGCCTTACTGTCACCAGCCACTTCATAGAAGACAAGTCGTCCTCTGCTAGGTCCAGCCCCAAGAGTCATTATCCTGTGCCCATAACTATATAGATAGACTCAGGTTAGCTAAAGTCGTTGTGTTTTTTGGGGTGCTTTTTGGTTTGCTTGTTTTTGGTCTGCACTGGCAGTGCTTGGGGCTTACTCCTGACTGCACTCAGGGATCACTCCTGGCTGGCTCAGGGAACTGCATCTGGTGCTGGAGATTGAACCTGGGTCAGCTGTGTGCAAGCAAGTGCCTTGCCCGCTGTACTATCTCTCTGGCCCATACAGGTGCCTCTGTAAAGTGCTCAGGCCTGCTCCTAGCAACTCAGCCCAGTAATGGATGCTGCAGGCTACCAGGGCAAAACTGGGGGCAGGCACGGGGCTGTGTGCTACTGGGGATCTAACTTTGGACCTTACACATACAAGGGAGCAAGGCATGTGCTCATCCTGTCCATCTATCTTTCTCATCTGAGGTCTTTTTTTTTTTTAAGCAGGGTAGTTTCTATTGAAATTTATTTAGAAAGATGTAAGGGGGAAAAAAGACAGAAGTACAACATGGGCTTCTCCAAAGTGAAAATAAGCAAAGAAACATACAGGCAAGCAGGCAAGGTATGCGTTCGAGGGAGACACGGGTTCGAGAAGCAGACCCAAGGAGGTCTTTTTTAAGTGCCCCAAAATAGATCCTACACAGTGTGGGACCCTCTTACTCTTCGATAGTTGTTCTCTTCCTCACTTAGCCGACCTCTTAAGGATTCATGTTAAAAACCTTCAAATCTATGCCAGAGCGACGATACAGCAAATGGGGCTCTTGCCTTGCATGTGTCTGACCCAGGTTCGATTCCTGGCACTCCTTGTGGGTCCCCTGAGCCTGCCAGGAGTGATCCCTGAGCACAGGGCCAGGAGTAAATCCTGAGCACAGCCAGGTGTGACCCCCACACCAATCAAACACAAAGACCCTTCAAACCCTTGCTTGATACACACCCTCAAGAAAACAACATTTTTAAATAATAGAGAAGCACCTCCCACCCCTGCGTGGTGTTTGGGGCCATCAGGGCTGTACAGAGTTAAGGGGGAGAAGTGGGCAGTTTGGAGGATTGGATTCAGGACCTTGAGCTTGCTAGACCTACCTTCCACCATGACCCAAAGAAAGGAAGTTTTGCAGGATTCTTAAACTTGGGAATCACTGCTGAGGGGACAGCAGTGATTTCCTAGGATCTACATACTTGGTTTGATAGGGGGGAGCTTTCTGATGCAAGGAGCAGAAATGGACAAGACTTGATTGAATCCGCCTGCCTTGGGAAATGGAGCACTGTGAAAGGAAACAATTCAGAGAACCTTAGGCCGAGAGTTGATATGATTTCAGAGAATTCCATTTTATTTCTCGGGAAAAGTCATTTGAGTTTTGTTCTTTTGGAGCCATACCTGGAGGTATTCAGGACTTACTCTTGGCTCTGCATTCAGAGATCACTCCTGGCAGGACTCGGGGGACCGTACGGGGTGCGGGGGATTAAACCCAGATCTGCCTCCTCATAAGGCAAGTGCCCTGTCCTCTGTGCTATCTCTCAGGCCCCAGAGAAAAGTAATTTGACTGCTGCTGCAGTAGTTTTAAATTCCCAGATCACCCCATAGGTAAGGCGATTTCTTCCCCTGTGTGGTGACTGGCTTCCTCAAAGGTGGTTTTAGACTTTGTTGGGTTGTCAGCGCAGTGAGCTGCGAAGGTCATGCACTATCTGCTTGGCCGCTGACAGGGGCCTGCTTTGGGGTAACTTCTTATCTCTCTAACCTATTGCTAACGAGTCGATTTGAGGGCTTTGCTATTCCTATTACAGGTTGGGGGAGGTGACCTTGAAGGATTTCAAAGCAGCCATTGACCGGGAAGGGAATCACCGGTACCACTTCAAAGCTCTGGATCCTGAGTTTGGCACCGTCAAAGAGGAGGTACAGACTCCCCAGGGAATGTGGGTGATGGTCCCTGAACCGGTATCTATAAGAACCCACGTTCCCTCACAGGTTAGAGGGATTTCCCAGGGCCTCCGGTCAGGGAGCAGCCCAAGAAGTTGATGGTGTCTTTACTTCAGGGTCAGTTGTTTTCATCAGTAACTGGGTTAGATTTTTTTTTTTTTGCTTTTTGGGTCACACCTGGCAATGCACAGGGGTTACTCCTGGCTCATGCACTCAGAAATGACTCCTGGCGGTGCTCGGGGGGACCATATGGGATGCTGGGAATCGAACTCGGGTCGGCTGCGTGCAAGCCCTACCTGCTGTGCTATTGCTCCAGCCCCAGGGTTAGAATTTTTAATCTTAAAAAAAAACAAAAAAAAGAAAAGGTGGGGGTGGGACACGGGTGAGGATGTGGTCTTGCGTGCAAGAGACCTGGGTTCAATCCCAGGCAATGCAAAACAAACAAAAAACTCAAGGGGCCACGCAGATGGTGCTAAGGCCTGTAGTGCGTGCGTGCGTGTGTGTGTGTGTGTGTGTGTGTGTGTGTGTGTGAGCTTGAGTTCTACCCGGGCACCTCCAGATACGGCTTCCAAACAAGTAAATAGAAAGAGACAGGTTTCTGGGCCAAGGATGGAGCTCAGATGGGGAGCACATATGTACCATGTGAGAGACTCTAGATTCTATTCTGTAGCCTCCTACTTGCCCCCCTCAGATGACCCTTGCTCACCGTCCCCTCTCCAGCACCACTAGGTATGACCACTCCAAAAAAAGGGAAAAAAACCAAAACAGGGAAAAATTTTTATTTTGTTATGGAAAATAGCATCAATTTGAACAAAACTGAGTTTTTAAGTTTCGTTCAGATTTGTAGGCACTGTCCTCCCGTTGTTCATTGATTTGCTCGAGTGGGCACCAGTAACATCTCACAGCAAATTGTGAGACTTGTTGTTACTGTTTTTGGCATATTGAATACGTCACGGGGAGCTTGCCAGGCTTTGCTGTACGGGCGAGATGCTCTCGGTAGCTTGTAGGCAGCAATTTTTTTCCTCTTTTTTTTTGAGAGGGCCACAACCATTAGTGCTCAGGGCTTTACCCCTGGCTCTGTGTTCAGGGATCACTCCTGGCAAGCCTCGGGGGACAATATGGAGTGCCAGGATCAAACCCTGATCAGTTGCCTGCGAGGCAAGTGCCATACCCATTGTACTATCGCTCCAGGCCTTTGTAGCCAAATCAAAAACTTTCTCTTTTCTGTGAAGCATAAACAAGTAGAGATGACTCTGTGGAACTGTGGTGGAAATCCCCCAGATAATGAAAACAAGTAACTTCTGGAAACTTCATCTTCTTATTCTGAACTTATTTACCACTTTGCTATATAGTTCCTCTGCTAGAAATAGACTTTTTGAGGAGCTGAAGCCTTGCACGTGGCCAGCCCAGGTTCAATTCCTGGTATACTGTGTTGTCTCTCCGAGCCTTTCCAGGAGTGATCTCTGAGCCTGAAGCCAGTCGTGAACATCATTGGATGTGGACCCCAAACGAAACAAAAAAAAGTCTTTGGGGGGACTAGTCCTGCAAGTGTTTTTTTTTAGTAACAGAATGCAAAAAGTTGTAAAGCCATGGGCTGGAGTGATAGTACATTGGGCGGGGTGCTAGTCTTGCACACAGCTGACCCATGTTCAATACCCATGACTACATATGGTCCCCCAAGCACCTACTGGAGTGATCTCTGAACACACAGTCAGCAGTAAGCCCTGAGTACCGGCAGGTGTGGCCCTCGAACAAAACAAAAAGTTGCTAAAGCCATTTTGTTTTGTTAAGATTTCTCCTCAGCTAAAATGTTTTAATAACCCTGTCTTGGGGCCAGAGCAATAGTACAGTGGGCAGGGCGTTTGCCTTGCACAATGGCTGACCTGGGGTCAGGCCCTGGCATCCCATTTGGTCCCCCCAGGCACTGCCAGGAGTGATTCCTGAGTGCAGAGCTTGGACTAACTTCTGAGCATCGCCTGAGTGACCCAAAAAGCCAACCCCCCCCAAAAAAAAAAACAAAACCTTGTCTTATTAGTAGCATAGGAAATGAAAGAATGAGAAAAATTGCATGCCAGCATATTAAGATTGGTCTTTTTTTTTAAATGTAGGAGTACTGCTATTTATTCAGCCACTGATTAGCTGATTGAATTGGGCATGATCTCCACCTTACTTTTTTTTTCATAATTTTATTTATTTATTTTTCTTCTTATATTTATTGAATCACTGTGGGAAAAGTTACTAAGCTTTCAGGTTTAAGTCTCGGTCATACAATGATCAAACACCTCTCCCTTCACCAGTATTCATTTTTCACCACCAAAACCCCAGTATATCCCCCCTCCCAACCCTCCCAGTGTCTGTGATGCAGGTGATTTCCACTTAACTCTTCTCTACATTGATTACATTCATTATTTCGACAAAAGATGCACCATTATTGTTTAGAAGTTCCCCCACCCCCAACAATCAGAATTGCTGAAAAGGCATTGAGAAATACTTTGTTTTCTATAGCTGGTTATAAGAATCATATAATCTCATGTGGCCGCAATAGCAGCCTCACGATTTTGGATTTCAGCAAAGAGCCAGATAATTACAAGATTGATTTCTGTGTGTCTGGTGTTATGGCTGTGCCAGAGAGCCGCTCCTGGGGGGCAACTCGTGATCTCCGTAGGGCGCGAAGGATGAGCTGGTACCGCCCCGCTTCCCATGAGACTGCAGTTTCCCTGTCAACGCCAGCTCATACCTGGCTTTCTTATAAGCTCAGAGGCGGTGGCCACCTTGCTGCTGGGGGGCGGGAAAAGGCAGAAGGGAGCAACACCCTTTCCCTCCTGGGGAGGAATGGTGCCATAGTTTAACGAATGGTCCAATCACTTTTCTGCCGCAAGCTGCCAGGCTCTGGATTAAGTCCTTTGGCCTCTGGAGCCATGGCTGTGCTGGAGAGAGAGCCGCTTGTGGGGGGCAACTCATGACCTCGGTAGGGCAAGAAGGACGAGCCGGTACCGCCCCCCTTCCCCTGAGACTGCAGTTGCCCCGTCAACGCAGGCTCATACCTGGCTTTCCAAGAAACTCTGAGGCAGCGGCCACCTTGTATGTGGTCCAGATGCATTTCTGCCAAAAGACTCTGGGTTTTGAGATTTGTTTCTGAGTCTCTGGGATCATAGCCGTTAATTAGCTTGATCAGGAATCAGAGAGGCCGTTTGTAGGCGGCGACTCGGGGTCTCACTGGGATGGGGAGGAAAGGGCTGGTTCCACCCCCAGCTGGTGAGGCCCCACGTGTCTCATCACTGCAGGCCCAAACCTGATCGTCCAGTGGCCTCTGGAGGATGGTGGTCACCGGGCCACCAAGGGGAACAGGCCAAGGCACGAAACCTATTCCCACCTGAAGTGGCCCAGCACCAGTAACCTACTGCAGGAACAGGATGCATTTCTGCCAAGAAGCCTTTGAGTTCCGAGATTCGTTTCTGAGTCTCTGGGATCATGGCTGTTAAGCAGTTCAATCAGGAGCCAGAGAGAGAGGCCATGCCTCCAATTATATAGCTGAGCCAGAGGTGGTTTGTGGGTGTGTCTCCCACATACCTAACTTTTGGCCATTTACTTTCTTGGTAAACTTTGCCCCAAGTTTTTGGGGTCTGGCAAGGCACAGCAGCAATTTTGGGGTATCTAAAAGCCTGACGGTGCCATCAGGCTGCTGATGCAGTTGCCTCACAGGTACAAATTGACCTGCTGGCAGCATCATACCCCCAAGATTGGTCTTTCTTACCCTTTCTTTAAAGTGCCTTGAGCCCCCGATTTCCCCCTTTTTCATTTAGGTATTTACAGTTGTTGTGGGGGCCACTCCCAGCAGTGCTGGGGCAAAGCACGAGGTGACAAGCATAGAGCCCAGGGCCTGGCACCTGGAAGACATGTCTTGTAGCACTGAGTCACAACTCTGATCTCCTCTGTCTCTCTTTTTCAGTGGCTTATACTTCTGTTTCTTCTAAGAAGGCCAAAAGTGCTCTGTCGTAATTGACTTACTAATTTCTAAAAATTTTATGAGCAAAGAAGTATTAGGATGCTACGGAGAGTATTCGATATGCCAGACACAGTAACAACAAAGTCTCCAATGGAGACGTTACTGGGCCCGCTCGAGCAAATCGACGATCAACGGGAGGGCCTTTACCTTTACCTTTTAACCATTCCATAGATGTAGACATAAAATTAATGCATCCACACCCACAAAATATACTTTTTAAAAAAACCTGTTACAACTTTTAGGGATAAAGCCAACGGGACATGGAGTCTAACTCAAGATTTTTTTTTTTCATCCTTCCTTGATCTTTTTTTTTTTTGGCTTTTTGGGTCTCACCTGGCAATGCACAGGAGTTACTCCTGGCTTTGCACTTAGGCATTACTCCAGGCAGTGCTCAGGGGACCATATGGGATGCTGGGAATCGAACCCGGGTCGCTGCGTGCAAGGCAAACGCCCTACCCGCTGTGCTATTGCTCCAGCCCCTTCCTTGATCTTTTTATGAGATGCCGTATCTTACTCTTCTTTTCCCATCATGGCTTTTTCTCTAGGTTTTCCATGATGACGATGCCATCCCCGGATGGGAAGGGAAAATAGTAGCCTGGGTGGAGGAGGATCACGGCGAGAATTAAACTGAGTATCAGGTGGAAGACTTTCGGAACTTGACTCTCCCTGGCTGCTCGACTCAGGAAAGAGGACTGAAACCAGGAAACACTACGAAGTTTCTAGTTCATGCTGCCAAAAGAGAAGCTTCTCCAAGGGTAACAGCCAGAGAGGCCAGTCCTGTTTGTGTGCCTGGCACATGTGGCCCTTAAAAATCCCTGTCCAAATGGAGACCCCGGCTTCCTCTGCAATTCCTCGTTATGGGAACACAGTGTTTCATTCTGCTCTGAGGATAACAAACCCAAGGCCTTAAGCAACGGGAATGGGCCATTCAGCTCTGATAGGGGCATGGCTGCTAGGATCTGGAAACTGGGAATCAGAGGCGTCACTGCTGCGTGTTACAGTATTACTTGGCCTAGATGGTTGCAGCAGTCCTGGTGTTTGTACTCGCAGACAAGGCACGGGTAACCTGTTTCCTGCTTCTTCGAAGCTGCTGCAAATGCATCAAGGGGGAAGCCCACTCCTCAGCCATCTTTCTGGACTGGTCGTGGATGGTGCATTATCTTGGACTTGCTGGGAAACATCTGCCTCACATGTGCTATCCTTGGCCAAAACCATAATGAAGTTAGACCTTGGGCTGCCTCTGGTGTCTTAACTGGTTCTGCAACTTGTCCTTGAGCCCAAGGGGACATATTTCAATGTACTGTTAGTTTTCTCTGGGGACTCTTTTAACTGGAGCCTTTTTAAACATTCTAACTGATGAACTTTGTATTTGAAAGGAATGAGGAGTTAAAAAACTCCTTGAGAATCCAGGCGGGTGTGGAACGGTGCTGCTATCCATATCTTCTTGACTTTCTTTCTTTCCCTTAGGACTTAAGTTTCTCTATTGTTGTCTCCTTTGCACTCAAAAGGGAGGCAGATCATTAATTTCAGTATTTGTGATTTTTTTTTTTTTGAGAACCGAGCATGAGTTTCTGGTCTATGCCTCCTTGTTTCAAGGCCAGGGTGTTTTGGTTTTTGGTTTTTCCCATTACCTTGAATCTAGGCTGATTCTTTGGGGCACGATAGAAACCAGGGAGCATGGAGCCTGAGTTGTGAATGGCAGGGCTGATTCTGGGTGAAAAAAATCAAACCTAGAATACTTTCTTATGTGTAGCATTGTTAAGTGTAGTAGCTCAAAAAAAAAAAAAGTTGAATTGCCAGCAATTACCTATTAACTTGGGTTTTCTCATTCATTCACCAAGCACCATCAGCCATTTTACACATAGATACAAGCATCGCATTCAAGTATGTATGATACACACATTTTCCAAAGCAGCCTGCCTGGGACCGCCAATGTACACTGCCAACCTGAGGAGTTAGACAGACCGATTCTGGGTTCCTGACCGGTCTGTCTAGTTCATCGCCCTGTTCAGCTATTTCCAGCAGATGACTGGCGCTCTTAAGAGGACATTTCATTGTTTTCTATGGATCTGTCTTTCTAAGATAATTCATGTTTGGAGAATTCTTTTGTACTCATTTGCTTTTTTTGTCTGAGAACCATGTCTATTTTTATAACTTGAGTGTGAGTGCTGTATATTCTCACATTCTGTATACTCTCTCCATTTTCTAGAGAACCCAGTGGCTTTTTTACAGGCTCTTCTTACCAGCTCTTGTGGTTTCAGAACAGCTTTATTTTATTAAGAGTATATTAATAACTAACTCCAGTTCCAAGTCTACCTGCCATTTTCGGGGTGGAGGTGGTTTTAATGTAAAATTGAATTGATGGCTCCTCTTGAAGACAAGAAGAGTTCAAAAGACAGCTAATAGGGTCCATGTAAGTTAACCTGGTTTTCTCCTAATCATAGAATGATTTCTCATTGGAAAAGACTGGAAAAGTGTGGGAAAGTCGGTCCAAGGCAAGAAGAATTCATTATGGAAGCAAACAGAAGAAAACAGCATATTCTCAGGTTCTTTTTCCCAGGAATCCTGGAGGAAAAGTCCTTGAGTCACCAATTTCTCTGTTGCATGTGAATTTTAGTGTTTTGCTATAAAACAGCATGAGGGTTATCAGGCCAAAATCCATTATTGTATTTCTCATTTTGATCCATTTTTTACTTGTCAGGATTTTTGTCTGCTTCAGCCAACAGTCTAACCGTTATGTGCAATTTAACTTCTCAGAGAAAATTAAATCAGAAAATTTCAAAGTCCTCAAGCTGATTTGTCTTGTTACTCCTTTGTATTTGGAGGAAGGGTCACATGGCCTTAGCATGCATAGAAAGCTGAAGTCGAGATCAGGAGATGAAAGGAGGCCATTTCCCCCCTTCAGCTTTTTAATCTCCTGTGCCACAGGTAATGACTAGGTACCCTAGTTGCAGGTTATTGCTCCACTAATTCTTGTGTAAAATGTCCAGTTTCTAAAGGCCGAGAAGGCTTCTGAGGAGGAGTGTGTAATGATTTGTTCTGATCTTAAAAAGTCTGATTGATGGGTCCAGAGTCTATGATAGTACAGCGGTAGGATGTTTGCCGACGCGGGTTCAATACACTTGAGCATTGCCAGGAATAATTCCTGAGGACAGAGCCAGGAGTATCTCCAGATGTGGCCCAAACAAAACAAAACAACAAAAAAATGTGGTTTAGATGCTGCATTGGTTCCACCACAGTGAGCCTCTTAGAGTACTGCCCCCTAGTGACATTTATGTGGAATGGTGCCTGTGGAACCCTGCCGCACTGAAGCTCTTTGGAACTAGAATGTTGAAACAATCTAAACTCTAGTGGGTTAATGAAACAAATAGCCCTCTCATCAAAATAATTTAGCATAAAGCTCAATTCCTAAAAACGCCTTTATTTATAAACCGAGGTGGGCGGTACAGAGTGCTAGTACAGCGGATAGGGCGCTTGTCTTGCATGCCACCAGCCCAGGTTCGATTCCCAGCATTCCATATGGTCTGCTGAACCTGCCTGGAGTGATCTCTGTGCAGAGCCAAGAGTAAGCCCTGAGCACTGTGGGTTGTGGGCCCCAGACAAAACGAAGTACTGAGGATGGGGCTAGAGAGAACTCAGCAGACTGAGAGCTTGTCTTACATGCAGGAGGTCTAGGTTCAATCCCCAGCACCAACCTATTCCAGAGCGTCTCTGGGAGTGACTCCCAAGCACTGCTGGGTGTGTCCACCTCTTTCAACTTTCCCACTTCCAGACATTCAAAACAACAAAATAACCAATTGAGGATTGTTCACACTCAGTTTCTTAAATTAACTACAATTGGAACACTTTACAGTTAGTACCTAACACTGGCTTTGGCAGGACATTACACTAAAATTGGGATAATAAAGATTGGGAAGGGTGACATGTAAATTTGTGAAGAATTCCATACTTTTTATAAAAAGCTTTTGTCAAAAAAATAAAAAAAAATCCATACCTAGCATATTTGGACTAAACTAAAATTGGAATAATAAAGATTAGCATGGTCCCTGCGGAAAGGTGACATGCAAATTTGCGAAACATTCCATATTTTTTATAAAAACCTTTTGTCAAAAAAAAAACAAAACAACACATACCTAGCATATTTGGACTAAACTTGGTCATGGCAGAGTTCTGCTTATTGACCAACCTCGTAACCCTTTTTGACCAATAGCTGCAAATTGAGGAAAATATCTTTATGCTCTACATCATATCCAAGAGGACTTTAATTTAGCTCATTATTATTTTCATTTTCACCCTCAAACATGATTGCACACTCCCATTACGTGAACATATGTAAGAGGTATGGTTTGTTTGAAATACGTATAAATGTAAAATTATATTTTCTTAGAAACTGGATGTTTGCAACCATTGCTTTCAAAGAGATTATTGCCATGTATTCTCTTCTCCCTTTTACAATGTTTTCATGAGGATTTACTAGAGGCTTGTGATTATCAAAATGATAACCACTTTTAACTGCCTGTATGTACCAGATTTTTGAACTAAAAGAAAAGACAAACCGAATAAAATGGAGTTTGCAAACTGAATACCATAAGTCATTTTCATTTGTGTTTACTGGCGGATACTAATCAATGAAGCGGTTAACCTTTAGTGAAAGTAAATTTCCTCAAGTGATCTCCCTGGTAGCATGTTTGCTTATTGCATAGACAGTACAGATAAGAAAGTTCATTGCTCCAGATAGTTTGCTTATTGGTATTTCCAATGCAAACATAAAATGGATTATTATTCACAGAGAATTCATTGACTTAGCGCTTCTTTTATTTATTTACTAATTTCTTTTGGTTTTGATACAACTGCCTGCTGTACTCAAGGCTTATTTTTTTTTAACTTTTTATTGAAGAATCACTGTGAGATAGACCTTTGCTAAGCTGTTCATGATTAGATTTCAGTCATACAGTATTCCAACACTCATTCTTCCACCAGTGTACACTTCCCAGCACCACTGTCCCCAGGTTCCTTCCCATCTCAAAGCTTACTCTTGACTCTGTGCTCAGGGATCACTACTGGAAATGCTTAGGGGACCATGCGCAAAAAAAAAAAAAAATTGCTGTAAATAGTCTCTTATGTGAAAGCAAAGAAACATTAACGAGAGTTTCAGAAGTGTCATAATTGGTTTTTTGACCACAGTGGACCATGCTTATGGTTTATTCCAGGATCTTTGCTCAGGGATCATTTCTGGTGAGCTCAGGGGACCATATGGGTTGCTGAGGATCCAATCCAGGTTGGCTGTGTGCCAGGCAAGTGCCTTACCAACTGTACTATCTCTCTGGCTCCAGAAATGTGATGTTTAAAAGAGCCAGAATCCCCAAATTAATTTCAAAGTTGTCTCCCTAAAACTTAAGGCTTTAGTATTTTAATTGAAATGGTTTTTATATACATCAATTTTTTGTCCTGAGTGCTTTTCAATTACATATTTTCATCTGCTAATTGCTATCCAGTTTAATAGGTTTATCCCATTATTGTGCTAAAAGGGTAAAGACCTGAATTAGAATCTTCCTCTACTGTCAATCCATTGTATATCAGTAGTAGTATTCTACAAGTCTTACTATATCAAATATTAGTCTTGGGTTCCCCATTTCCTTAAATTTTTTTTTATCCAAATTGGGTTTTTTCTTAAGTCTGTTCTCCCTGAACTGATTTGACAAATCTAAGTGTTCCTGGCCCACCTCTGGCATCAACAGAATCACTTTTGGACTTTTTGACATATACCCTTCTATAATAACTATACTCACCAAAAGTATTTAAGGGGCTGTCGTCTTTCCTGGTGTAAGGCCCTGGATTTGATCCTTTAAAATGTAAACTTGCAGCCACTGGAGAGATGTGAAATCCTTGGTTCATTCCTTGGCACCACACAAAAAATTTGCTATGCTTTGAGAAAAAGTGAAACAAGGTGGAGATGGAGTTTAGTATATACAGCAGGTAGGGTGCTTGCCTTACATGTGTCTGAACCAGGTTTGATCCCCAGCACCCTTATTCAGTCATCTGAACCTGCCAGGGAGATCCCTGAGCACAGAGCCAAAAGTAAGCCCAGAGCTGGGTGTGATCCCAAAACCAGAAGAAAAATAAAAAAGTGAAACATGGTATTGTACTTAAGAGAACAGCACAGCAAACTAAAGATCATCCCCAAAAGTGAATTTAAATCTAGTTAATAAATTCAAATGCAGTAAAAATAGTATCAGAGTTTAGTCAGTTCTAAGTCCTTAAAAGAATTTTTATTTGGGGCCAGAGAGATAGCATAACAGGCAGGGTACTTATCTTGCACAAGGCTGACCTGGGTTTGATCCCTGGCAGTTCATATGGTCTCCTAAGCCCCATTAGGATTGATTCCTGAACACAGAGCCAGTAATGAGCCCTGAACACTGCTGGGTGTGGATTTCCGCCCCCCACCACCACCCAGAAGAAATGTTTTGGATCCACACCTGTCCAGTTCTCAGGGCTTATTCTTGGCATTGTGCTCAGGGACCATATGAGGTTCGGGGAGGTGGGGTGGAGGTCAAACCCAGGTTGGTTGTGACTGCTGTACTATAGCTCTGGCCCTTTCAATTCTTGATTTATTATAATTACTTATATTTTCCAGCTGCAGAATATTTCTACATTATATGATAACTGCTCTCATTTCAATATGCTTTTCTATTTAATTCAAATATTTTGACTGCTTATTATTCTATTAGGCAGATATGTCTGCCTAATCTATTCCTTATTTCTAGTTGTTTTTCCAGTTTTGCTATAACACTATTATTTCCCTTTGGGGGAAAAATATAGACAGCACAGCCAATAGTGCTTGGGGAAAGAGGCCTGGTGGCTGCTGGTAGCTCTTTTCTAAGTGGGTGGGCCTAGGGTTGTGTGGTCTGTCTAGGAGGGTGCCGGGGAGCCACTAACCCTCTAGGCAGAGGTGCTGTGGCCTGGCACATACACCCCATGCCATCTCACCTGAGCTGTCTCCCCGACTCAGCACCGTGTTTTGAAGGTCATACAAATACTGGAAGAGAATTTTGGGGAAACATGTAAACTTTTGTTATGATCTCTAAAACCAATATTCAGTGCCTCCAGTGAGTGTATCTGTTTTACTGCAGTTTCCTCAGTAGTGCAGGCTTTTGACAAGAGAAACTGTGTTTAATAGTGAAGCTTAGCACTCTTACTCAGGCCCTCCGTGGAAACAGCAAGAAATGGTTGCTCAGCATCCCCAAGACAGGCTCCCAGGGGTTAAGTGGACAAGGCAAGCGGGCAATTAACAGCAGAGTTCCTTAGCGTCAGACAGGACAGAGCCCAAAATAGCACTGGAGAAGAGCTGCTGCTGCTGCTTGGGAGAAAAGGTTCCTGGCAGGAGCAAAGGACAAGCTGTCAAGCCGTTCAGGGCAGTCCCAGGACCAGCGGCAGAACTGGTGGCTCCAGCAGTGCCAAAGTCCAGGGGGACAGCGCTGGTCTGGAACTCTTGGCTAGCCACCAGCAGGAGCTGCTCCAAAACAGCAGATCTTTGGACCTACCCAGGAGGGCGGGTAGGCAGGCCTGATCAGAGGAATAAACAGTGCTCGCCCAGTTTGCTTTTTACAGCTCCTTTTTCCAAGCATGTATGAAATAGGACATCCGGGCTGTTTTACGTTCCCCAATGTTTAATAACTAGTGAGACTGTTCCCCTCCCTCTTCCCCTCGCTCCCCCTCCCTCCTTTGTTTTTTGGGCCACACCTGGCTATGTACTACTTAGGGTTTCCTCCTGGCTCTGATCACTCCTGGTGGGCTCTGGGAATCCAACCCCAACAGGCCATATAAGGCTTTACCCCGCTGTACTACTGCTCCAGCCCCTGAATGTTTTTTTTTTTTCTTTTTGGGTCACACCCAGGGATGCTCAGGGGTTACTCCTGGCCCTGCACTCAGGAATTACTCCTGGCGGTGCTTGGAGGGACCATATGGGATGCCAGGGATTGAACTCCGGTCAGCCACGTGCAAGGCAAACAACATCCCGGCTGTGCTACCACTCCAGCCCCTGAATATGTTTTAAAATGTATTTTTGGATTTGTTTTCCTCCCCCCCCCCCCCCCCAAATTTTTCCTGTCCAGTCGTTCTTGGGTTCTTGGTGTTCTCTCACCATCTGTACAGTGGGGGACGGGAGCCCGTGTTTCCTTCTGATGATCTCGTGCTCAGAAACAACAGTACTTTCGCCTTATAACAGGATGATCACCCTACAGTCGGACAGGGGTGGTTGGGAGATGTCTTCCGTCCACTCCACAGGTGCATGGGGCTGCCCTCTCGGATGCTCTGCCCACTTCCCAGGAGTAACCCGCAGTCCTCCCAGCCTAGCCGGGGAAACCAGAGCTCTTCCTTATTTTTTTTTGTACGCCTTATTCTTATTTCCCGGAGGCCACAACCCGGTGGGTGGCTCAGGGCCGCCGACTCCCGCCTCTGCGCTCTGGGATCCCTGCCGGAGCGGGCTGGGTGCCGGATGGGGGACTCGAACCGGGATCGCCCGGGCGGCCCGCTGGACCGCGGCTCCGACAGCTCAAGGAACGGTTCGCAGCGCGGGTGGGCGAGCTGGGTCAGCCGATCCCTTCCGTCGGCGAACCCCGCCGGCTGCGGCAGCGGCGCTCGAGCCTGGGTACAAATGGACCTTCCTCTTGGCTGCCCTTCACGGCCGCCGGGCGGGGAAATCTGCTCCCGCCGACTTCCGGTTGGGCCGCACACCTGAGATCGGATCTGGGCCAGCCGGGGCAGGTGCCCCGCGCCCGAACCCCCCGATCGGCAGTGGGCGGGGGTGGAGTGGGGGGAGGGTGGGCTCCCGGGACGCCCGCGGCCCGCTCCCTCCCCGCACCACCCACCCCGCGCTCCGGGCCGGCCTCGGGGCCCCGCGTTTCCGCGCCACGCGGCCCCGCCCCTCAGCCCACCGGGTCGGGCCACTGGCTCGGCGCCGTCCCCTCAGGCTCCTCCCTTTGCCGACCCCGGGATGCCTTTCCCGCCCGCCGGGCCGTCTCGCTGCTCCCGGGCGGCTCCGCAGGCCGCCTCCAGCCGCCCCCTCTCGCGCCCGGGCGTCGCGCCCTCCTCTCCGCCCCCCCCTCCCCCCCGCCGCCGCGCGCTCCTGAGGGCCGCGCAGGGGGCGGGCCGCGGCGTGTGGGAGCGTTTTACGACAGCGCGCGGCGGGCGCGGCGTGGCTGACGGCAGCGCCGCGCGGCTCTCGGAGAGGTCACTCCGGAGACGCGTTGGTGTCGGGCTTGTGGGGGGCAGCGGCACGATGTGGCGCGTCTGTGCGCGGCGGGCCCAGCGTGCGGTCCCCGGCGCGGTGTTCTGGGCGCGGCGGGCCGCGCGCAAGGAAGGGCCCGGGGCGGCGGGCGCGACCCCGCGGGCCGGCCGGGTGCCGGCGGGCTGCCGCGGCGCGACCACCGGCCATGGCGGGGGCCGGGCCCTCAGTGGCTGGAGCCCGGGGGCCCGGGCCACGCCGCGCAATCGCTTCCTGCTGCAGCTCCTGGGGCCGCCGGGCCGCCGCGCCTACAGCCTCCCGCCGCATCAGAAGGTGAGCCCCCGCCCCGAGCTGCCCTTCAGGGCGCCCCGTTATCCTTCAGGACGGCCGCCCGGCTTCGGGAACCCTCCCCGCGCCGCCGCGGATTCTCCTCCCACTTCCCCTTGTGTGTCATCGTCCCGGCCGCGCCGGGCTCCGCGCGGGCTCCTGGGCTTCCCTCCCCCGGTCCGTGCCCTTACTGTAAGAGCCCTGGGGCCCCGGGGCCACCGAGGTCCGATCTGGTGGCCCGGACTGGGGCTGGGAGGAGGAGGAGGAGGAGGAGGAGGAGGAGGAGGAGGAGGAGGCGGCAGCTCGGGTGCTCTCGGGAGTGCCCTGCGGGTGATGGAACGCGGTCGTCTGCATTCAATGAGGTTGAACTCAATGAATCGTTAAATCGGACCTCGAGTTTAAAGGGAGTGTTTCTCCTTTTTTCTCCTCCAGGTGCCATTGCCTTCCCTTTCCCCCACGATGCAGGCAGGCACCATCGCCCGGTGGGAAAAAAAGGAAGGGGAGAAAATCAACGAGGGTGAACTAATTGCAGAGGTGAGTAAGTTGCTTTACGTATAGAAATGAGTTCGAAGAAACTGGTTTAGCTTAACCGGCTGAACGTTGATTTTTTTTTTAGATCGGACACCATCCCCGTTGCTTAAAAAAATTTGATGTTTGGAGGGGGCACACCCAGCAGTGCTCAGGGCTTACTTCTGGCACTGTGCTCAGGGATCACTCCTGGCAGGGCTGGGTGCGGGGGGGTAGCATATGTGGTGCCAGGGATTGAACTCAACTTGGCCGCATGCAAGCAAGAGCCCTAACCCACTGTACTATCTCTCTGGCCCCGAGAAACTTACTTTTTACAAGCTAGTAGTAGGAAAGTTCTGTTGGGGAAGATGCACGTGGATTTTTAACTAACATTGTTAAAATTTGTTCTTTCAAATCCCTAATGGAGGCTTAATCTTCACCTGTTGATCTGTGTGGTTCTATACACAACTAATAGTTGATAACTAACGTTGTAAACCTAAACGTCTGCATTTGTGTTGAAAGGTTGAAACGGATAAAGCCACTGTTGGATTTGAGAGCTTGGAGGAATGTTACATGGCAAAGATTCTTGTTCCTGAAGGTACCAGAGATGTTCCCGTTGGAGCAGTCATCTGTATCACAGTTGAAAAGTGAGTAGTTCGCTCTGGCAATTTGATTGGTACTTAGATGAAGAGTGTAGTATTTTAACCCGTAAATGAGATCGTAGGAATTACAAGCTTTACTTCTAATGGAGCTGAACTGCTTTATAACCCCCTTATATTTATGCATTCTTTCTCTTCCTTAGGCCTGAGGATATTGAGGCCTTTAAAAATTATACATTGGATTCCTCGGCAGCACCCACCCCACAAGCAGCCCCAGCACCAACCCCTGCTGTCGCTGCTTCGCCACCTACACCTTCTGCCCAGGCTCCTGGTAGCTCATATCCCACTCACATGCAGGTGAGGCTCAGCCTCTGAGTGTTTGCTCGAGATACTTTATTACTTACTCATTTTATTTTATGACTCACATCCTGGAAACTGCCATCAAATGTGACCAGCTCTTGTCACTTGAAAGTACATCTAAGTACATCTAAGTTAGCTTTTATTCCTAGTTACTCCAGGCATGTGAATTTAACAGGTTCTTTGACTTTTAATGCTCAGTAGAGTGTACAGTTGAATGCTTGGAACTTCATTCAAGAATATGTTAAGAGTATGAGTTATACTGTATCTGTTCCCTGAGTGGAGATTTTTATAAGACCAAAGTGTTACATAATGAATGAGAGTTGCTATTTGATGTTTTTTTTTTTTTTGATACTGTTGTCTAAGTGTGTGTGAAGTTTAGTTACATTATTAACACATGAGAAAACTGCTGGCAAATAGTAGTGTAGCTAATGCATATAAAAAAGCAGGACAAAGCTGAAGGTAGTAAATAGAGTGGAATCTGTTAACAAAATCAGTTTAAAAAAACGAAATTTGTAATATAGCAGGATTTTCCCATGTATGTTTTATTTTAGATATTGCAAGTGTCCAGCTGTCACTTTTCTAAAGTGTTAAGACTAGAATTTGATTTAGTTTGTCAAAATTTCTGTATAGGGATTTTTTTTTTTTTTGGTTATAATATATGTTACAAGGTTTGTTAACAGCCATTAATGATAAAAAAAAAGTTTTGCCTGGTGTTCAGTTTACATTTTTACTTACCAGCTATAAGCTGAAGATGACAGGTTATGAACAGGAAAACCATCTTTCTAATCAGAATTCTAAGGAATTGTTTTGCTTCTTTCCCCTGTCTTCCTGGGATATTATTAACTAAGTTGATTTTTTTCTGTCAGCACACTATGATTCCATATATGACTTTATTTGTAGAAGGCAACAACTGAAACTCAAAACAACTAAATATGCATCCAGAGTCAGTGGATGAATTAATTATAAGCTATATGTATAGGGAAGCAATTTTTTTCATTTAGAACAAGCAGTCTAATGTTTGGCTTTAGTCGACTAGTGTAAGAATGATTTTTTTTACCCCCCCCTTGTTTGGAAAGCTATCTGGTAGAAAAGTTTCTTGGTAGAAAAGCATTTCCTTTGACTAATAAAATAGATGTTTAGACAGCACAATAAGATAGTTTGGACCAGGATCATTCTTTGAAACTAGAGAGTGTAACTTAAACTAAGTGTTAAGAAGGACTAGGGATATGGCTCAAAGGTAGAGCTTATATTTGCACATACAGCTCTGAGAGGGGTCCTGGGTTTGATTCCTAGCACCACATGCAAAGTGTTAAAAAACAAAAATTGAGACGGTGCTTGGGGTGCGGGTGTCTTTCTTTTTCATTTTTGGTCAGATTTGGTAGTGATGGTGACTACTCCCAGCTTGTTCTCCAGGGATTGCTCTTGTGGTGCTGGGGGACCATGTGGTATAGTAATCAAACCTGAATCTCCCACATGCAAAATGCTTTTAACTTTGGGAGGTGGGTTGGAGTATCACTGAAACTGTAAAGCCAGAACTTTAAAGAATGTTTCAGCTGGGAGGATACTGCTGAGACATAGAACTTTTGCTGTAGGGGGGGCATCAGGCAGTTGGGAATTTGAATTGTCATAGCCACTGTCGTTCCATAAAATTGTTCAAGCTTGCCTGGGTGCTGTTGCATCCAAGCTGTTCTAGTATTAAGCAATAATATGTGCTTGTTTCTACAGGTGCTTCTTCCTGCCCTCTCCCCCACAATGACCATGGGCACAGTTCAGAGATGGGAAAAAAAAGTGGGTGAGAAGCTAAGCGAAGGAGACTTACTGGCAGAGATAGAGACTGACAAGGCCACTATAGGTGAGAGTTCTTCAGCTCTTAATCATTGAGGCTTGATTATGGTTACCCTCATATGGTCCCTGGAGCACTGGCGAGAGTGCTTCCTGCTCACAGTGCCAGGAGTAAACCTTAAGCACTGCTGATGTGACCCCCAAACAAAACAATAAGGGAAGAAGATTGCTGTCTTATCTTGCACGATTGAAACGACAGAAAAACTTTAGTTTTGGGACTGGAGTGATAGGACAGCAGGTAGGGCATTTGCCTTACATGCAGCTGACCCAGATTCGATTCCCAGCATCCCATATGGTCCCCTGAGCACCACCAGGAGTAATTCCTGATGCAGAGCCAGGAGTAGCCCCTGTGTATCGCTGTGCGTGACGCAAAAAAAAAAAAAAAAAAACCCACCAAAAATAAAAACCCTTTAATTCTTAGGATTCATTTCCTGGAACAGAACATTTTATAACCAAAATGTGCATAGTTCTATATAATAATTTTGTACTGTATTCTCACTTATCAAGGGTATATTGGTTCAAATTGTTTTTTAAGGCCAGAGTTTGCTTCTTAGCTTTATGTACTATTGAAAAACTGTGTGATGACTGCCATTCCCAATCTGGATAATGTGTTAAAAAGAGGGAACAGGAGAAAAAATTTTTATTTATTTATTTTTTGTATCATATTTGGCAGTGCTGAAGGCTACTCCCAGTTGTACTAGAGAGTTGCTCCAGATGGTGCTGTGGAGCCCATATGCACTGGTAGGGATTGAACCTGGGCTGGAGTGGAGTAAAGGAGGACCTCAGCTTGTTGAATTCTCTCTCTAGTCGGAAAACTAGGTGGTTGAAGGGGGGAGGGAATGGGGCCACTCTTAGCAGTGCTCAGGACTTAATTCCTGACTCAGTGCTCAGGGATCCCTTGTGGTGGTGCTTTGGGGACCGTATCTGGTGCTAGAGATCAAACTGGGGTCAGACGCATACAAGGCAGGTGCCTTAGCTCTGTACTATCTCTCAGGCCTTAAAACTTTTTGTAGAAAATTAAGGGCCACTACTGACCATAATTGGAGTCCCAGGGCCACTTCCAGAGGCAGTTCTTGGCGGACTGTGCAGTAGTAGGGATCAAACTCAGAGCTTCTTATACTATTAAGGCATGCGCTTCACTGCTGATCTACATCCTCGGCCCTGGAGAAAATAATTCCCACTAGTGCACGTGGCCTACTCCCACCTATGCTCAGGGGAACAGTACTGGGACTGAACCTAGTCTCCTGCATGCACAACTCTTGCGATCTCTTTCTCGCCCGAAAATAATGTGATGCAAGAAAATACCATATAAAATGATTTTGAGGAAAAATTGAAGCTAGGATTTAGACCCTTCTCATAGTTTGGGAACAATTTTGGGAAGTACACCTATGTATTACCTACCAATCATTCCCAAATGTGTGTGTGTATGTGTGTGTGTGTGTGCGCGCGCGCATGCATTCTAGGGATGTGTCTTAGGTATAAGAGCAAATTCCTCACTTGTATAAGACCCTGGGTTAAAACCTCAGCGCCTCACAGATATACACACACATTCTCTCTCTCTGTGTACGTGTGTATGTACATCAGCATCATAGTACATCATACTCCCTTCTGTTTTGGGAAGGGTGAGGTGAGTTTCTCCCAAGCAGTGCTTAGGAGATCTTGGGGCCTTTTCTACCCAGCTGTGTGGTATGGACAGTTCAATGTTTGGACCCAGAAGAGTGCTTCTACTTGGGCTCAGTAGAACTTGAGGGCATGAGGGAGAAGTGGAGGGGTTCATGTCTTAAGGTTCTGGGCATCGAACTCAGGGTCCTTTATACATCAGGCTTGTGCTCCAGCACTTTGAATTATCTCCCCAGCTCCTTCGGTCTGATTTTTTTCTTGGTGCTGTGAGGATCACACCTGGTAGTGATCAAGGGCCGCCAGGGTCATATGGGGGTGGGTGAAATGGGGGCTTTTGCCAGGGATTAAACCCAGGACTTCATGTAGCCAACACGTGTGCCCCCACCTTTCTTCTTATGATTTGTATTTTTGCTCAGAAATAAAACCAACCTAAATACTCGTTTGTTATACTATTTATAGATATTTCCCAAGATGTATAGTCCAGGATGCAGTGGGAGAAAGTGGACCTCCTTCCTTTGCAGTGGTTGTTTGCAAGTCATTCTTTAAACTGGTTCCTTGATGGGACACAGGAGAACTTAAACAGGACCCTACTGTGCCTAAGGCACACTCTTTCCACTTCTATCAAAGCAATTCCTTTTTATCTTTCTGCCCACTGTGCAGAATCAGAGATTTCGATCCAGGCACTGGAGAGATAGTGTAGGGGTTAAGACACTTAACCTTGCATGTGACTGACCCTGATTTTATCTCCAGCACCACATTGGATCTCCTGAGCACTGTCGGATCACCATCCCCTCCTCTCCCTCCAAAAATATATTTTTTAGAAGACAGGATTCTGATAACTTGAATATCAAGTATTAATATAGAGACTGGTATAGAATCTTTAAAATTTATTTGATTTTTGGGCTACACTTGATGGTATTTGGGGCTTCCACCTTGTTCTGTACTCAGGCATCACTCCTGATGGGGCTTGGTGGACTGTATGGGGTGCCAGGGGTTGAACTGGTTCGGCCACTTGCAAGGCAGACACTCTACCCTCTGTCGTATCACTCCAGCCCCAATATGGTATTGAATATGTTAGAGATTTGTACTGAATTGTCTCCAGATAAGTATTATCTGTTCAAACTTTTTGTGAACTTGGAATGTTTTCTTTCTAAATATTCCTTTTAAAAGTTGCTATTGTTATAAATACTTCAACTACAAGGTACAATCTTACAGGGTTTCATAGTTTACAGAGCTACAAAATCAATGAATTGTTAGGAAGAAGAGATAGTTTAGAGGGTAAGTGCTTGTCTTGCATGCAGCCAACCCCAGTTTGAACTCTGGTACAGCATATGGCCCTTAAGCACAAAGCCTAGAGCATCCTCTGAGCATAACTTTGTGAGACTCTAAAACCCAGAAAAATAAGAACAGTGCCATAAATGGAACTGCCTTGCTTATACCACAGAAATTTCTGCACAGTATTTATGGAATCTGTACAGGGATCTCTTATCTCTGTGCTCCAGTTAATTGTTCTTACATGTACATAAGTTGATTCTGTTCCAGTCAGTATATCCGGAGTGGTGTAATAACAAGGCCATACAATCAAAGGTTGTTCTAAGCGAATAGATTAAGCTTTACTGTTTTCCACATTGAGTGGAATAGGAAATTCTCCCAGCAGTGTTCTACAAAATTAGAAGTTGTGATCTGGAGATGTATTCTTCCAAGTGTATTTTAGAGTCTGACAAACACAAATAAGCAACAGTAGTAAAAATAGACAAAGTAATTACAAATAAAAATGTTTTCAACTCCAGCTCTGTTAATGGTTCTCCCTGTAGAACAAGAAATAAGAAAGAAGCATAAGTAGTAGATCTAATACTTCAGAAATCTGGTTATAATTATAAGATAATTATAAGATAATGAACTTATAGAAGGTACATTGATTTCATGATTAAATAGAAAACTAGATCGATAGCTGATATAAAACAGAATAGGGGGCCAGAGTGATTATACAGTATGTGGGGCACCTTACTTGCACTTGGCTGTCTCAGGTTCGATTCCTGGCACCCTGTATGGTCCCCTGAGTCTGCCAGAAGTCATCCTCGAGCACAGAGCCAGGAGTAAGCACTGAGCACTACCAGGTGTGGCAAACAAACAAAAAACAGAATGGATGCATAGCCATGTGGTGTTTCCAATATTGAGATATTTCCCATGATGCCTTGTTGAAATTATACATAAAACATGGGTATACAATTGTATCTTTGGGAGAATGGGGGATACACAACCGTACCCATAGCTTCTTCCTGGCTCTGCTCAGTGATCACTCCTCACAGTGCTCAGGGGTTTTGTGCTGTTAAGGATTGAACCAGGGTTGGCTGTATTCAAGGCATGTGTCATAGCCACTATACTATCTCTCCTGGCCGTCTTAACGTTTTCACTCACAGCATGGAAGAGAGGTTTACTGTCTCCCACAATCAGGTACCCTAAACACACCTTATTGAATACTGATCCTCTGGGATAAAGAAGAATTTGTCAAAGATGTGTTTATCAAGGACAGAGACATGAGTTTGTCCTTGAAAGTGCCACAGAAAGCAAAGCCCCAAGAGGCAAAAGTTGACCTTTGTCACTGGCTTCTTATTTGGCATAGTGCCAAGTATAACCTCTTTGGACAGCTCCAAGGATGCTTTAAGGGATGTAATCCCGTAGCAATAACTGACACACTTACTCCTGTAATTTGCTGTCCATTAAGTTCTGGTCTAAGTGGACAGTTGACATTCTGTTGGTACATTAATGTCGCCTTGATAGGTTTGCATAGGGACTGACCTTAGAGATGAAGTAAGTGGATCGTGGAGAGGGTCCCAAGCAGTGCTCAGGTCTAGAGACCCCTCCCAGTGTTTCTCATCCAGTGCATTGCTGCTTGTGCTTTATCTTGCACTGTCAGGTGTGTGTGTGTGTGTGTGTGTGTGTAGCAAAATAGTTTTTATTGAAATTTACTTAGAGGTGTATGAGAGGAGAGAAAGAGAAGAATTCAAAAGAGGACATGGGTTTCTGAAAATGTCTGGGCCAGAGATATTTCTTTTTTGGAGGGGCACACCCAGCAGTACTCAGGGTTTGCTCCTGAGCTCTGCACCCAGTGATCCCTGCTGGCGGGATAGAGGATGAACCCAGGTTGGCTTTGTGCAAGGCAAGCATCCTCTCTACTATCACTCGAGCCCTGGAGATAGTCTTAAGAGTGCCTTTTAGAACTAATCTTTTTCTGAAGTCTATCCTAGTCTGATTGAACAGACATATATTACTTTGTACTAAATACCATTTCTAAGTACATAAAAATACTAATTATTCCTCATAACATTTCTGTGAAGTGGGTACTACTACCTCATTTTTTCCCTCAGGGTCATACCCAGTAGTGTTGAGGGTAGAGCCACACTCAGCAGTGCTGGAGGCACCCATCTGATGCTGGTGATGTAACTCAGGACTTTGCCCATGCTAGACATGCTTACCCCTCCCCCGTGCTGTTACCCTTATTCTGTAGGTGAAGAAAGAGACAGGTAAATCACTTTCAACCATTATGTAGTTTGAAGAAGAAGATCCTTTACTTAAAACTGTATTTTGAGGGGCTGGAGAGGTAATCCAGGGCTTACGATATGTGACCAACCCACATTTTTTTATCCCTGGCAGTGCATCTTCCCTGGGCACCTCTCTGAGTAGCTTCTCTGCTTTGTGTTTGGTGAGCTGGCATTCCTTGAAATTCTGTAATTTTTCCACCCCTCTCTATTTAAGGTTTTGAAGTACAGGAAGAAGGTTACCTGGCAAAAATCCTGGTTCCTGAAGGCACAAGAGATGTCCCTCTAGGAACTCCACTCTGCATCATTGTAGAGAAAGAGGCAGATATACCAGCATTTGCAGACTACAGGCCAACTGAAGTTACTGACTTAAAACCACAAGTACCGCCGCCTACCCCACCCCCAGTAGGTATTCTAGAAACGAGGGAACTTTCATCTTACTCCTTTCTAAATTAAGGGAATTGGATTAGATAATACTTAAATCCTTCCAGCTCTAAGATTCTACAAGGAAGAAGATAATTACACATGTGGAGATCTCTAGCATATGAAATCTCTAGCATGTGTGCGACTATACCATTCACCAAACTACTCAATAGTTTGATTCTTGAAATATTTTTCTTCATAGTCTCTCAAGACTTGCTAAGAATAAAATTCAGGTTATTACTTTTCTACTCTGGGTATGGAGATGTATGTTTGGGGAAGGTAATACTTTGTTCCCTGTTTCCTGTAGAATGTACTATGTAATGTCTTACTGTCTGTCATCTTGATGTTTACATATTATGGTAGGTTAAGCTTATATATTTTTGGGGTTTTGTTTTGTTTTTGGTCCACACCCAGTGATGCACAGGGGTTACTCCTGACTCCACTCAGGAATCACTCCTGGCGGTGCTCGGGGACCATATGGGGTACCAGAGATCCAACTCCGGTTGGCTGTGTACAAGACAAGAGCCTTACCTGTTGTGCTTTCTCTCTGTTTCCTTATATTCTGTAACTTTGACATAACATTGCCTGTGTTGCATAGAATTTAGTCTTAACACCAGACGTTAGTGATTTTCAACCATTGGTACTTATTTGGATTAGAGCCGATTTATAAGATAATAAAAAGGTTGAAAAAAATCTCTAATAGAGCATGTATTCACACATGTATGGAGCTTAAGCATTAATAACACTAGACTTCTATCAGAAATCTTGTTTCTGACTTACATGATTATGCAGAGCTGGCAGGTACGAGTGCTGGCTGATTTCTTAAGAAACCTCCAACGTAGGACTTGTTGATTTATTTCTTAAGGTACTTTAAACATGGAACCCTCCCGCATAATTTAGAATTTTGAAATTAGGCGTAAGTAAAAGCTAAAACCATGTTGGTGAAGGAAGAGAATGAGAGTAAAGACGAGGCAAGAGATTAAAATGAAGAAAGGCTCTAAGGGTGATAACCATATTACTCTGAACATCCTAGATCTTGTCTGATCTTGGAAGTTAAGCAGATTAATACTTAAGACTATAAGATATTATGTACTGGTTAGCAGAATTCCACTTTGTGGCCTTTGTTATCATAAAGTAAGGTAATGACTTTTTTTTTTTAAACTGTTCATTACTTTGTTGGTGGAGTAGGGGAAAATAGGAGAAAGTTAATTGGATTAAAATTGCTTATCTTTCAGACCAGTCTTTGCAGCTGTGAATTAACATTTTGTAATTTTTCTTAAAAGATGGCCCCTGTTCCTCCAACTCCCCAACCTGTAGCCCCTACACCTTCAGCCCCTCGCCCAGCTACTCCTGCTGGACCCAGAGGAAAGGTGTTTGCTAGCCCTCTTGCAAAGAAACTGGCTGCGGAGAAAGGGATTGACATTGCTCAAGTAAAGGGTAAGTTAAAATTTCCTTTTGAAGATCAGGAAGTCTAACTCTCACAGTATAGTGGGGAGAACAATGAAGGAAGGAATAAAGAACTCTTTTGTTGCTACCAGAGTCGGAAAAGTTTCTGGGCTTTACTGTGTCTAGGATTACCTATGAGCTTATAAATTTGTTATTCATGGGAACCACTTCATTGTTGGTGAAAGTATATGGTACTTGCCCAGCAAGGTTGGGGTATAGACTTGATCATAACCTTTTGGTGGGGGGAGGGGGCACACCCAGCTTTATACAGGGATCACTTCTGGCAGAACTCAGGGGATCATATGTGGTTCCAGGGATTGAACCTGGGTTGCCGCATGCAAGGCAAACATCCTACACACTATACTATTGTTCGGACCCTTGATTATGTAGTAAGAAATTTCTGTTAGTGTTCAGTTGACAGAGTTTAGTTGTGCAGTAAAGTTGACATAATTTGTAATTAGTTGAAATTGTAAAATTCATGTAAAATGAACTAAAATTCCCTGAAGACATAGAATAATGTCTTATCTTTTTCTTCCTGATAAGAAAGTAGAACTTAGTGATAGGGTCTTGAATACCATATCATGTAGGGATTAATCCTGGCTTTATTACTGTTTTGTGGAAAACATCTTTAGGTGAGTTAGTCTAAATCACTTTAGGTGATGTACTAAACTAATTTTAGCATTTAAAAGTTAGTGCTTTACTATTTTAATTTAAAATTGATGAATTAGTTAATCCATCTCTTCTTCTCTGTGTAAGAGAACGTCCTGTTTCCCTGCATATTGCTGGATGTGGTCCAAACCTGTTCCTCTCAAAATAAAATAACTTAAATATTAAGAAATAAGTGATAAGCTAGTGATGTACATGTACACATATGTATGGGTGTGTATAAAATGGAGTGATAATAGTGTATGTCGAAACAAGCAAGGTGCTTAGAGCATATCTAGGATATATAAAGTACTCAATTCATGTTAGTTTGTTGGTCTTACTATTATTGTTTGACATGTAAATTCTTTTTGGCAATTGGAAAGTACCTCAGTGGTAGAGTGTATTATCCTTTACTGCTATATGAGGCCTTGCATCAATATACTCAGCATCCCTCCTTTAAAAAAAAAAGTTTGATCTGATGAAGGCTAAGACTTAAGGTAAGGAAGTTAAGATACTTATTTGAAAAAAGAGAGAAATTACTGTTTTTGAAGCTTGTTTGATGTGCTAATTGCCACATTTAAATTATACAATCCTTTCCCTTTTGGGTGTTTTTTTTTTTTTCTTTTTTAAGAAGTGCTCAAGGAGCCTAATGCTGATGTGTGAGCATCACCTAAGGGATCGCTTTCTAGCATCCTAAGATGCTTTTTAGTACACACTTGGATCAGCAGTTTGGTTGATGGTGCTGAGGGGCCCTTAGAGTGATCCAGCCATGTTTGAAAATCAACCCTGGGACTCCCCGTGCAAGGCATGCACTTTAGCCCTTTAAGCCCTTTAAACAAAACATACAAGGCTTTTTTGTTTGGGGGCCACACCCTGCAATGCCCAGGGGTTATTCCTGGCTCTGCACTCAGGTATCACTCCTGAGTGCTCAGGGATCATATTGGATGTTGGGGATAGAACTTGGTTGGCTGCATGCAAGGCAAGGGCCCTACACTGCACTAATCTCTCTGGCTCCAGTTTACACAGTCTCGGTGAGGTTGGGTGTTACTTGAGATTGAATTTGAGACCTTTTGCCTGCAAAGCAGTTCTCTACTACTGAGCCATATTCTTGGGACCCATCCATGTTTACTTTTAGTTTTGTTTTTAGGCCATACCTGGCTTTGCACAGGGGTCACTCCTTGGTGATGCTCAGAGGTTCATATGTGGTGCTGGGGATTGAACTTGTACTATTTGTGCTTGTACTATTTCTCCAGTACCAAAATTGCTTTTAAGACTGGGAGGGTTGTTGAAGATCTTTCAGATGAGGTGATATTTGATCTGATATGAAAGATGAGGAGTCATCTATTAGCCAGCCTTATAGTGCTCAGGGCTTATTCCTGTAGTGATTGGGACCATATGTGGTGCTGGGAATCAAGCCAAGGTTGGCAGTAGGTGAGGCAAACGCCCTACCTGTTATACTATTGCTCAAGCTCCACCTCCTTTTAAAATACAGTTTTGAGGGTCTGTGGTTCTTGGAGCACGAAAGTGGAATAGCAGTCGATCTGGGGCCTTCACATGGCAGATGTGGGATTCAGCTCTTTTTAACTAATTTTTTTTTTCAACCTGAACTGTAGCTTTTAGATGTACACTTGGGCAAGCATCAGGAATACTTTCCTAATATGCTTTAGAAATTTTAGATTCTTGTTTGGCTCTTACTGCTTCCAAAACTTCTGAGATGCATACATTCCTTATTTCTTTCCTGTTCGATCCCTGTTCATCTGGGCTGCCACAATTAAGCAGAAAATTGAAGGGCTTTTTCCTTGGATCTCCAGTGGTCAGCCCTGTGGTTTCTACTGTGAATCTAGTATTCGTCCCTTTATACCGTCTTGCTTTGTGATGCTCTTGTGCCTTCTCAGGAAGCTAGACAGAAGGATTGAAAAGATTTTCATGAACTTTTTTATATTCTTGTTGGCTGCGGTGGCTGTCATTTGGACCACAACTGGCAGTGCTCAGGGACTTCCCCTTGGCTCTGTGCTTAGAGCTTACTCCTGGTGGTGTCCTGGGAACTATATTTGGTGCTGGGGATAGATCCGTGGTCTGCTTCATGGCAAGGCAGGTCCCTTAATCCCCGTACCTTCTCTTCAGCCCAGGTTTCAAATAAATTCAAACAGAAAATTGTGGCTGACACTTAGCGTCAGGCAGATGTTATATATATATATTTTTTTTTATATATATTTTATATATATTATATATATATATAGCTTTCCTTCACTTTAGTGTCTTCACAGGAAGGTGTGGTATATGATATTTGTTACCCATTTTTTTTCTATTTGTTTGATTTTTATATGGGGAAGCCATACCGGACAGTATTCAGGGCTTACTCCTGGCTCTGTGATCAGGGACCACACCTGACAGGGCTTGGGGGACTTTTTGTCGTGCCAGGGATTGAACACAGATCAGGCTTGTGCACGGCCAGTACCTCATCCCTGTACTCTCTCTCTTACCCCCTTGCAACCTGTTTTAGAGCTGATAAAGGCAAATCCTCACCAACCCAGTTTTTATATTGTAGGAAAAAAAGTTGGGAGTTAATGCGTATAACCAGAGTCCTTTCAGAAGCTTGCCTTGGCTTTTTTTTTTTTTCATGTACAGTATTAAGAAATAGCAAGGAAATAAAAACCAACCAATGATAATAGACACTGAGCCAGTCTACAGAACTCATTTGCTTGCTAGGTTAGGTGAGCTGTTTCTGTATTTTCCATAGAAACCGCTGTGGAGGGAAGCTGACACTATGGTGGTGGGTGTGATGGAACAATGTTTTATGTCTGAAACAGTACTGTTAATCATGTTGTACATCACAGTGCTTAAATAAAAATTAAAAGAAAAAAACAGAATTTTGCCTTGGAGGAAGGTGAATCAAATTTGACCAAATCTTTTTTTAGAGCTGGGCCAGTATGGAAATATTTAATAACTAAATTCTGAATCTCTTTAGAGTTAAGGATTATCAACTTGAGTCTAAGTTAAACCTAAGAGTTTGTGGATGGGAGGAAGGACATTGAATTGAATGAAAAAGAACTTGGAAGATCTTTTCTCCTGTGTGACATTGCACCTATTTCCTACAGTCTCTGACACAGGCCAATTTAGAGCCTTGGCTTCTGTGAGAAAGCTATGAATGATGGAGACCACATAAGAAACGAATGTTTCTAAAGATGAGATAATTGTAGGTGAGAGCTATTCTTGCCATTTGGGGATGAAAAATCTTATCCGATGTATGCAGAACAATAGTTAACATAGCTGTGTTGACATACAAAGGGAATCTGTAGTAGTCAGATTAGCATAGAATGCATTGAGATCATGCTGTGGCTCAGAGAGGGCCTTTTGAAGCTAGCCAGAAGGGAAAGCTAGAATTCCTTTGGAGGAATGAATTAGCATTGTGCTTCTGCTGGTATGACCCAGTTTAAAAAGTACGGTTGATGAAAAAAATTAAGCAGAACTTAGACAAAACTTTAAAGTAGTAAGTGTAAAAGGATGGTTAATATAGTTGAAAGAACACTGTAGACTAAGCAAGAGAACTCAGTTAAAATTAGCAGTTTACAAAAGCTAATACATTCAGGGATCAGTGACAGGGGCAGGATTAAGGTAGTGATCTCTTGAGAGGGTTTTTAGTCGCGCCCCCGGGAGAACGTGCACTGCAGAATCATGGTGTTTGGCTGGGACTCGCAGCATGCTCCCTTGTATGTGATATTTCTCTCTCTTCAAGGGACGGGACCAGAAGGCAGAATCATCAAGAAGGACATTGACTCTTTTGTGCCTTCCAAAGCTGCTCCTGTGAGTTACAGTTTGCTCTCTTCTGCCCCCTTCAGTTTGCTCCTGCAGAGTGCTTTGTGTTAAGCTGTTAGGAGCCTTTCACAATGACTTAATAGCTTAATCAGGACTTCTGCCGTTACCTAATTTCTGTGGCTAGCAGTATATACATATGGAGATGATGTCATTCTTATAAAAACAAACCACAGTGATAATGCATTCCGGATTTTTTTTGAAATTAGATTTTTTTCCTAACAAATTGTTTCTCTGTTTAAGGCCCTCTCTTGGAGTTGTGTGTCGGGGTGCACATCTGGCAGTGGCTGGGTCTAAATCCGGCTCTGCTCAGCTCTCTGCTTGAGGTCACTCCCAGTTGTACTTGGGACCATGCATTACCAGGGAATGAAGTTTGGACGCCAGTATATAAAGCATGTGCGTTAGCCCATTGAGCTCTCCCTGTCACTCCAAGGCCCTATTTTTACTTAGTTTGATTTTTATTTACTTTAGGATGGTTGGGTTATACCTTGTTAGTGTTTAGGGCTTACTCCTGGCTCTGCTCTCAGGGATAACACCTAGTGGGGCTCGGGGCGTGTGTGGTGCTGGGGATGAACCTGGGTCAGATGTGTGCCGGGCAAACGCCCTACCCATCGTAGTCTTTCTGACCACTAGGTACTGCTTTAATTGGAAAGATTTTTCATTGTTTTTACACTACTCAGGAATAGGGTTTACTTATTTAAGTCTTTCAAGTTCAAAAAAGCAAGTAGGGCCCGAGTGATAGTACAGCGGGTAGGGCATTTGCTTTGCACACGGCCGACCTTGGTTTGATCCCCGCATCTCATAGGGTCCTCTGAGCAAATGACTCCCCAGGAGTAATTTCTGAGTGCAGAGACAAGAATAACCCCTGAGCATTGCCGGGTGTAATACCCAAAGCCAAAATAAGTAACGCAAGTGATTCTGAGTCAAATTCTAGTTTTTGGGCCACACCTGGCAATTGCTCAGGACTTGCTCCTGCCTGGCTCTGTGCTCAGGAATCACACCTGCAGAGTTTGGAGACCCTATGGGGTGTTGAGGATTGAACCTGAGGCAACTGCATGCAAGGCAGATGCCCTACCTCCTGTACTGTCTCTTAGGCCCCTTAAGTACAAAATTCTGACATAAGCTAGTCATTAAACATACTCAGGAGATGGAGAGATAGTTACAGAAGGCAAGATGCTTACTTATACTCAGCTGACTGTATTCAGTTTCTGGTACCACATAAGATCCTCCTGGCACTGCCAGGAATGATTCCTGAACATAGAGCCAGGAGTAAGCCCGGAGGCGCACTGCTGGGTGTGTACCAGAAACCAAAAAATAAACATACTCTGCCACAAAGAAAAATGATAATGTGACAGACGGTAAGAGTCTCTATTGCCATGATAGAGGCAAAAAATAGCTAGAAACTGCTATTTTTTTTCTGTAAGTCTTTGAATTTTTCTCTTTTCTGTCTGGGTAAGAGTCATTAACCAATTCTGGTTCCTTCTGCTGAAATTGTTCCATATTGCTAGGAACTTCTTTCTCTTCCCATAGGCCCCAGCGGCTGCTGTGCCTCCCCCGGCTCCAGGAGTGGCACCAGTTCCTACAGGTGTCTTCACGGATATCCCAATCAGCAACATTCGTCGAGTAAGATACTCCATGAATCTAGATCTATAGCCGTTATGGGCATTTTGCTCCTTGTATTTGATAGCCTCCATAAGTTGGATCATTGATAGTAACTTTATTTAGGACGTCTAAGATGATTAAGTGATGCTTGAGTTGGCCAACTGAATACTTGGAATACATGAGTATTGTTCTGATTCAATACCATTAAATGAGATTATAAGTTATGGTGCAGTTATCGAAGGTCCAGTTCTAAGAATGCTTGAAGTCAGCTTAAAGGGGAAGCAGGAAGTAGGGGCAAACACCCCTACTCAGCTAAGGTGTCATCTCAGCATAATTGCTTTTCTGTCTCTTTGTTTTAGGTTATTGCACAGCGGTTAATGCAGTCTAAGCAAACCATACCTCATTATTACCTTTCTATTGATGTAAATATGGGAGAAGTTTTATTGATGCGGAAAGAACTCAATAAGGTAAAAGGTCTGAAAATTCCAGCTCTGTATTCTGGAAGTCTTGTTTTTCTCCACTGAACATTTCGCCCCACATCGTGTTACAGTATTACAGTATACCGGTTGTTGATTATGGAAAGCAGATGCTTCCCCCTCCCCCAACACCCCTGTTTCTTAACCTCTCTGGCTCTCCAGGAACCTGGTGATTGGCTCAGTGTTGCTGGGGCCATGAGACACTTGGAGGGCCACATGGTGCAGGGATTGAATTCAGGCTCTGTACATAGGAGGCATATAATTATCAACTAAGCTCTGTTAGGCCTTTAGAATGGTTTTTTTTTTTTAAGTTATCAGGTCTCGAACCTAGGGCCTTACACATGCAAGGCAAGTGTGCTACCTCTGAGCTATGATCCCTGACCTAAGAACCTTTTTGGAAGTTGTTGGGAAGATGAGGGAGCTTGGTCACATCAGCAATGCTCAGGAGTGACCCCTAGAGATACTTGGGAGGATGACATTGGTGCCTGGCATCAAACCGTGCTCTGCTGCATGCGTGGCAAGCTCCTGATTGCCTGTACTATCTCTCTAGCCTGAAGTTTCTACATTTTGTTTTGAGTGGGGGAGGGTTGGTTGCCACACCCAGCAATGCTCAGGGGTTACTCCTGGATCTGCACTCAGGAATTACTCTTTGCAGTGCTCAGGAGACCATTTGGGGTGCCCGGATCAAGCCCAAGTCTGTTACATGTAAGGCAAGTGCCCTACCCCCACTGTACTATCTGTCCGCCCAAGGAGCTTGTACTTTTTTTTTTTTTTTTTGGTCTTTTGGGTAACACCTGGCAGTGCTTAGGGATTACTCCTGGCTCTGCGCTCAGAAATTACTCCTGGTGGTACTTGAGGGAGCATATGGGATGCCTGAGATCGAACCTGGACTGGCCATCTGTAATGCAAGTGCCTTACCTGCTGCACTGAGCTGTACTATCTCTCTCTTGCCCTGAAGTTTGTACTTCCTTAATTCACCCGTTTCATCAAACCTCCTCGTTGTGATAAAAATGAGTTAACTGGGGACTGGAGAGATAGTATGGCAGGTAGAGCACTTGTCTTGCATGAGCCAGCCCAGGTTTTATCCCTGGCACCCCCTATGGTCCTTCAAGCCCACCAGTGATCCCTGAGTACAGAACTGGGAGTAAACCATGAACACTACAAGATATTGCCCCAAAAAAGAAAACAAATAGAAATAAAAGAAGTTTATGTATCTCTTCATAATTACCGTTTCTTTTTGGTTTTGTAGTATGCTTCTTTCTAGAAATTTGTCCATTTCAACTAAGTATCTAATGTGGGACTGGAGCAATAGAATAGCGGTATGGCATTTTCCTTGCACGCAGTTGACCCGGGTTCTATTCCCAGCATCCCATATGGTCCCCTGAGTACCACCAGGGGTGATTCCTGAGTTCAGAGCCAGGAGTAACCTCTGTGCATCGCCAGGTGTAACCCCCCAAAAAAGTTATCTAATGTGTTCGCTTGTGGCTGTTCATGGTGTTACCTAGAATTTTATTTCTGTAAGGTAGCTAGTAATGCCCTGTTTCATTTCTCACTATGGAAGTTTGAGTTTAGTTTTTTTTTTTTTCCAGCCTAACTAAATTTTATTATCTGTTCAAAGGACTTCTGTTTTTCAGGGGCTGGAGTGATAGTACAGTGGGTAGGGCATTTTGACTTGCACACAGCTGATCTGGATTCGATCCCTGGCATTTTATGTAGTCCCCTGAGCATTGCCAGGAGTAATTCATGAGTGCAGAGCCAGGAGTAACCTCTGAGCATCGCCAGGTGTGACAAAAAAAAAAGGAGGACTTTGGGTTTTATTTATTTTTTTTGGGGGGGGGTGGTAATTGAGGTCTTATTCCTGGTTCTGTGCTTGGGGAATCACTCCTGGCAGGGATCATGGCAGGTAACCATATGTGGTGCTGGGTTCAATCCTGGGTCAGTTGTGTGCAAGCTAAGTGCCCTACCCATTGTAACTATGGCTCTGACCCAGGACTTTGGTATTTTCAGTGAAAGTGCAGACCATCACTGGGTGTAGTGTGCTTAGCAGGAAACTATGAATCTTTAAAGGTCTACATTAAATAAAGAAAATACATATTATATATGCTCCTTCACATCTTTTCACTTTGCTCAAGATTGTATGGTTTTAGGCTTTAGTTTGATTGGTTTGGGGTAGAGTTTCGGTTATATGTATGTTTTTTTGGTTATAAGTTTGTTTGGTTTTTTTTCTGTTTCAGTATTTCGGCTTTTTTGATTTGGACCACACCTGTGGTACTGGGGGTGGGAGGGCTATTTTCTTCTGGTCAAGAGTCTATGTGGTAGCTGGGATTAAACCTGGGTCTTCTGCATTCACTCAGTCCTTTGAACTGTCTCTTCTGCCCCATTTATTTTTGGTGGTTTGGGTTTCTTGGTGCCAGGAACTGAACCTGGAGCTTATCCAAAATTTGCGGGGCTGGAGTGATAACACAGCAGGTAGGGCGTTTGCCTTGCATGTGGCCGACCCGGTTCGATTTCCAGCATCCCATATGGTTCCCTGGGCACCGCCAGGGGTAACTCCTGAGTGCATGAGCCAGGAGTAACCCCTGTGCATTGCCGGGTGTGACCCAAAAAGCAAAAAAAAAAAAAAAATTGCATGCCTTCTTTCCTCTGCTGAGCTATCTCCCTGACCCTGAATTGCTTTTTATTTGGAGGAAGAGAATTTAAGTACAATGGGACTGAGTATCACAGGGATTGACCCTGAATGTTCTTTCCTCTCCAATGAAACAGAAAAACAGTATGGCTTATTATCTTTGCAGGTGTTAGAAGGGAAAAGCAAACTTTCAGTCAATGACTTCATCATAAAAGCTTCAGCTTTGGCATGTTTGAAAGTACCAGAAGCAAATTCTTCTTGGCTAGACACAGTTATAAGACAGTAAGTATCGTGTTGCTGGGGGAAGCTATATATTCACCAAAAGTTTGTGTTATTTTAATGAATAGAAGTATAGAGGGCTAGAAGAAACAGTAGTCAGGGAGATGACAGGTGGAAAGGGTCGAGAACAAAAAACTATAGTGAGATAGTGCTAAATTCAGTCACTGTCACTGTCACTGTCCTCCCGTTGTTCATCGATTTGCTCGAGCAGGCCCAGTAACATTGTGTGACTTGTTACTGTGTTTGGCATATTGAATACGTCACAGGGAGCTTGCCAGGCTTTGCTCTGCAGACGAGATACTCTTGGTAGCTTGCCAGGCTCTTCGAGAGGGGTGGAGGAATTGAACTCGGGTCGGCCGTGTTGGCCGCCTGCAAGGCAGATGCCCTACCCGCTGTGCTATAAATTTAGCAAAGGCCACAAAATTCAAGTTCCCAGTAAAAAGTTCAGTAAAAGGAAATATATGTATAGACAAGAGAACAACGCACAGTGTGGTATTGATTGTACTTGATGCTGGTGGTCAGTGAAAGTTGTTTCCATATAAACTGTATTTTCATATAAACTGTAATTGCAGTTGTCTTTTTCTTCCAGTGGAGAGTTGCTTTGGGCCACATCTGGCAGTGCTTGGGGGCTATACCTAGCTCAGTGCTTGAGGAACCATGTGTTGACAGGGTTCATGAACAGTTTAACCTCGGTTACCTCTCATTCCTAGACAGATGTTGTAAAATATTGTACAGTCAGTACTGCTTCAAAATTAGTCATTAGGGGGCTGGAGCGGGTAAGATGCTTGTCTTGTATAAACCCCACCTGGGTTTAATTCCCAGCATCCCCTATGGTCCCCCGTCACCACCAGGAGTGATACCTGAGTGCAGAGCCAGGAGTAAGCCCTGAGGACAGCCAGGTGTGGCCCCTCCCACCTCCAAATCGTCATTAGAGATACTGCAAGATTTTTTAATTGAACTAATATAGAAATATATGTATCACAGTTTGTAAAATAGTTTTAATTTCAGTATAGTTTTGTGGAAATCTTTTTATAATTTTAGCATTTTACTCTCTGTTTTAAATATGCTACCACTAAGTTACATCCCAACCCTTTGTCTTGTAGAAAAGAGGGATTCTCCCCTTCATGTTTTCTGAGCACACTACTCCCCGACCCCGTCCTGCATCCTGAGCACTTCCGTTTCTTCCAAATTGCTGCCTTTGTCCTCCACTCTATAGATTTTTGTTGGGGGAGGTGGTTTGGTTTGGCGGTGCTCGGCGGCTATTCCTGGCTCTGCTCAGGAGTGTTCCCCAGCAGTGCTTGGTTCCACGGATTGAACCTGGGTTGGCAGAGTGCAAGGCAAGCACCTTCACCCTGCTGCTGTACTGACTGTCTCAGCCCCTCAGCTCTACTTACAAGCTCAGAACCAGCCAATCCACTTCCTCTCCAAATCCAAGGAGTGCTTTGTTACTGAACACTTATGAATTCTTACTGAGCATTCGGCCCTTTTTCCCCCAGATTCATCCTTTTCCCCCACGTCTACACCTATATAGGCAAATGGGGAGAAGTTAGAAGGTACATGTATGACATTTCTCATTATTTTATTCTATTGAGCCACACCTAGAAGTGTTCAGGGGTGATACCTGGCTCATTGCTCAGGAGTGAGCCCTGGTGGTGCTTTGGGGACCATTTGTGGTGATGCGGATTTGAACCTGGGTCAGTTGCATGCAGTGCAAGTGCCTTAACCCCTGGGCCCTTCATTGTTTTTTTTGGGTTTGGTTTTGGTTTATGGACCACACCTGGCTGTGCTTATGGCTTACTGCTGGCTCTGTGCTCAGAGATCACTCTTGGTGGTGCTTGGGGATGGTATGTGCTGCCTGGGATCAAACCCAGTTTGGCCACGTGCGAGGAAAATGCCCAACCTGTTGTAGCATCATTCTGGCCCCCTTCATTCCTTCATTCTTTTTTGTTGTTGTTTTGTTTTTGGGCCACACCAGGTGGTGCTCAGGGTTTACTCATGGCTCTACATTCAGAAATCACTCCTGGTGGGCTCAGAGGAGCATATGGGATGCTGGGGATAGAAGGCGGGTTGGCTGTATGCAAGGCAAGCACCTTAGCCACTGTTTCTCCAGCCTCCTTAATTCATTTTGCAAGTACGAGACGAAGGGTTGGGATGTAACTTAGTGGTAGCATGTGTTCTGCATGTACAAAGATCTGGGTAGCCACTGGCAAAACAAAAGTGAAAATAAAAAATGTAAGAACAAGTTTGCAAGTCAAGGAGAGGGAACAGCAAAATAAGAAGCCAAAAGAGAGAGCTCTCTGGCATAACAATAGCACAAGCTGAGGTAAATATTGATGTTCCTGCTTTACCTTACTTACAGCTCTTAATGCGTACCAGTGACTATTGAGATTCTTTTTTCTATTTCGATAGAAACCATGTTGTTGATATCAGCGTTGCTGTCAGCACTCCTGCAGGACTCATCACACCTATTGTATTTAATGCACATATAAAAGGACTGGAAGCCATTGCTAATGATGTTGTTTCTTTAGCAACCAAAGCACGAGAGGGGAAACTGCAGCCACATGAGTTCCAGGTGAGATATTATTTAATTATGTTGTGAATGTGAAGAATTACATTATTTGTGCTGAAAAGATAGTACAGCAGGTACAGCATGCTGTCAACCCAGGTTCAATCCCCAACACCACTGAGTACCAGAGGGTGTGGCCAGCCTTCCACAAAAAAGAAAGAAAGAAAAAAAGAAAGAAAATTTGTAGGAGTCACAGAGATTGACTTAATCGACTGGAGCACCTGCTTTGCTTATGGAAGGCCTGGGTTTGATCCCTTACACCACATGGTCGCCAGAGGATTGTCCACTGTCGCCCCAAAACAAAATAGCAGGAACAAACATTCGTTGTTGCTGGGAAATACCACTACTGCTAGGGTATGCAGTGTCAGGATTTCTTCCACTTTAGCCATATCCCTGGACCACATCCAGTAGTCAGTGCTTGCTTCTGATTCTATACTTGGGATCACTCTTTGTAGCATTTATGGGACCATATACGGTGCTTGGGGATCAAACTTCAGTTGGTTGCATGCAAGACAAGCACCCCTGTTTTCTCTGTTCAGCCCTGAGAATTAATATTTTAAGATTGCTTTTTTTATGTTTTGTTTTTTGGGGGCCATACCTGGCTACTCCCAGGTGGTCTTCAGGGGACCGTGTACCCAGGATCAGACCCGGGGTTCCTGAATGTGAAGCATGTACTCCAGCCCCCTGAACCATCTCTCTGGCTTCATAGGGTTGTCAGTTTCTACCATGTAGTCTCAGTCACACAAGTTTTGAAAGAAAAAAATGAGCCATTTAGCAAAAGCTGAACATAATACATTTTCCAACTAGAGTACAAAAGCCATGTGCTGACTCTTGATATTGTAATGGCTGTATATTTTCAATAAATTATATTCAATTCAGGCCTTTCTCTTTTCAGTTTTATTGAAATATAATTAGCACATAGCGATTGGTTATATGTAAGCTATATATAACTTAATATTTTGATATATACATATATACATTGGACATTTATCTATACATTGTGAGATGATCACAAGCTAGTTAACGTGTAACTATGTACTTAAAAACTTTACTTTTCGGGGCCGGAGCGAAAGCACAGCGGGTAGGGCGTTTCACGCAGCCTTGCACGCAGCCGACCTGGGATCGATCCCTGGCATCCCATATGGTCCCCCAAGTACCGCCAGGAGTGGTTCCTGAGTGCACAGCCAGGAGTAACTAACCCCTGAGCATCACTGGGTGTGATCCAAAAGGCAAAAATAAAATAAAAAATCTTTACTTTTCAGGGCCGGAGAGAGATTACAGTGGCCAGAGCACTTGCCTTGCACTCGGTCAACCCTGATTTGACCCCCAGAACCCCATATGGTCCCCTGAGCCCACCATGAACGATTGAGTCCTAAGCGCAGAGCCAGGAGTAAACCTTGAGCACTGCCAGGTGTGGTCCAAAAATTAAAAATAATAAAATTTTTATTTTCTCTTTAATTTATTTTGGACTTTTGTTTGTTTGCCAAATGGGGGGTTACACCTGCTGGTGCTCAGGGATTACTCCTGGTTTTCCACTCAGGAATTACTCCTAATGGGCTTAGGGGACCATAATGGATGCTGGGAATCGGACCCGGGTCAGCCTCGTCGTGCCTTACCCTCTGTGCTAACTCTGGCCTCATCTCTATTTTTATTTTGATTGTTGGGCTCAGGAAACCATGTGCAGTGCTGGGGATTGAACCAGAGTTGTCTGCATGTAAAACTATATTCTCCTGCAGGTTCCCCCCCCTGCCTTTTTTTAAGTGATAGTTTCAAAAAATAAATTTAAAAAGGTAGTTTTAGAATTCTCTGGCATTAGGGAACAGGTGGGCTGGAGCGATAGCACAGCAGGTAGGGCGTTTGCCTTATGCGCAGCCAACATGGCCGACCCGAGTTCGATTCCTCCGCCCCTCTCGGAGAGCCCGGCAAGCTACCGAGAGTATTCGATATGCCAGACACAGTAACAACAAAGTCTCCAATGGAGACGTTACTGGGCCCGCTCGAGCAAATCGACGATCAACGGGAGGGCCTTTACCTTTTACCTTTAGGGAACAGGTATGCATGTTTCTGAAAGAATGCAGAGTAGAGCTGGAGCGATAGTACAGTGGGTAGGGCATTTGCCTTGCATGCAGCTGACCTGGGTTCAATCCCCAGCATCACATATGGTCCCCTAAGCACTGTAAAGAGCAGTTCCTGAGTGCAGAGCCAGGAGTAATTCCTGAGCATTGTCACATGATCCCCAAAAGTCCTCTCCCTCCAAAATGCAGAGTATTATCAGTATAGAAAGTAAATTTATTAGGGAAATACGTGCATGCACAAAGGGACCAGTAGGCCTTTGCTCCAAAGACTAAAAGACCCAACATTGGTCCAGAGACATAGCTCAAAGGACTAGAGTGACATATTTTGTATGCAGGAGGTCCAAGTTAGTACCGTGTGGCCCTGAACACTGCTGGTTATGCCTAAATAAGCAAGAATATCGAAAATGTTGTCCTTTTGTGGGGCATGGGGGTGGGGGAACATGCACAGCTAATATCCTCAGGGCTTACTCCTGGCACTGTGCTCAGAGATCACTTCTGGTGGGGCTTGGAGGACTACATAAGGAATGCAGGGAAGTGAACCTGGGTCATCCATGTGCAAGGCAGGTGCCCTACCCTCTGTACTACTGCTCTGTACCCAATTGTCCTTTTAAGCATTTATATGCCCTTACTTGGATGTCTCACACACACACACACACACACACACACACACACACACCCCTTCCCCCCCATCCATGGGAGGCAACTGCATGACTTAATCCTGGGAAAGTAACTCAGTCCTGGGATATTCTCTTTTTACCGCTCAGATGCTCCCTGCATCCTACTGATAAGTGTTTTTGCTGAGTTGCTGTTAGTTAAGTATCTGCTCCTGACCCCTGAGAACAGAAATATGCCGACATACTCTGGAGGGCATGTGCAGGGGCTTCTGTCCTATGGTTCCCTGAGAATTGGTGACTTGCATCTCTTAGGGGGTTCTCTGTTGACTTTCTGCACCCTGGTTTGTTCCTGGGAACAAGAAACTTGCTGAATAGTTTTTATTTCTATACTTTTTGGTTTTGTTTTCTGGGACTAATGGTGTTTTGGAGTTGCCTTTGGTTGTGCTAAGGGGATCATGTGGTTCCAGAGATCAAATCTAGACCTCTGACATGCAGAATATCATCAGCTCAGCCCTTTTAGCTAACCTAGCTTCAACAATGTTACTTTGTAACTATCACTTACTTTATTTTCACTGAAAACTCAGGTTCTGCTATTTAGTACTCACTCTCACTTAAAACAATATAAAAGGTCAGGGGAGATGACTCAGAGGACTGGAGTTGTAGGCATTGCATGTGGTACCCAGGGTATGATCCTCAGCACTTGATGGTTCCTTGAGGACTGCTGGTGTGTCTTCCCCCTCAAGAAAAAGTAAAGGATGGTTCTTCTTTTATTGGTTCTTTTTGTTTGTTTTTAGGCCACACCTGGTGATGCTTAGGGGTTCCACAAGGCAATCGTCTCAGCTGCTGTTCTCTCTCTCCAGACCCTTTTGCTTTTGTTTGCTTTTGGGGTCTCCATCTGGCACCGCTCAGGGCTGCTCTTGATTCTCTGCAGTGCTTGGGAAACCATGTGACGCCAGAAATCAAACCCAGGATTCTCCTTCGCAAAGCTTGTGCAGCAGCCCATTTGGGCTATCTCTCTGGCCCTCTCTGACCCATCAAAGATCATCTTAAGTCTTCTCACAAAACATTTATTTCTCTTTCTCCTTCTCTTTTTGTTTATGGTTCATATTGACAGTGTGATGTATTTTTCTCCCTTCTAGGGTGGCACTTTTACAATCTCCAACTTAGGAATGTTTGGAATTAAAAATTTCTCAGCTATTATTAACCCACCTCAAGCATGTATTTTGGCAATTGGTGCTTCAGAGGATAGATTGGTTCCTGCAGATAATGAGAAAGGGTGAGTCCCAAAATGGAGGAGGGGGTTGTAAGTTATTGGCATAATATATTGGAGCTTTATAAGCTGTATTCAGATAAGAATAAAATGAAGTTTCTGAAAGCACTCATTCTTGTTTTGAGATGGGAACTCTTATTTGCTCTTGAGTTAGAGGTCAGTACTCTTCCTGCGTTATTTGGTCTTCTTATCCCAGTATGGATAAGACGGGCACAAGCAGTACATAAATGAGTTCGAGTAAACCTGTTTGGCAGGCTTTGGCCTTTGGGCAGTAGGCGACTGGGTCTGTATTTTCAGGCTTTTAAGCTGAGCTAGAGTGTATAGACATGAAGAGTAGGTGGAAAATATGTTGTTGCTTGGGAGTGTGAGATGGGAGTTGACATACGATGCATAATCGTTACTGCTGTTGGATACCTAATAATGATTTCATCTTTTTCTAGGTTTGACGTGGCTAGCATGATGTCTGTTACACTCAGTTGTGACCATCGGGTTGTGGATGGAGCAGTTGGAGCACAATGGCTTGCTGAGTTTAGAAAGTACCTTGAAAAACCTATCACCATGGTGTTATAATTAACCCAAGGATTTCTAGACACTCCCAAGTCACATTGTTTCATTCATCAAGATATTTATGTTATAAAACAGATTTTTTTTTCTTTTTTAAAAAAGTTAACCAGTTATTTTTTAGTCTGTCCAGATAAGTTATTTGTAATGGGCATTACTGATTTTTTTTAAATGCCAATTACACTCAGATATTGTACACATTTGATAAAGACCAGATTTTAAACTGTGTACTCTAGTAAGGGACCTGTGGCCTCCCCTTTGGTGATAAGTACTTCCACTGGGAAATGTAGAGGTAAGAATTTAATCAAGGTTCCCTGCTGAAGCAAGTACATAGAAGTAGTTACTTGGATGAAAACTTGAGGACTTGACATCTAATTGCTTCAGATGTTTTACTTAGATTTGAGGGAAAGAGAGAAAGGAAAATTAATTCCCTTGGAGAAAGGATTTGCATTTAAATATGATTTTGGAATTTAACCATAATTTAAAATTGTTGTAGAAGTGTGGTTTGCCATAAATTGGATGGGTAAAGAACTTAAAGGAAATATGTAAAATTAAGGCAATTTTCTTAGACTCCCTTCAACTGTTTATTTTTCTATGAATTCATAAATAGTTGTTTTCACCTCTTGAGATGAAGATATAAATATAAACTGGCTGCTAGTATAAATGAGAATTTGTGTGGGTATTTATTTAAACAACTTAATGTGTAACTCTGAGAGCAGATTTCTAGTTATTTCCAAATAAAAGAGTATGCTTATATAGAATTTAACGGAAGAAGTTACGAAAGTAGAATTTTTTTCCTGCAGGAGTAACTGGTGATTGTTTGCAAATGAATTTGTCAGAATTTTTATTACCCAGATAACATTGGTAAGCTCTATCAATTCTCTGTGGAATAGGTACTTATGTAAATATTGTTGGACATGTGCCAAGGATAATTTATCACCAAGAACTATCTGAAAAGGAGAGATAGACATTGATAAATAGTGTGGAATGCTAAAAGATTATGACCAAAACGAAATGGTCTTCCAAAATTCTGCTTAGAGGGAGTAAAAATTACATAATGTGTCCTGTGTGTTTCCACCCAGCATTGAGTCTTGTGAAATAAGAAAGCTCTCAAGTTTAGTGAAAAGAAAAAACAATCAGGTTCTCACCTTAGCCTAAATATTTTTTTTCTATTTTATAATTTGCCTTTCTTCTACTGGGTAATTATAGAGAAAATGATATTCAAGACAATAATGAATTGGGAATGTTACCACAATTCCATACTTTGTGCTGACTTGATTTTTTAAATAAATATTTGGAATTATTTACGACTACTTAATAAGTCTTATCAGGACCCTCTTGTATATAGATGAGTGGAGCTATCCCCAGCAATTTAGGTCTCTGTTTCTAAATGTTCCCTTATTACATTGTGCTTATGTGACACTCCCAATATTCCATAAATATCCCCTTTCCTGTATTATTACAAAAACAATATGCTAATCCAGGTTTTTCAGTTACTGGTCATTTTAGCTTGAACTGAACATTATGCAGAAGGAACAAATAAGCTTGTCACAAGGGACCATTTATCAGTATGAGCCACATCTGGTTCAAACGTACGAAACTTAAGATCATTCTTCGCTAATGCTTTACGGCTCTATTGTTCCCTTGAGAGAAAAATAAACAGTTGCCTTCTAATAAAAATTGTTCTGACTTGAAAGTTAATTTGAGCTATAATCTAAATCTGTATTCAGTCTATTTTTCTTATCAGAATGGGTAGAATGTTAGAAATGGTGTTTCTGGTCGGGAGATGGCTTCAAGGGTTGGAGCAGGTGCTTGGTATGTAGGAGCCCCGGGTTCCATTCCTAATACTGCAGTTTCCCCTGAGCAGCACCAGATGTGGCCCCAAACTAAAGAATTGGTGGTCTTGGTTCAATTTAAACTTTTCAGGGTGTGTGTTCTAATTTTTGGTCTGTTGGTAATTATTTTTCATATATAATTAAGGCCCAAGGACTGTTTAGGATATTATTTTAACTTTTATAATCTTAAGTAGGGGCTGGAGAGCTTGTACAAGTGGGAGGGCTGGTCCCTCTGCATTTTCCTTATATGCAGCCATCCCTTGGTCCATCCCTGGCGCTTCATATATGGTCCTCTGAGCACTGCCAGGGATCACTCTTAAGCACGAAGCCAGAAGGAGCTGCTGAGGATCAACACCCTGTTCTGTCCCCAAATAAGCCTAAGGGGTTATAGAAACATCTTGTGGTGTCACATACTAGCTGAAAGATGACAACGTAGTTAGCTGTTACATCACGGTCATTAGTCACAGTCCTCCCGTTATTCATCGATTTGCTCGAGCGGGCCCAGTAACATCTCCATCCTGAGACTTGTTGTTACTGTGTTTGGCATATTGAATACCCCAAGGGTAGCTTGCCAGGCTTTGCCGTGTAGGCGAGATCCTCTCGGTAGCTTGCCGGGCTCTCCGAGAGGGGCGGAGGAATCGAACTCGGGGCGGCCATGTTGGCCGCTTGCAAGGCAAACACCTTACCTGCTGTGCTATCGCTCCAGCTGTTACATACTATGTCAGTTATGAGATTTGTAAGTAAAGTTAGGATATTCCAAGATGTGGTATTTAAGAGAATGACCCAGTTGCAAGGAAAGTATGTAATAATGCACAAACCCTAGAATTTGTGGAAAAATAATCAGTATTGATAATGATCTAAAATTAAATTTGTAGAATATCCTAATGTGAATCTAGACAATGACCATCTGAAATATATTTCCAGCTTTGAAGAAAAAAATGTTGAAAACAGTCTAATTTACTGTACAGTTCATTATATTCTCTTCTTGGTTTTGCTACAGGAATGGAAAGGTAGAGATGTTCTTTTTCTTTCTTTAGGGGTGGGCTGGAGGTTTGGACTTACCCTGGTTCTCTGCTCAGGGATCACTCCTGGTGCAATACTGGGAATTGACCCCTGGATGGCTGCCTGAAAGGTGGGTGCCTTACCCATTGCACTATCTCTCTGGCCCAAGGTGGAGATATTTTTATGCTTATGAAATATGGAGCCAGGGATGTAGCTAAGCAGTAGAGTACTTACCTCCAATGAATCAGGTCCTAGGTCCTGAAATAATGTGAATGAGAGCATTTTGGTGGGACCCAAGAAAAGTTGTGGCAAAGTCTGTTTTAAAAGGGCAAGACTGCAAATTTTGTCCCTGATGCCACCCAACATGTACCAAGTGTGATAATGGAGGCATTACTCTTGGGATCTCCTGGTGCGAAAACAAAGCATGTAAACCTCTGGTGGACCACAACTTAAAGAAATATGATCCCAGTAAGTACTGCAACCAAGCACATGTAAAAGCATTTTGGGAATAGGATATAAATTTAATATTAAGCATATTCATCTTGACTAGCATTTAATAACTAGTATATAAAAGTTTAGCTGCTGACCTTAGGAGACATGTAACTGCTTAAAGAGCAAGAGTTGAGATCCAGCCAGCTCTGTATAGTTAAGTGTGGGAGCTTTTTGTTTTGTTTCTATTGGGCCACAAACAGCGTGCTTGGGGCACTACTTCCAGGGGTGCAGGGAAGTCCTACGTTGGAACCCAGGTCTCCCACACACTACACCAGCCCTTTGAGCCATCTCCTAGGCCCATAGATATGAATATTTTGAGGAAATACCATTTGACAATAATTTTGTAGAAAAGGGAGGAGAAAGCATCATAAGATTTTTGAGGATTAAGGAGGACACAGTACGTTTTGGTTATTTGGGCCACATCTGGCGGTGCTTTGAGGCTTCTGGCTCTATGGTTCGGGGTTAATGCCGGCACTGTTTCAGGGACCATGTGGTGTGGGGCTCAATCCCTGGTTTCCCGCATGCAATGCATGCTTTCAGCCTGTTGAGATATCTCTCAAGTCTTGATTCAGAAATTTTCTAGAGAGTTTTTTTCAAACAGTAAGACAAGAGTTATCACATATTAGAAATAGAATTTTCTAAGATGATACTGAAGTTACGTTAGACCAATACATTTTTATTTCCTGTTTTGCACACAGGACCACATATAGTTTCCCGAGCCCCACCCAAAGTGATCCCTGAGCACTGCTGGGTGTGCCCTCCCAATCAACAAAACGACCAATATATTATTACAGCAATGCTGTTTTTACTAGTTTCTTTTTGTTGCCAAACTTAGAAGCAGGAATAAGTTTTTAAGGAAAGCAAACAGTCGTTGAGAAAATCTCATTCTATCAAAAGGACTCTTAGGAAATAGGAAACTTAAGATAAACCACTACCTCTTCAATCACAATGAAGGTTCTAGATTCACATCACTTCCGCACTGAACTTCCGAATCACATGATGCTCCTCTCTTGTGCAAGTGGCATTGTCACGATTAGTGTTGCTTTTTCTTTGATAAATTTTGCTGTAGTCATTTCAACATCCACAAGTTCTGGGAGATTCAGATGCAGTCTGTACTTCTCAGAGACCTCTACCAATAAATCATCCTAAATAATAAAATGAGTTTTAGTTAACGTTAAATACTTAAGGAAAAGAGAAGGCAGCAGAGATTTTCCTACAAGTATGGGTAGTGGGGGCTAAAAGAGTTTTCGTTTTGTTTTTTCCACACCCAGTGGTGTTCAAGGCTGAGCTCTGCACAGGGATCAGCTCCTGGTGGAGCTCGGGACCATATAGGGTGCTGGAGATTGAACTATGGTTAATCATATGCAAGGCATGTCCCCTACTTTCTGTACTATCTGTCCAGCTCCACATTAGAATTTTTTTTTTTTTTTTGCTTTTTGGGTTACATCTGGAGATGCACAGGGGTTACTCCTGGCTCTGCACTCAGGAGTTGCTCCTGGCGGTGTTCAGGGGATCATATGGGATGCTGGGAATCGAACCTGGGTCGGCCGCGTGCAAGGCATACCCGCTGTGCTATTTCTCCAGCCCCAAGATTAGAATTTTTAAAGGATGAAACTGGAAAAGTATTTCTGGTTAAATTTTTAAAACTAGATTGTTGCTCCCAGTTATTTATGCCTTTCCCATATGAAGAGGATTTGCTTATTGCCCAGTGATCTGCAATGAGACTTAGAACTTAATTCTACTCAAATGTATTACCACTATTTCAAGACTAAACACTATTGTAATCCCAAACTGAACGGCATTAAGTTAGAGACTAAATAGCAACCAATTAAGGAAACCTATGGAGTCTGAAAAGATGATGGTATTTTATTTATTTATTTATTTATTACCTTTTGGGTCACACCCAGCTGTGCTCAGGGGTCACTCCTGGTTCTGCACTCAGGAACCACTCCTGGCGGTGCTTGGGGGACCATATGGGATGCCGGGGATGGAACCCGGGTCGGCCGTGTGCAAGGCAAACGCCCTACCCGCTGTGCTATCGCTTCGTCCCGATGGCATTGTTTTCTAACAATTAAGTCCTTGGTAATACAATCAACAATATGCCCGATACATGGCTCTAGTAAAGAGGCAGACATGTTAGCAGCAAGCAGTGGTCTTATCTGCCACATTTAACTAGGCATTTCACTCAAAAAGGAGTTTAGAAAAACATTCCCAGTTTGCAAGTGAAACTGAAAGGGAGGGGCTCGGAGATAGATGGATGGGCTGAATCCATGCGAGACGTGGCAGCCCGGCGCCACATGGTTTCCAGAGCACTGCTAGCAGCAACCCCAAGCACAGCTGGGAGTAGCCCCTGAGCAGTTGGCCCCCAATTTGAGCTCCGTCCCGCCAAACTAAGAAAAGAAGTCTTTTGTACAGGGTACAAAAATTCTCTTTACACGAGCACTAAGAAAATGAATCTAATGGCTTCCAATCAGTAAAGGATAAAAATTGAGAATTTTGGGGGCTGGAGCGATAGCACAGCAGATAGGGTGTTTGCCTTGCACTTAGCCGACCCGGGTTCGATCCCCAGCATCCCATATGGTCCCCCGAGCACTGTCAGGAGTAATTCTTGAGTGCAGAGCCAGGAGGAACCCCTGAGCATTGCTGGATATGGCCAAAAAAACAAAAAAAAATGAGAATTTTTGTTTTTATTTCCACACTTGGAAATGGCTCATGGCATCTCCTGGCGTTATTTAGGGGATCATGCCAGGATCAAACTGGCTGCACTGAAATTATGAGCTCTTGTCCTTTGTTTCTCTGGTGTCAAACAGAAATTTTGTCAAATGAACATGATTAATACAGTCTAGAGGTGGGGCTGAGTGACAGTACAGTGGGTGAGGCTCTTGCTTTATTTGTGGCTGGTCTAGGTTCCCTCGAACATTGCTTGGAGTCATCCCTGAGCCAGAAGTAAGTCCTGAGCACAGCCAGGTGTGACACCGTCCCCCAAAACTCCCACCCTTCTTGAATAAAAAGACAAAATAGATCACAAGTCTCTATCATTTGTTAAATTCTATTTGTATTAAAATGGACATTGGGGGCCAGAGCAATAGTACAGTGGGTAGTGCACTTGCCTTGCATGTGACCAATCCAGGTTTAATCCCTGGCATCCCACCTGGTCCCTTGAGCCTGCCAGGAGTAACCCCTGAGCATCACTGTGAGGCCCAATAAACTAAATAAGTAAAGTGGACTTAAAAGTGGCCATTGAAAAGTGACTATATCTAAGAAAGAACAATAGAACTGTTAACTGGAATAACATGCTACAGTCTGGGTTAAAAGTAAAGTAAAATGACTGTTGGTCTCCACTGTTTCGACAAAAAAAGGTTAAGAAACCTCTTCAGGGGTGGGAGACAAAATACTGCAGGTAGGGGAGCTTGCCTTGCAATCTGCCAACCCGTGTTCAATCCCCAGCACCCCCATATGAGCCCTGGGAGTGATTTCCTGAGAGCAGACCCACCAGTAAATCCTGGGCACCACCACTAAAACAAACAAACAAACAAACAAAAAACTCACTGTACCACCACACCCCAACCCCGCTTAAAAAAAAAAAGCTGTTCATGTAAAGAAGCATATTCTTCAAAGCTCTTTCAGACATGACGAAGGTAGATAATGGAAAGGGAAGCAACTTCTAAAAATAAGAGATGAAGATATTAGAAAATAAACCATAGCCTATTTTTTTTTTTAAAGAATGAAGGATAATAGAAAACAATTGGACTAGGGGCTAGTTATTAGCAAGGGACGAGTCACGGGAGCTAAGATCTGTATTTCCAGAAAAGACACCTTCACAATATCTGCCTCCCAGAATTTCAGAATTTCTGTGTACCAAAAGCCACTGTGCGCTTCATTTTGTTTTCTTGTTAGTTCTGGGGCCACACCCAGTGATGTTTAGGGTTTACTCCTGGCTTTGCACTCAGGAATCACTCCAGGTGGTGTTTGGGGGACTGACATCACTGGGATTGAACGCGGGTGGGCCGCATGCAAAGCATAGTACTTCTCACTTCGGCCCAGTGCCTCATATTTTTCCATTTCTGAATTGAGACAATTATGGCTGTTACTATCCCCAGTTGACATTGCATGGTGCACTGGGGGGATTATGACAGTAAGATCCTGTGCTTTAGAAGTTGATGCTGGGAAGAGAGGTGTCTTCATCTAGAAAAAGGGCAGACTGGATAGACTGTAGGACTGTTACCAATTATTTGCTTTGCTTCTGTAGGACACTTCAGGCATGCATCTCTGCTATATTGCTTCCTATGGCTACCTGTGGGAGAATATACTTCCCAGTATATCACTGTTACCTTAACCTTGTGACTGACTTTGGTCAGAAGAATTTGAGTAGAAGTGATAGAGGCCATGTCTGAAAAGTTATCTTAGGATCAATTGCCTGGCTTAGCTATTTTGTTTCTCTCTTCCAGAGAAATGGCATATCTCAGATAGTAATTACTTCTTCATCTGTGTCTTAAAATGTATGAAAGTCACAGAATCGTAGATATATAATCTAAGGAAATTACTGTAAACCACTGATTTCATGGGGTTGGGTAGTACAACATAATGGAGTGAATGATGGCTGATAACAGTTTACAGTATTAGTGGTTTTCAACCTTTTCACTAAGTTAATTTGTGGTGGTGCTAGGGATTGAACCCAGGGCCTCAGAAATGTGAAACATGCCCTCTGTTACTGAGCTATACCCCAAACCCTGGTTTTAAACATTTTTATACCTGCAGACAAGCACCAGTCCACAGATTGGCACTTGAAACAACTGAATTATTCAACTTACCTCAGAAACGTGAAGGTCACAGAGAGAGACTGAATTAATACCAGGTAATTCAACTTTTAATTCAATTTTTTGAGGTTTCTCATTCTGTTCTTCAACAATTTTTAGTTCATATACTGGTTTCTTCACCTCCATTTGGATTTCTGTACTGGAAATCTCTTCTATCAAACACCCTGCTTTGTTGGAACTCTGCTCTTTTGTCAGTAAAAGTTGAGGTAAGTAATTTGAACTGCTTGTAGTATTGCTGCTTATCTGTTCAAGAGTTAGTTCTTTGTGAGAAAAGAGGGGTGATAAAATTACAAAATCAGTAATATAGAATACAACCTCGTTATGAAATATAGCATTTAAATATTAATAAAAATGGCAGATAAAGTTGCAGCTGAATTAGTTGAGGAATTCAAAATCAAAATATTCTTTGTTTTTAGTTTGGGGGCCACACCTGGTGGTGCTCAGGGTTTACTCCTGGCTCTGCACTCAGAGATCACTCCTGGTGGTGACAGGGGACCTTATCGGATATGGGGATAGAAGCTGGATTGGCCATACACAAGGCAAACACCCTTCCCCATGTACTATTGTTGGCCCCCAACTTTGTTTGAGTCATATCCAGTGGTGCTCAGGGCTTACTCCTGGCTGTGTGCTCAGGGGTCACTCCTGGTAGTACTTGAGGACTATATTGGTGCTGGGGATTGAACTGGGGTCAGCTGCATGCAAACTAAGCACCTTACTTCAGTATCTCTCTGCCCCGCAAAAGACTCCGTTTTTCCCTTTTGGGGTGGGGCGGGGCGGGGTTCCACATCCAGTGGTGCTTAGGGCTTACTCCTGGCTCTGTGCACAGGGTTCACTCCTGACAGGATTTACGGGACCATATACGATGGCTGGGGAAAGAATCCAGGTCAACTGATGTAAGGCTTACCACGCGACTCTGCTCTCTAGCACCCCACCTTGAAGACCTTTTTTTTGGGGGGGGTGCACACCTGGCTCAGGGAACTACATGAGATGCTGGGGTTCCAACTTGCATTGGTTGTATACAAGTGCCCTACCCACTCTACTATTGCTCCAGCCCCTCGAAAAACTCTTAAGCCAAAGAATTTGTTTTTCAAGTGCAGAATTTATCAGGGAGATAGGTCAAAGGGCTACAAAGGGCTAGATGCAGGATCCATGATTTATCCCTAGAGCTGCAAGGTCCCCCCAAACCTTCCAGCACACTAGGGTGTGACCCAAACTAAGTTTCCTGCACACCAGGGAGATGGCAGTAAGGACGGGAGCACACAGTTTTCATGTAGGAGCTTTGGGTTTGATTCCTGGCACCACATGGCTTCCCTCAACCCTAAGCACTGCCTGGTGTGCCCCTAAAACAAGACAAAACAACAAATTTAAAATTTTAAAATTGTGGGCTGAAAGTGCTGGAGTACCTGCTTAACATACTGGAATCCTGGGTTCAATCTCTGGTAGCACAAGTCCCCAGAGTGCCAGAATGGCCCACAAATGAGCAAGGAGTAGCCCTGAGCACTGTTGTGGGTGAATCAAAAACAGTACAACGGGCTGAACAGATAGTACAATGGGGAAGTGCTTGCCTTGTTCTATCCCTGGCCCTCCATTTGATACCCTAGCCCTGTCAGGAATGGCTCCTTAACAGAAAACTGAGAGTGAGCCCTGAGCACCACTGGGTGCTCAAAAACAACAAAGTCTCCAATGGAGACGTTACTGGGCCCGCTCGAGCAAATCGATGATCAACAGGAGGGCCTCAGAAACAAACCAGAAACCAAATTGGATTCCATTTACATTCATTAACTTACCTTTTCTTGGTTTCTCTCTTAAATCTGTTTGGATTCCCATCAGATTTTGTTTCGTCCTCTGGATATTTCCTTTCATTCTAAAATTGGTAATATGGTAAGCCTGAGAGAGAGTGAAGTGCTGTTTTTCTTCAATGCATTTCATGACCATTCGTATTAATTCCTTTTTTCTAACGTGGTCATTTTCTGCAGCCTGAAGGACCTCAGGATTGAAGGCAACATCGATGACTGTGTAAATATCTGTGTGTAGGTCAAAGGGTCTGATATTAATACATTCTCTTTCACCAATGGTACTGTCAGGTAGCAGAGTAAGCCATAATTTCAGTAAAACTAGAGAATATAAATTATTATTATTATTATTAATTATTTTGGGGGGCCACACTTGGCGATGCTTGGAGGTTACTCCTGACTCTGCAGTCAGGAATCACGCCTGGTGATGCTCAGGGAACCATATGGGATGCTGGGGATCAAATTTGGGTCCGCTGAATGCAAGGTAGACACCTTGCCCACCGTAATATTGCTCCAACCCTAGAAAATATAAATTCTATTCCTGTATTTTTTAGAGGCACTAATAACGGTGCTATACATACAAAATTCCAATTAGGGAATTTCTTGGCATTTTATTTTTTCCCACTTTATGCCATTTCTTGGCATTTGGATGGATTAAAAACAGCTCATATATTACAAAAATTAAACATTTTAATTTATATAAGGGAACACATATCATTAACTACTTATAACTCAACACTGCAATGCTTTTTAATGAAATAAAACCTGGTTCACACTTCTCTGGTTTTTGTTCCTTTTTGGGTGACCCTCAGCTGTGCTCGTAGGGCCTGTAGAGATAGTACAGTGGGTAGAGCCTTGCAGATGGATGACCCAGGTTCGATCATTGATACCCCATATCGTCCCCTGAACCCACCAGGTGTAATCTCTGAGCACAGAGCCAGAAGTAAGCCCTAAGCACCACTGGGTATGGTCCATAATAAAACAAATTTTACTTGATGCATCATGACTTCCAGTACTGTTAATAAAATTGCAAATATTCTTTCTCTTCCATAATTCTGTGTACCTGATGCCTCAGACGTATCTTCTGGTCTGCCAATACTTATAGGTATTGGATGAGTGGCTGACTCGGGAGATGGGATCCTTTTCCACTGACAGAGATTGATAAAAAGCTTTTTCTCCTTTGGTTTCTAGAAAGATAATTGTAGATACAGGTAGTTTTTTCCTTTTTTTGGGGGGGGGGAGGTCCACATCTGGCATTATTCAGGGGTTATTCTTGGCTCTGATAAGTAAGTGGTCATTCTGGTGGTGCTTGAGGGACCATATGCAGTGCCAGGGATCAAACTGAGGTTAGCTATATGCAAGGCAAACATCTTCGCATCCACTTCCCCAATACTACCTAGTCCCCAACTCTTTGTTTTAAAAAATATTATTTTCAATCATACCTGCCAGTATTTGGTGACATCAGGAAAATACCTGGCAGTGCTGGAGAGGAAAATATACATGTGGTTGAAGGATCAACTCAGGGCCTTGCACATGGTAGGCATGTATAGTTATTATCTGGGCAGTGCTCAGAGGCTACTCTTGGATGCCTGGTAGTTCTCAGGGGACCATGAGGTGACAGGGATCAAACTGGAACCACACACTGCAGCCCTTTGAGTTATCTCCCTAGCCCCACTGAAACTTTCGGAGGGAGCCAGAGTGATTGTACAGCAGGTAGGGCACCAGCCTTGCAGGCCACCAACCTGAATTTGCGTCCCCGATCCCAGCACCCCATATGGTCCCCTACACCCTGCCAGATATAATGCCTGAGTGCAGAGCCAGAGGTAAGCCCTGAGACCCACTAGATGTGGCCCCAAATAACCACAAAAGATGCCCCCCTTCTCATTTCCCCAGAGCTCTGGATTTTCCTCAAGTACCCAGTTGCTATTCCCAGAAAAGGGATGGAGAGAGATTGATCTACAGTTATTTCAGGAGAATTTGTTCAATGCTTCCTTACCTCCCAACCAAATAAATATATTCTTTTGTTCATTTCTGTTATCGTTTCCTTTTCTTTCTGTCCTTCCTCCCTTCTTTCCTCCTGGGATTGAACCCAGGGCCTCATATATGCAAGATGGGTGCTTTGCCACTGAGCCACATCTCTGATCCTTAAGTTCTTTTCTTTGAAAAAAGTTATGCCATGATTATCAAATAATTATATTATTAAGTTTTTTTGTTTCAATGGATGCTGGGGATCGAACCCAGGTCGACCGTGTGCAAGGCAAACGCCCTTCGCGCTGTGCTATCACTCCAGATGGGGGCCATACCCTGAGGTCCAGGGTTACTCCCTACGGTTCTGGGGGCACTGTGATGCTGGGGTCAGACTCAGGCCAGACTTCATACATACAAGGCCTTTTCTCTACCACTAAGTCAAATTCTTAGCTCACTTTTACATTTACTTTTAGCTCCCAAAATAACTGACTTTGAGATCTTCAAAATATACCAGGTAACAAGATTTAAGTTTTTCTATTGTTATTCCAACACAAATCTTCCACAGTTTCATTCTCTATTAAGAATGGCAGTTTTATTTATTTTTTTTGCTTTTTTTGGTCACACCCTGCGATGCACAGGAGTTACTCCTGGTTCATGAACTCAGGAATTACTCCTGGCGGTGCTTGGGGGATCATATGGGATGCTGGGAATCGAACCTGGGTTGGCCACGTGCAAGGCAAATACCCTACCCGCTGTGCTATTGCTCCAGCCCCGAGAATGGCAGTTTTAAAGTAGGAAGAAAGCGCAAGTGATAGAGCACATGCCCAGCATGTTTTTTTCTTTTTGGGTCACGTCTGGTGATTCTCAGGGGTTATTTCTGGCTCTGTACTCAAGAATTGCACCTGGTGGTGCTCAGGGGGACCAAATGGGATGCTGAGGATTGAATCCAGGTTGGCTGAATGCAAGGCAAATGCCCTACACGCTATTGCTCCAGCCCCAAAGCCCAGCATGTTTAAGATGCACAGTGCCCCTCAAACTGTCTTGTGCCCAAGTAGTGTAGAGTAAGTTCTTATCTGTTTCCTGTAGGATCATTTCATTTAGCACCTCTCCATCCCTGAACCCCATATGGACATACCAGGATCCTGGTCTCTAGGCAGAACTGTGGTTCTGGGGCCGCCCAGAGCTCTTTGCCTTCTTTCAGCTGCTGGTTAATGAATTTCTTATAGCTCTCAGGGTTACTTTCAGCAAGATCATCTAGGAGGTTCCATAACTGATTAGCTTGTGTATACAGACCCTTTGAAGATGTCTCCATAATTGAGTTAAATAGGCTCTTGGATCTGTGGAAAAACATAAGGGGGTGCGGCAAGTCTGTTGATTCCTTTCTTCTTTAGGAAGAGGGGATGGGTCAGGAATTGTCTGGTGACGAGTAGCACTGTATCGATGACACATAAATCTAAAAGATTTCATCACCATGTATCCTCTCCTTATTCTCGAATTATCTGATGCTTAACTGTCAAGCTGCCCTCTAGGCTAAGGCCTGACTGCTGCGAGGGGGTCCGGTTCAAGTCCGGATTTTATGGAAGCTAATTCCAACTCTGGGTATTGGTTCTCTGGCGTGTGAGAGCAAGCATGCCCGCTGGAGACACATGCATTTGCTGAGATCCCAATCTTCACGCCATCAGTAGCTGTGTGATCTTTACAACGCTTTTATTTCTTTGCTTTTTGGGTCACACCCAGCAATGCACAGGGGTTGCTCCTGGCTCATGCACTCAGGAATTACTCCTGGCGGTGCTCGGGGGACCATATGGGATGCCGGGGATGGAACCCAGGTTGGCCACGAGCAAGGCAAATGCCCTACCCGTTGTGCTATCGCTCCAGCCCCACACGCTTTTTTTTTTTTTTTTTTGGGGGGGGGGAGGTTGGTTCACAGCCGGTGGGGCGCTGGGGTCGATGCGCAGACGAACAGAGGGTGCTAAGGGACTTAAACGTTGGGCTCCGTACCAGGCAAGACCCATAACCCCTGGACTATCTGGCCGAGCCCTCGATTGCTTTACGTAGTTTCTTCGACGATACCCATCTGTAGGATTTTCGTGCGCATTCAGCAAGGCAGAGTGGTTGCAGCGACCGGTGGGCATTAGCAGGAGTTCTGCTAGCCTTCCTACGCCTGGCGATGCCTCCCTCCGTTCGCCCTTCCTCTCCTCCCACTGGGGACACGTCCCGCCTCATCCTCAGAACGAGGAAAAGGTGGGCGTAGGTGGGGTCTTCGAATCCTGAACCAGGGCGAGGCTACCTACGGAAGCTAAAGGTTATTCTCGAGGTCCGGGCACCCACCTCGGCAGCGGCGTCTAGACCGACCGCGACGCCGGTTACCAGGGCAACCAGGCTGGGTCCCGCAGCTAATTGGGTCCGGGGTGCCCCTGGCCCGAAAGGCCACCCTGACATCCCGTTCCGGAATCTGCCTTTTCCGGCGCCGGGCTGGTTTTCACCCCGGGAGTCGGTCCGGGTGCTGGGCCCCTCCGCGCCCGCGAGCACCGCGCGCCGCTCGAGCCTGCGGAAACCGCCCCCCGAGACACCTCCGCTGCCGGCGACTCCCCCGGCGCCTCCCGTGGCGGGGACGGATTTCCCGGGAGCACCACTTCCGGCGCGAAGGGGAAGCGGCTCCCGGCGCTCCTGGGCCGCTCCCCCCCACTCCCCACCCCACCCCCGCCACGCGAGGCTGCGGCGCACGGTATGGGTGTGTTTGTGTGTGTCTGTGTGGGGAGGGCGTGCGGCGGGAAGGCGGCCGGGAGCGCCGGGAACCCGCGCGGGCGTCATCCTCCGCCCCCCCCCCCCCCAAAAAAACCCACTTCCTGGGGCCCGAGCGGGGGGCGTCCCGCGCGCCCAGGCCCCCGCCGCGTTCCGGGGGCAGCGAGCCCGGCCTCCCGGGGGCCCCGTGGCGGCGGGGCACGCTCGGCCCGGGCGGGGGAGCGGAGCGGAGCGCGGCGCCGGGCAGGGGGCGAGGCCGCCGAGGCCCGGGGCCGCGGGTCGGGCGCATGAGCGGTGGGAAGGCTGCGCAGCCCACGGAGGACCCGGGCCCTGCGCCCCCCCGGGTCGGAGGAGATCTTGTAATGGAGTGGTGCTTCGTCTCACACTAGCAAGATGCCCGATCTCCTCAGGATCCAGGGGTGAGTGAGCGGGGAGGGGGGTGGGGAGGGGCGGCTTGCGCCGAGCTCATGCTTAACTGCATCCTGAACGGTGGGGTTTTATTGTTGTTCTAGTTGTGGAGGCGTCGGTCCCAAGCGGAGAACGCAGTCCCCCCCCCACGCTCCCCCGGTGACTGTCGGGCATGTGTCTGCCGTTGGGTGTGTGCAGGCGCCCGTTTGCTTGCAGTTTGTTGTTGACACGTGTGCTCCCCAACACTCCCGAACCTGCCGCTGGGCTTCCTCGCAGACAACATTTGGGGGGGATGCGGGAGCTGCCTTTAGAATCTGTCTGCAGCTTGGACTCGGTGGCCTTGGGCTAGTGCTGGCTTCCAAGAAATTTCACTTACGGCACAGCAGGGAAAAGAACTTGCCTCGTGGAGAACAGCCCCTCTCTGAACAGTCAGTACCTGGGTGCTGTTGACAGCACTGGATTTTGTGCAGTATCCCAGAGCGCTGACGCACATTCTTTTCTTTTCGTTCCTTATCGGAGCGGGGTACGCTTTCCGCTCTTCAGTCCTTTAATTTTTAGTTGGGTTTATTTCTGAGCCACACCCGGAGGTGCTCAGGGCTTACTCCTGGTTCTGCGCTTAGGGCTTAGGGGGTCCTTTTTATGTGGGACTCCAGTGACCGTTGTTGGTGGAGTGATTGAACCCGGATTGGCCTTGTGCAAGGAAATAAAGTTCCTTATCAGGTCTACTACCTACCTCTCAGGCCCCAAGGCTTTCCCTTTTTAACGATGAACATAAACTATTCTCCAGGACCTTTGACTTCTAGTTTAATCGTGTTTTCCTTATCGCACTCTCCTTTCTGAGTGCGATAGAAGATATGGTAATAAAGGAAATCGTTATTAGGTGTTTATGGATTCTTTTCAGATTAAAGAATGTCCCGGGTTCCACTGGGGAAAGTCCTTTTGAGGAATGTCATCCGGCACACAGATGCTCACAATAAGGTAAGAGCTACAACCCAGTTCTTCGACAGCCCTTCATGAGGAGCCCATAATGACCCATGCATCATTTTGGTACAGTTGACAGATAGGTGAATTAAGTGGATAATTCCCATACAGTTTAATAAGTGCTGCAGCAGAGGCAGGTACAAAATGCTTTAATGCACTGAAGAAGAAATAATGAAATCTGCATTTGGGAATTAGAAAAGGATTCATGGAATGGTTGACATTTGAATTGCTGATCTGAAGTTCGTTCTCCATGAATAGGCACAAGTGTACCCGTTGAAAAAATACCGCTCTAGAGAGAGAACAATATGAACTAGTAAAAGGCGACAAGAAAGAGCATGATGGGTTGGGAAGTGTTGCTCAGTGACGGAGCACTTGCCTCGGACATATGAGGCCCGGGATTTGATCCCTGGCAGAAAGGGAGGAAAAAAAATCATGAAGCACTTGGGACATAGTAAGAAATTGTGTGTATTCCAAAGATAAGGGCTGGAACTACAGTCCCACAGGTGGGGCCTTCGCTTTGCACATGGCAGATCTGGGTTTGATCCTGATAACCCAAGTCAGCCAGGAGTGAACCTTGAGTACAGATCCAGGAGTAAGTCCTGAGCACCGCAAAGCCAAAGTAAAGCCAAAAGTAAGGGAATGTGGGGCTTGTGCCTGAAGCTGAGGTTTGAATAGAAAATTAGTTTTGGGTTATATCGTGTGGAAATTAATACTTTTTCCTATAGCAATAGATTTTCTTTATTGAGAGCACTGACAATAGGCATGAAAATGAGTCACTGGAGATAGTATCCAAAGCACCAAGTGGCTGATTGAATAATAATGATAATTATGGAATCAGTTATAAATACCTTGTGTAATTGGAGGGATGATGATGAATGATGCCATTAATTGAGGTGAGAGCAAAAGACAGGGTTTAAATATGATTGAAAAAAGGAAATTTTGCTTTAGCTTTGGGAGTTTATCTTTGAACAAGTTGATCATGAGATGCTTACAGAATATCTATTAGAAACTCGGGCTTTGAGGAAAGGAGAAAATGTGGAGTTACACATAGAAATTGGAAATTATTGATATATAGGAAATGATAGACCATATGAGAGAAAATGAATTCACCCAGGAGACCTTATATAATTGAAGAGGACCAATGACGCGCATTGATTTTCTTTGGTGAACTAACAGTTATACTCTTGGTTTGATCGGAATATTATTCCCATAGTATTTCCCGATAGGTTGATTTAGAGAGTATAGTTATTTTTCTGGCCCTTGGTTTTCTTTTGAAGTAAGATTGTTTAAGGTTCTGTATTTGATTTTGTGTTTTTATTCCACACCTGGTGGTGCTAAGGACCACTTGTCATCCAGGCATTGAACCAGGGTTAGCCACATCCAAGGGAAATGCCTTAATAGCTCTACTATCTTGGGACCTCTAAGGTTCAGTTGGGATGATAAAATCATAAAACATTTTAGTAACATATTATTTGCTAATTGGAGCATAATTACAAAATTGATAGTTGTGTATGGAGGGGGCTGGAGCGATAGCACAGCGGGTATGGCGTTTGCCTTGCACGCAGCCAGTATGGCCGACCCGAGTTCGATTCCTCCGCCCTCTTGGAGAGCCCGGCAAGGTACCGAGAGTGTCTCGCCCACTCGGCAAAGCCTGGCAAGCTACCTGTGACGTATTCGATATGCCAAACACAGTAACAACAAAGTCTCACGATGGAGACGTTACTGGGCCCGCTCAAGCAAATCGATGAACAACGGGAGGACAGTGACAGTGACAGTGTATGGAGGATTAAAAGTTCTCTTGAGGAGCTGGAGAGATAGTATAGTGAGTAGGGTGCTTGCCTTGCAAGTGGCAGACCTGGGTTTAATCCCCAGCATTCCCATATTGTCTTCTGTACATTGCCAGGAGTAATTGCTGAGTACAAAGCCAGGAGTAACCCCTGAGCATCATCAGATCTGGCTCCAAAACAAAAATCAAAAAAGTTCTTTGAGAGGCCAGGGATAATTTAGTGGCAGAGTGCAGGCTTCAAATATATGAGGCTCTGGATTCTCTCCTCGTCACTGCCCTCCATCCCAATCTGTCCTACGGGAATTTTACATATGATTTGCTGCTCTAGACTGTTTAGCCTGTCTAGAAAACCAGAATTTGTTTCTTGGCGTCCAGATCACAATCCAGTCTAATCCAAGTGCTTTCAGTTACTTTCCTGTATTGTGTTGTTTTCAGTAACTTATTTTTATTTTCTTTTTTAATAAATACAGATCCAGGAAGAATCAGATATGTGGAAAATAAGAGAACTGGAGAAACAGATGGAAGATGCATACCGGGGCCCCAAAAGGAAAATGTTACCCAGTAGTTCAAGGTGAAGTGGCAGCTCTCAGAATGAAAATAATTCTCATCTTGCACAGAATCAACAACTTTTATTTTGAAACAATTTACTATGCTAAGAACAGATGAATGCAGTTCTCGAGTTGTTTTTATTATTATTGTTGCTGTTGTTGTTATGCATTGTTGATGCAGCAGTGATTGGAGGTCTCACATATCCCAGGTTGTGGTGCTTGGATATTTGGTTATGGTGAGGAGTCTTGCATTTGCTTGCAGTGCTCATAGACTTGGCTGTTGGTGCTCACTTACCTTCCTTGTGCTTGAAGGTTGCTCACACAGGTGCTTGCTGGGGGTGACTCACCTGACTGCAGTGGGCCAAAGAGTCCATGCACTAGCCAAGACCTTGCTCTGTGCATGTGGGTTGGCACTGGGGATCTAACTCGTGGCCTGATGTTTGCAAGATAGGCTCTGTGCCTCAGAGTTATCTTCAAGCTCCAGTTGTGTGAGTTCTTAGCTTTCCCTCTTTGGTACTGGGCTATCTTCAGGAGCCTGTCCTGTAAGTTCTTAAGCTTTTTCTCTATGAATTTAGACCCAAGCACAAAGATAATGGCTGTGATTTATATCTTTGTTTGTTTTGGGACCACACCAAGTGGTGCTCAGGGCTTAGTCCTGTTTCTGCTCTCAGGGATCATTCCTGGTGGGGTTGGGGCACTATATGTTGGTGCCACAGACCCAACCAAGGTCGGCCACATGTAAGGCAAGCCCCCCACTTACCACCTGCTATACTATTACTCTGGTGCCTATGATAAATACCGTTTTTTTCCTTTTTTTTTTTTTTTTTGAGGGGGCTGGGTTGGGCCACACCTGTCTGTGCTCAGGAGTTATTCCTGATTCTGCACTCAGGGATCACTTTTGGCAGTGCTTGGGGGACCATATGGGGTGCCAAAGATCTGATTCAAGTCAGTCTCCTGCCAGGGAAACACCGTACCGACTGTATTGTTGCTCCAGCCTGTATATCTTTGCACTTATTTGCAGTGGGGAAATCAAAAAATTCTGTCTAAACAATTGTAATATTAAGGATTCAATGTTTGGGGCCAGAGAAGAAGTACAGCAGCTAGGATGCTTGCCTTGCACTCAGGTTTGATTCCTGGCACCATGTATGGTCCCTGAGCCTGCCAGAACCAATCCTGAGCAGAGCAGTGTGTAGCCACAAAACAAAACAAAAGGATTTTATGGATTCTGATCCTAGTTGGTGGCTTTTAACTTAGGGTTTTCCACAGATCCTTTTGTATTAGTCATTTGAGTGTGCATGTGCATATTTATGTAGGCTTAGTTGTTTTACCAGTGAAAGTATAGGAATTTTGGAGTAATTGGGAACTTCTCTTGGGCTTTTTGTGCCTGTTAAAGTAATAATGCTAATACATGTTTGTTTGGGGGCTACATCAGGTGGTACCTAGAAAGTACTCTCAGATCAGTGGTTGGGGGTAACAACTGGCAATGTCAGGGGACCATTTGGTGCTGGGGATCGAATTCAGGCCTCTTGCATACTACATGTAAAGCCTGTTGAGTTATCTTTCCAGTCCAGATCATGCAGAGGGTTATTTTTTTTTTTTTTGCTTTTGTTTTTGAGGGAAGATGGTTTTAGGCCTTTCTTGGCTATGCTCAGGACTCTGCACTCAGGGACCACTCTTGGTGGTGTTCTGGAGTGCTGGGTATGGAACCCGGTTGGCCACATGAAAGGCAAATGCCCTACTGATTGCATTATTGCTCTGGCCCCAGTTCTTTTGTTTTTCTGGGAGCATACCTGGCAGTGCTCAGAGACTATATGTAGTGCCAGGGATTTGAACCAGAGTATGTACCTCAGCCCCTGTAAAAAGTCTGCCTGGGAAATCAGTAGTTATTAGTGAGATATTTTAGGGGAATGAGTATGCTGTGTATGTGGTCTTCTAAAGTATGATTGGCTGTGTGTAAATGACTTAGACAGGAAACTGTTTGATACCAGTGGTAAGGGAGACAGAGTCTTAAAATAAAAGTAAATATCTTTCGGTTTTTTGGGGGTGGGGGGCCACACCTGGTGTTGTTCAGGACTTACTCCTTGGTCTACATTTCTGGATCACTCCTGGTGGGGCTTGAGGGAAACATGGGATGCTGGTGATCTGGTGATGGAACCTTGCTCAGCCATATGCAAGGCCAGCACCCTTTTCACTGTACTATCTCTCCAGCCCCCTCCCCCCTCCTTTTTTTAAAGATGGTCCTTTGAGAATTTTGAAATGCAGGTAATATAACTGATGGTTTGTGCTGTTTGTTCAATTCCAAATGATAATTCCAAGAACAGAATACTCTGAGTAAGTTATTAATTCTGGTAAATAAATCTTTAGGGCAGGGATTCTGATTATCTCACTTGTTTATAATCAGATTAATTGACCGACTAGACTTGTAAGTACAGGCTGTATTAATGGTTCCCAGCAGTTTTTCTGCCCCAACGTTCTGAAGGATAAGGCCTTGCTCCCACTATTACCATGACCTCATTAGAGCAGTTTGCTGTTGCTGGATTTTGGGGAATGGAATATAATTCACAATCTTCAGGGTAGTCTGAAGTGTCTGCAGCTGTGATTATGTTGTTTTCTTCTTTGTGTTGCCTCCTAATTGAAAACAGTAATCTACAGGATTTCACAGTTCAGAAGTTAACATTGTGCGCTGCAACAGGGTAGACATGGTCAGATTTTCACTGGACAGTTCTGCAAATCTATAGAGAAGAACTGATCATGTTATGTTTTGTTTTTTTTTTGGGGAGAGGGGCATGGGCTTTCAACTTGGGAGGTCATGTTCAGCAGATCATACAGTGCCAGGTATTGGTCCCAGGCCTCCTGCATGTAAATGATGTGCTCCTATCCTGTTGAGTGACCACTCCAGAACATGTCTTTTATATAATTTTTGTTTTAGGTCACATGTGGTAGTACTTAGGAATTACTCTTGGCAGTGCTCAATACTCCATTCTCCACTCCTCAGCATCACACATTCAGAGAAGAAATAACTGACTCATACGTAAATGATACCCAGGATTGAATTAGGGTTGGTCACGTGTAAGACAAGAGCCTTAACCCCTGTACTATCTCTCTGGCCCCTGTAATTTTTAACTGTTGCAAGTTGCTGTTTTTTCCTTTTAAGCTTGTTCATTTAATGTTGTGCATAATGTTCCATAAAGAAACTTCAGAAATTGCTTCTAAATCCTTTTTTTTTTTTTTATCTTATAGCCGAATGCGTAGTGATGGTTTTGATGAAGAAAGCCAGAGAGATTATTGGAGGCCAAAAAATGACATTTCCAGGACACTGGAGGATGATTTTCTTAAGGTTAAATCCTGGAACAAGAAGTTATATGACTATGAATCTAACATGCCAGACAGGTTTGTGGTTTAATTCTTTTGACCAAAAATGATATGTATCCTGAAAATGTATACTTTAATAAAGGTGTTTGGGATGTAGTTCTACACTTGATTTTAGCCAAAAGGCTAAGTCTTATATGCATAGTGGGTCAATTCCTAGCACTACAAAAAATTAAAAAAAAAGAAAGTGAAAAATTAAATATCCCAGTCCAGAGAGAGAACTCCTTGGATCGAGTGCTTACATTGTGTAGCAGATGCCCAGGTGTGTTTCCAGACATGGCATGGTTTCTGAGCACTTCCAAGGTGTAACCCAAAAACAAAAAAATGAAATATTCTATGAAATATCCTATAGAGCTTAGGTCTAGTGTGGTATGAGGCCCTGTATTCTATACTCAGCATCACACATATAGAGCAGACACGCTAATTCAAAAGAAAAAATATTAAGTGAAATATCCCGTAGAATGCAAGACTAACATGGTATGAGGCTCTGGAGATCAAAGCATCGCACAGATGCGCACACCCACCAGCCACACTCACATACCCTGGAGATCAAAGCATCGCACAGGTGTGCATACGTACACACACACACACACAGGAGATCAAGGTAGCACACATAAAACCAAGATCAAGGCATCATACACACACACCTCTAAACACTCCTCTTCAAAAACTTGTACACACATTTTTCTTAGCATCTCACACTCACATAGATCCCTCCAAAAACTTGGACAAATTGTTCATCGCATTAAGAATTCATAATGGTCAAGAAGTGGAAGCCCCAGTGTCTCTGGTGATGAATGTAGAAATAAAATATGGTATATCTATAATCTGTAATGTTACTTGTCAGAGTAAAGTACTGATACATGCTACAACATTGGTGAATCTAAACATTATGCTAGGCAAAAAGGCTAGAGAATCCACTTGGTCTTTTGGCCACTCTCAGTGATGCTGAGCACCATTAGATGCTGGAGATTAGCTCCTACAAAACTGCTTTATATAATTCTGTTTATGTGAAATATTCAGAATAGAGAGACAGTGTATAGATTAATGGTTGCTGTGGGTTGCAGGTGAGGGATTGATGAATCATTACTGCAAGTAGCCTCTTTTTGGGGTAACGAAAATATTCTCAAGTTAGTGGTTATGGCAGCGGGGATTTTTTTGGAGGTGGAAGTGGGTCATACGTGACAGTGATCAGGTCTTACTCTTGGATCTGTGCTCAGGGATCACTCTGGTGGGGCTTGCGGGACCATATGGAGTGCCAGGGGTTGAAACCAGGTTGGTCGCATGCAAGGCAAGTAAGTGCCCTAACTGCAGTATTATCCCCCTAGCTGGCTCCAAAGGGTTTACTTTTTTAAAAGTGAATGGTCTTAAATATTATGATGTTGTGAATTTTTTTTTTCTGAATTTGGGAGCTCAGAGCTTGACTCCAAATTCTGTGCTCAGGGATCACTCCTCAGGGAACTGTCTGTGGAGCCAGGAATTAAACCTAAATCAGCTGTGTGCAACTGAAGCACCCTACCCACTGGATTATGTCCTTGGCCCCTAGGAAATGTTTTTAGAGAAGTGCAAACTAGTATAGGTGTGCTTTAGTGTTTTTTTTCTGTTTTTATTTTATTTATTTTTGCTTTTTTGGGTCACGCTGGCGATGCACAGGAGTTACACCTGGTTGTGCACTCAGGAATTACTCCTGGTGTTGCTCAGGGGATCATATGGGATGCTGGGAATCGAACCCGGGTCATCCATGTGCAAGGCAAAGGCCCTACCTGCTGTGTTATTGCTCCAGCTGGTTTTTATTTTTGTTTTTGGGCCACACCCAGCTGTTGGCTCTTGGTGGGCTCGGGAGACCATATGGGGTCCTGGGGATGGAAACTTGGTTGACCATGTGTAAGGCAAGTTTTACAAATGGTCACTTGGTGTTGAAAACAACTGTGCATCGTTTCTGAGCAAGGTGGCTGGAGTGATAGTACAAGAAGTAGGGCATTTGCCTTGCACATAGCCAACATGGATTCGATCCCTGGTGTACCATATTGTTTCTGAGCAAACTGGGAGTGATCCCTGTCTGAGCACAGCCAGGTGTGCCCTTCTCCCCTCCCCCCCCAACTCCTGAAAAGTTACTGAGCAATAATATGAGGTTGACTCTTTTTTCTCCCGTGTTTTGTTTGAAAGACCCGGAGATCTTCTCTTGGTGGTTCTCAGCCAGCAGATCTGGTGACTTAATACAAGGGCTTTGTATGGTGCTCCATAGGTCTTGTGGTGCCAGGGACCTATGCCACCCTGCTGGTGCTGACTGCACCTGCCGTGTCTGGGGGATTGTGATACTGGGGTCAAAGCGAGGTTGGCTGCAAGTGAGGCATGAACCTTAATCCTTATGCTATTTCTGACTCCTCTATTTTCCACTAGTGTTGTGTGGGTCTGTGAGTATGTACTCCTAAGTTTTGCCTAATTTGCTTTAATTTTCAAAAATATATTCAGTACTTTAACAGTACATATATCTTACAGATGGGGTCACAGTGGCTATAAAGAGTTATACCCTGAAGAATTTGAAACAGACAGGTAAGGCAAATTCCCTTACTGAATAAAAAGAAACAAATCATAAAATCTGAACTGTAAAATGAGTTACTAGTATTTATTAAGGATAGAACGACGATTTCCCACAATTTTCCATTTTAAAAATGTAACCAGGCTAGGGATATAGCTCAGTAGAGCACTTGACTTGAATATGTGAGGTCTTAGGGTTGATCTTCAGCATTGCAAAAATAAAAAACAAAAAACTCAAGTAGCCAGACCTATTTGGGAAACAATATTTTGCTTTTTCTCTGGTTGTTTGGCATATCTATAGAACTTAAATTTGTGTGTGTGGGGGGGAGGGGCATGGCACCCAGCAATGCTTGGCTACCCTTGGTTCTGGAGTCAGGAATCATTCTTGGCATTGCTTGGGGGAACCACATGGGATGCCAGGGATTGAACCTGTGTCAGCCATGTGCAACGTCCTGCCCGCTATACTAATCCCTCCAGCCCCGCACTTAGATTTTTTGTTTGTTTGTTTTGCTTTTTGGGTCACACCCGGCGCCACACAGGGGTTACTCCTGGCTCATACACTCAGGAATTAGTCCTGGGGGTGCTCAGGGGATCATATGGGATGCTGGGAATTGAACCTGGGTTGGCTGTGTGCAAGTCAAACACCCTACCCTTCTGTACTATAGCTCCAGCACCTGCACTTAGATTTTTATACATTGTATTCCATCCATTAACTCAGTATGGACAATTAGAATTTTTATTTTCATTTAAAAGATGAAGACGAAAACCCAACAGAAAAAAATTTGATGCTGTGTCCAGGCTCTGATTTAAAATTAAGATTAAAATATTTGTTTTCTAAAGTAGTTCCTATTTTTTATTAGTAGTGATCAGCAAGATATTGCCAATGGGAAAAAAACATCTCCCCAGGTAAAATCATCTACTCATGAATCTCACAGACACAAGAAGTCAAAGAAATCCCACAAAAAAAAGCAAAAAAAGAAGTCACACAAAAAACAGAAGAAAAGCAAAAAGGAAGCTACGGATACAATAGCAGACTCTTCAAGTGAATTCTCAGAAGAAACTGGGGCTTCTAGTACCAGGAAAAGAAAGCAGTCGCATAAGCGCAAGAAGAAATCCAGGAAAAAGTCTCTTAAAAAGTCTGCGTCTGCTCTGTGCTTAGAAGCAGAAAATGACTCTTCGCAGTCAGATGATTCTGCATCTAGCAGTTCTGAGGAAAGTGAGGAAAGAGACACTAAAAAAACCAAGAGGAAAAAGAGAGAGAAAAAAGTCCACACCCCTGTCATTAACAGTGAAATGCAGGAGAGGACAAACAAACGCACAAATTGGAAGGTGGCTACAGATGAAAGGTCTGATGAGAGTTCAGAGGATGACTGAACAAGCTGAGAAAAGTGCTTATTCCCCCAGGACTTGGTATCTACAGCTTGGAGTTTTGCCAATGACTCTGCTCAGCACATGGCACCTGAGGTTAGAGGTGTCTGTGCTGTCTGTGTTCTTTCTGACAGACTTCTATTTTCGCCTGTTAAACTTGATCTTTTATTGTTAATAGGGAATCTTGTATTTTGTTATGAAGGTTTCTTGAAGAGATTATTTTTTTGCAACTAATCACATTTAGTGCAGAGTGCATATACAGCAAAATTAGAAAGACCCGGAAAGCTGAATCTTGTTAGTGACCTGGGTACACCAATTGGAACATTGGATTTGGGGAAAGTTCTGGGATCAAGGAATGGCCTGAAATCAGTGCTGTGTAGAATAGCCTAAGGGAACATCTCTTTTACCTATTGATAGTTAAGTGCCACAACTTGACCTCAGCCTTGGTGCTTTGATCTTTCTGTATTTCGGCCCCACACATGTAGTTCAGGTTTTAATGATGAGTGTAAGAACAAAAATCAACTGCTGTTAGAAAAGACATGGCTTTTGTTGAATTTTCCTGCTGGACAGGACTGTGGCTATATCAGTATAGCCCTAAATATGGCAGGCTAATGGAATAGTAATTAGTTTTCTAGGCCCATTGCTATGTATTAAGTGGATTTGGGTTCAAAATTACTTCCTCAGTTATCCTCAAAGGGGGAGAATTAGGAATTAGTTGAATGGGTGCTCTGAACCGGATTCAGGGCAGCAGCTGTAATTTAAATGTTTCTTCCCTATTTCTAAATTTATTAATGAACTTTAGATTTCCCCTAAAACTTAAGTTGAAAGAAATCCCAAATGAAACGGGCTTCTCAGGGACATACCTACTTCCCAATCTGCCTTTGTACTAAAGCTTCAAGCAGCAACTATTATTATTCCCCCTTGCTGTGTACTGTGATCCTTCTGATGTTGGTTCTTAAGAATCCAAATTCTCATTGAACAAAGACTGCAAAACTCATCAAAATTTTCATTGTGGCAGAAAATCCAAGTCACATTCTCCCTTGGTGTCACTTCATGGACTGAGTGAAAATTTAAGACTCTGATTTTTCTGTTTATGATGTCTGGAGTAGTTAACCTCCCTCACCTCACTCTCCCCAAGTATAATACAGAAACACTTCGATGTGGCATGACAGGTGTAAGACATCAGTAACAGAATTTTAAATATAAAAATATTCCATGAAGTGGCAATATTTTACCGTTCTGCTAAATTTGTTCTTTATAGAATACATGGTTGGTAGAGATTACTTATCCTTTGATTATGAGCAGGTGCTACCTTTGGGTATATTTATTTGAAATGTTAATACTTTGGTACCCAGTTGTCAATGTTCCATGGTGTGTCTACTTACCTTTGGGATTAGCAGAGGCCAAAGGGAACACAAGTTTATATATACTACCTCTTAACCTAAAGCTTTTGTTCTTGGAACAAGTAAAATCTTTGTTGAAAGGAGCTTTCAACATGTATTTTTAAGCAATGTTCCTTTGCTAATACCGATTCTAAGCACAGACTTAGGAAGATGGGTCGTTAGAACAAGGAATGTTCTAGAAGTGAGTTCTATTTTGGTCTGAACTTCCCTTTCCTCCCATATAAGCAGGCCTATCTCTTTCCCAGCAAGTATACACAATGCTTGTTTTTTCTCCATGTTTATCTTTTCTTGGTCATGTATAAGCAATAAAGCTGTTTTCTGTTCTTCATCTTTCTCAATCCCCTCTGTCTTAGGTTAAGGTTCTAATGGTTATATCGGGCCCTTCGTGGTTTACACGGCACTTTAAACCCAAGAATTCCCTTTTGCACCTTTGGCTTCATGTTATATATTCCTATTGTTCCTGCCAAACCAGAGACCTTTATTAAATCCCAAATTAAGATGAAACAAACTGGAGAATTCACATTTATTGAATAATGATGGGTTACAACCTGGAATTTCTCAATTCCAAATAAATAAATTTCACTTTTTAATATGGTACTTGTTAGTACCAACAGGCTTAAGTAACTAACAGCCTAAAGTTGACCAGACAGCAGACTTGATGACCTTGCTCCATTTCTCCTCCAATTGTTTGGTAACAAGTCCTTTGAAGCATCTGTCATTCTCCCAGATGGCCTCCTACTGACCTCCTTTCTGTACAATCTGGGCAAAACGACTCGTAATAGCAAGAGTAGTGTCAATGAAGCGGTCCACACAGCTTGAGAGACAATTTTCAGTGCGAGAATCCAGACGGCTTCCTGGTTTATCCACACATTTATCCCAACATAGTTCCATGAAGTGATGCACCTAAGAAGAAGAAAAAAAAAGACCATTGGGAGCTAATAACTACTTTCCTTATTTTCTTCCTATTTTCCAGCACCTGACTAAAAAAGTTCTTTCATTTGACCCAAGAATCTTTCTTCATTTCTCAATTATTCACCTGTGTGGACCAGAGTCTCAACAGTTTAATTATCTTGTCTACTTTTCTTTTTTGGGGGGCTACATCCAGTGATACACAGGAATCACTACTGCTTGTGCTTGAGGGATGACCATAGGGGATGCCACGTGCAAACAGTGCCCTACCTGCTGTACTATACTCTCTGGTCCTTGTCTATCTTTCTAGTATTTTCTAATTAAAATATTTTCCATCAAGAAATCCATGTTTGCTGAACACTAATTTCTTCGCTGACCAATCAGGGCATTCCCTTATTCAATCACCAACACAGGACTGTCAATGAAATCTCTTATGTATCCAACTTGACTCCTAGTAATACGCCATTCTAAAGATTTTTTCCCCCATTTCTCTGTAGAGCTTATTCCCTCCCCGACCCAGGATCAGGGGCGGGGTGGTGGGGGGCACAAAGTGCAGTGCTTGGGAGTCCAGCACGGGTGGGCCGTGTGCAGGGCAAATGCTTCAATCTCTGCTAACGCGCCGGCCCCACAGTTCTTAACCTTTGGGTGGGGGGGCGGGGGAAGGTCATGAACACAATTTGCGAAATCGGGAAGGATCATGGGGTAATGCACCCACCCGCACGGTTCCATCACGTTAGGGCCTAAAGATTTCGAACCAGGGTGCTAGCACCGCGCCCGGCCTCCACTTCGGGCGGCGGGGCCCTAAGCATTCGGGCAAACCTTTCCAGGGTTCTGAACGCGGTGGATCGCCCCCATCTCACAGGCGGACTTGACTGCCCAAGGTCAACGCGGGGTTCCGGCCTCGCTTAAAGGGCTCCAGCGTCTAGTGCTAAACAAACACACACTCCCCATGCCGGTTCGCCCGCAACATCGTCTTCACTTTATCGCGCAGGGTTGAGTCCTGCGAGGCGGCGAGCGACCCGAGGTGGCGGAGGCCTGGAGGAGACACAGGCAGGGTTAGAGCCCCGTAGTCCGCTCTACGGGGGAGTGGGGCGCTGGCGGCCCAACTGCCAGGGGGTGCGGGGCCCAAATCTCCAGTTTTCACCTTCCCTGCCCCAAGGCCGGGCGAGCGGAACGGCCACCCCGGGCACTCGTCTCCGGGGAGGGGCAGCGGGCATCGGACTGCTCCGTGGGCGCCCGCGACCTGGTCTTCACCCTCCTTTCCCTGGCCCCGGACTCCACACCTGTGCAGTGAACTGCGCCTTCTGTTGTTCGGCCGCTACTAGGCGCTGCAATTCCGCCTCGTCCGCCTCCCCCAGCTCCGCCATTGTCCGTGTCTGCCCGAGCTCTGGCCAGCGAATGTGCGCATGCGCAACGGGGCGCGCGCCCTAACTTCCGGCTTCCGGCGCATAAGGCCCCACCCCCCTTTTTTTTTTTGGCTTTCCCAGTCACGAAGTGGAAGTTGTCGGGATACTGCTTCCGGGTCCGTGGATGACCTTGAGCCCTCAGGAGCAACATGGCGGTCCTCTGGCGGCTAGGTGCCCTCTGCGGTGCCCAAGGAGGCCGAGGTGAGGGGTCCTAGTGAGCGGAGGTGTCTAGAACCACTGCCAGGCGCGGACGAGGGTGCGGAGAGGACGCGTCTGACGGGTGGTGAGGCGCAGGGACACTCCCCGTTCCCGGCGGCCTCTCGCGCCCCTGCGGACACCGCGGCTGTGACAGGCTGCCCGCAGCCCGCCCCGGCGTTCGCTCGGGCGCGTCGCGCGCAGTGGTGGGGTGAGCGGACGCCGCCAGGAGAGTACGGCGCTGCCGAGACTGCCCGTCGGGGTCGCCCTTCCTCTCCCCTTCGCTGTCCCTTGGAGTGTGGGGTCCCGAGCTTCCGGGTCCGTGCCGCGGGGAACTGCTGCGTTTTGAGTGTGAGGAGAGTGTGTGTGTGTGTGTGTGTGTGTGTGTGTGTGTGTGTGTGTGTGTGTGTGTGTGTGTGTGTGTGAGAGAGAGAGAGAGAGAGAGAGAGAGAGTCTGACAACTGTGCGTTTTGAGTGTGAGGAGTGTGTGTGTGAGAGAGAATATGTGTGTGTGTGTGAGAGAGAGATCCTGGATCCTGACAACTGGTGCGTTTTGAGTGTGAGGGGTGTGTGTGTGTGTGTGTGTGTGTGTGTGATAATCCTCGAAGTTAGGCATTCGTCTTGTGAGAGGTGTGTGTGTGTGTGGGGGGGTAATCCTCGAAGTTAGGCATTCATCTTGTGAGGGGTGTGTGGTGTGTATGTGTGTGTGTGTGTGTGTGTGTGTGTGTGTGTGTGATAATCCTCGAAGTTAGGCATTCATCTTGCACCGGGGATGCACATGTGAAAGCAACGGTGCCTGTTCACGTGGAGTTTTCGTTTTTTTATAAAGAAGAAAACCTAGAAGAATTTAACGTCTCAGGGGGCTGGAGCGATATAGTACAGAGGGTAGGGCGTTTGCCTTGCACGCGACCAACCCGGGTTCGATTCCCAGCATCCCATATGGTCCCCCAAGCACCTCCAGGAGTAATTCCTGAGTGCAGAGCCAGGAGTAACCCCTGTGTATCGCCAGGTGTGACCCAAAAAGCAAAAAAAAAAAAAAAAAATTAACGTGTCAGGAGAACTTTGTGTTGGTCTGAGTCTTGGCAGGAAAGGCGAAGGAAGAAGGGCACCACTGTGACCCAGCAGTGATGGGAGTGTAGCCACTACGCGGGATAAACGAAAGCAAACCGAAGCAGCTAATTATTAGAGTTCTGCAGCTCAGTGTGAGGAGAGACATGCATCTGAAAACTTGAGGTGGAATCTAATCACAGACGAACTTGCCTTTTTACTTATTAAGGGCTTGGAGGGTGCAGCCAGCAGCATCCAGGGGTTGGTTGTTCCTGACTCTGTGCTCAGGAATGACTCCCTGGCGATACTTGGGGATGCCCAAGTGTCCAATCCGGATGGGAGAGATGCAGGGCAAACGTATTACGTCCTGCTGCAGAATTTGTCTATAAGGAGTTTGCATTTCTGTAGGTGTGTAGGGGAGCCTTTGGTAGAGTCCACATGGGTCAGTGAGATAGCTCAAAGGTCTGGAGCACATGCTACACTTGTGGGAGCCTCTGGTTAGATCCTCGGCACGATTTCTTGATCCCAGGTCACCGATTCCAAGTGTCCTTACCTCTCTCATCCCCTCCCCTAAAGAGCCTTTTGGCCCAGGTTTGAAGCTTAGATCGACCACTTTGATAGTTGTGTTAGATGACCATCATGAGAAGATGGGGCAGGCCAAGGCCCTAGTCGGGGAAATAAGACAGGATGTAAAAGGAGTAGTTCAGGCAAGAATGGTGATGTTCTGAATTTTATTTTATTTTATTTTTTTTGCTTTTTGGATCACACTCAGTGATGCACAGGGGTTACTTCTGGTTCATGCACTCAGAAATTACTCCTGGCTATGTTTGGGGGACCATATGGGATGCTGGGAATCGAACCCGGGTTGGCCGCATGCAAGGCAAACGCCCTACCAGCTGTGCTATCACTCCAGCCCTAGCTAATTAATTTTAATAAAGGATGTATTTCTTTTTTCATTTGGTTTTGGGCCATACCTGGCAAACTTCAAGGGTTGCTCCTGGCTCTGCATTCAGGAATTACTCCTGGTAGTACTCGAGGGACCATATGGGATTCTGGGGATTGAACCTTGGTTGTGTGCAAGGCAAAGTACCCTACCTACCCCATGTACTATAATAAAAATACATAAAAGAATGTATTTTTTGCTTACAGTATTCAGGTTTTTTGTATCTATAATAAGTTTCCAGACCACGTAGGATATTTCAGCATAGAAGCTTATGAAACAGAGAAATATCTGGGCTAGAAATACATAATTGGGTATTATCAGCTTTTTGTTAATGAAAGGCTTAGGAATCGGAAAACATTTGAAGGTGACAGGTTGGGGAGGTGCCTCAGTGGTTGAAAACTTGCCTTGAATGTGAGAATTTCAATCTTCTGGGTTCATTCTCTGGCAAAAAAATAGGGTGGGGGATGCAGAATGCAGGAGGAGATTGACATTAGATGATCAGAGAACCAAAGAGAGAACTAGAAGAGATCCTTGTCAGAGAAAAGGAAAGAAGAAAGAAAGGAAGATTCCTTATTGCCAAGTAGTGCAGATTTGGTTTAATGAAAAGTGAACAGTATTTGTTGGATAATTTCATGTGGTAGAAGAATGATTGGGAAGCGAGGAAGTAGAGATTATTTAGTCCGTGCTTTAAAGTAGCATAGTTGGAAAGGCAGGAAAGGGCAGAGGAATAGTTCATAGGCATTAGTTTGAGGACATAGGGTCAAGGGAAAGGTTAAGCAGATTACGACAGTCAAGGAGAAATGGCCAATGGGAAGGAAGGAGAAATTAAAGATGACCTTTTGCCAAGTACTTACAATTTTATGAGAATTTTGCTTAGTTCCTTGCATATTTTATTTTCAATGGAATAGTAAGAAATAAGTGTTATCTCCACTTTATAAATGAGAACATTGAAACTTTGAGAGCCTGTTTAACTTAGTCATTTATCATCTCAACAGCTAATAAATGGTAGAGTCAAGTGAACTTATGTCTAATTTTTTTTTTTTTAAATGAAGAGATATTATCCAAAAGGGGGCAGAATGGCTTGGGTTCAAGAGAACAAGTGAAGAAATTGATCTAGAAGAGGAAGAAGTAATAACTGATTTTCCCAAACTGGATCTTTTTAAGGACAAAGGCTTTATCTTTCATCTTTCTTGCTCTGTGCAGGACATAATCTAGTATATGGTCATTTCTTTTGTTTGTTTGCTTTGGTTTTTGGGTCATACCCTGTGGTGCCAAGGGATACTCTGTCTGCTCAGGAGTGACCCCTGGCAGTTGGGGGACCATATGTAGTACTATCTTTCTGGCTCATCATCCTTTCATGTGGTTTGTTTTTTGGGGCACACCCAGCCATGTCAGAGCTTATTCTGACATATGTGGTGTTTGAGATCAAACCCAGGTTGGGTACCTGAAAGACTTATCTGCTGTACTATCCTGCTAGCCCTTCAAATGGTTGTTAAATAGTTGAATAAATGGTATAAAAAGGAGCTGTAATTTATTTTCAAAAGTTAGTGAAAATAAGACCCCTTTCACAAAGTGGTTCTTTTATCTTTAATAACTGACTTCACAATTACTCAGTGAAATACATGGTGTCCTCATTTTACTGATGAGATAATAATCCCTCATTTGGACTTACTGATTGCTTATGGTCATTTAGAGATGTTTCAGTTTCATTTTAAAAAAATGAAATGCAGGGCTGGAGAGATAGCACAGCGGGTAGGGCATTTGTCTTGCACGCGGCCGACCCAGGTTCAGTCCCCAGTATCCCATATGGTCCCCTGAGCACCGCCAGGAGTAACTCCTGAGTGCAGAGCCAGGAGTAACCCCTGTGCATCGCCAGGTGTGACCCCCCCCCAAAAAAAAAAAGCAAAAGAAAAAAAATGAAATGCTTTGGCGGGAGAAATAGCTCCTTAGTCTAAGCACATGCCTTGCCTCCGGAGGCCTGGCTTCAATCCCCAGCACTACATGATCCCTTCATGAGCATTACCAGGACTAGACTCCAGGATTGCTAGGTGTGACCCCAAAACAAAACAAAACTGTTTATGATCATCTTTATGTTTTTTATTTTTCACAGCTCTGTTGCTCCGAACCCAGGTGGTCAGACCTGCTTGTGTCTCAGCATTTCTTCAGGACCCACCTTCTATAAGATATTGTGGGGTGCAGAATATTCACCTGTCTCCCAGCCGCCATGGTATGTTTTCTTAGTTGCTGCTTTCTTGGATCAGAACATCTTCACCTGGCCTAATGATCACTACTTTGGTGGGACTTGGCTAATTAGAGGTAGGGTGGGTGGGGAGAAAGCCTCTTTTGTCCAGTTATGTCAAATGAAGACCTAGTCTAAACTGCATAGATAATGCTAGTATAGTTGAATGATGCCATTTGCACTCAGTTCTCTGGTATGACTTAAATTGAAAAAAATATTTTTTTTAAAAAAGAAAATAGCTCTTTAGGAAAAGCCCATTCACTAATGGATTGCACTGTACTGTCCTCCCGTTGTTCTTCGATTTGCTCGAGCGGGCACCAGTAACGTCTCACAATAAACTGTGAGACTTGTTGTTACTGTGTTTGGCATATCGAATACATCACGGGTAGCTTGCCAGGCTTTGCTGTGTGGGCAGGATACTCTCGGTAGCTTGCCAGGCTCTTCGAGAGGGACGGAGGAATCGAACCCATGGCCGTGTGCAAGGCAAACACCCTACCTGCTGTGCTATATCGCTCCAGCAATTCCAAAAATTGGATTACATTCAATATTTTGACACCAGTCCCACCACCATCACACCTTCCCAACACTTTTATTTTGAATTTCCCACCACCACTCAAACCTACCAAACTGGCAGATACTAGATAATTTATTTGTATTGCCTGCTATGAATAACGTAGGATGTCGTGCTTCCACTCTAGTGGCTGTGTGCTGCTAGAAATCTAAAATTTTAGGTACTTAGGGTCTGGAGAAATCTCTGCAGCAAGCTGCTCGGCTCTGAGATTCTTTTACGTGTCTCTGGATCGTGGCCGTTAATGAGCTTAAATAGTTGCCAAGGCAGGTCATGGATGTGGCATCCAGGGTCCCATGGAGGCGAGAGATGGGAAGGGCCTACACATCCCCCATCCCATGAGGCCTGAAGTTTGCTGTCACTAGTCCCGAGTGAATGAAAAATTTTAGACATTACTAAAATCAGTTGGAGCCAGAGCAATACCGACCCGGGTTCGATTTCAGCATTCCATATGGTCCCCTGAGCTCTGCCAGGTGTGACCTTTGAGTACAGAGCTAGGAGTAAACCCTGAACATTCTCAGGTGTGGCCCCAAAACAAAACAAAAAAAATGTTTTTGTTTCTTTTGCTTTTTGGGTCACACCCGGCGATGCATAGGGGTTACTCCTGGCTCTGCACTCAGGAATTACCCCTGGTGGTGCTCGGGGGACCATATGGGATACTCGGAATCGAACCCGGGTCGGCCACGTGCAAGGCAAACACCCTACCCACTGTGCTATTGCTCCAGCCCCACAAAAATTTTTTTTAATAAGATTTTTCTTCTTAGGCTATAGAGATGGCTCCTAGAGTTGAAGCACAAGCATTGCATGCAAAATGCCTGGGCTTGATTTCCACACTGCATGATGCCCCGGTGCATTTCAGGCATGATTGCAGTCAGTGCGTTAGGAGAAGCCCCTGAAGCACACTGGTTGTGTCCCCCAAAACAAACAAGACAAAATTAGTTTTTTCTGACCTTGATGCCTGGTGATTGCTCCTGGCAACACTCAAGGTACCATGTGGTGCTGGGGATAGAATCTAGCACTCCTGTATGCAGTCCAGACCTTTGAGCCATTTTCCTGGTTCTTTTGAGAATCTTTAGTTGAATTTGAGTTAACAATAGTTCCTCTTGTTCCCCATTTATTATGGTGCTAAACCCGGTGCTGCTCAGGAACTATATCTGACTTGGTGTTCAGCTCTGTGATCGAACCTGGGGCTCCTGCATGTTGAAGCATTGCTTTGTTGTTCTTGCCCTTTGCGCTGTGTCCCTCCAAATCTCCCTAGTCCTGGTGGGCTTGGGGTGGTGATGGGGACTTGAACATAGGTCAGCCACATGCAAGACCAGTGTTATTATCCACTGTATTAATTCTCTGGCCCCTTCATTTTATCTTGGGAGGGTTTTTATATTCTAAAGATGAAGTATAAATAAAAGAAGTATAAAGATGAAGTATAAATAAAAGAATAATTTTTAAAGGAATTTCTCAGATGTCATTAGCTTATGTGTGACTAATTTGTAAGGTCTCTATTACACTGAAGTCGAGGAATGACTTAATTTTACAAAAACACTTTTTTTCCATTTTCTTTTTTTTTTTCTTAAACAGGAATTCACATTTATTAAAATGTAACCTTTTTACTTACACAAAATATCTAGAACACCCATGGATAAGTAGGTGCTTGAGGTTAGGAAGGGATTTGGGGAAAGTGAGTAGGTAACAAAAATGAACATGGATATGGTACACAACTCTTCAGTACATTAAAAACATCAACTGCATACTTTAAATTGGTGAGATTTCTTCCATCTTATTGCCAGTAAGTAGTTTATCTGTCTTCCAAGCAATTCAGATTGGCATTGAGGCACCCTATAACAAAAGAAGGTAGGAAGGGTCTGACAGTACAAAGGGTAGGGTGCTTGTCTTACAGGTTGCTGACCCACTAACATGGTTTTTTGAGTACTGCTAGGAGTGATACCTGAGCAATGCTAGATGTTGGCCCTCTAGCTCCCAAAAAGAAGGGGAAAAATTTATTTTTTTGAAGGGGTCCCCACTGATACTGGGGTTACTCCTGACTATGCTCAGGAATTATTCCTGGTGGTCCTTGGAGGAACATTTGAGATGTTGGGGATCGAACCCGGGTTGGCCGTGTGCAAGGCAAGCACTTTACCTGTTGAACTACTACTCCAGCCCCCGGAGATGGTATATTTCTGCTAGCTTCATATTACCCTTTTAATATTAAGTCTTACATGTATACTATGTGCCATTCTGTTTGGTTAGGTTATTTTCTGGCAATAATTGAATGTGAGAGGCATATTTTTCCCTCTTCAACTCTTATGAATCTGGTCCTTTCTATAGCTGGTTCCAAGGCTGCATCTCTCCACTGGACTTCTGAGAGAGTGGTTAGTGTTCTGCTCCTGGGCCTGCTTCCTGCTGCTTATTTGAGTCCTTGTTCTGCAGTTGACTATTCACTGGCTGCAACCCTCAGTCTCCACAGCCACTGGTAAGTACAGCTCTCTTCAGCATTATGTTGTGTGTTCAGTCTTTGGTGTTTTTATATGTGTGTGAGAGAAAGAGTGAGAGCTTACTAGTTCATCTGAGAGAAAAGTTAATTGTCAAAACCTGTAGAAAACTTGAAAACATATAACGTATCCATCCGCCTGTTTAATGTGCCTAATTAGATCATAAGTTCACTAGTAAATCTTGGAAAGAAATCTGTGTAAGTTATTGAAAAATAAGATCCAAGGAATAATAATTCTATAATAATAGTCTTTATTCCAATTGTCTCTAGATACCTCGTTAATTCTCTGTCCTCTTGACACATACAGATTACTTGGAAGCATTGTTTGGAGTTATACTGTGGTTCTTCAGTGTTTCGTCTATTTAAACCCACACTAATCATACTTTGTCCTAACTACATGACAGTGCTGAGAGCTACACCAGGCATAGCTCTAGGGTTCCATGTAGTGCCAGGGATAGCACTGCTCTCATACCAAAAGATGCACTTCAAGTCTTTGAATTTTCTACCTGTTCCTATTACTTAATTGAAGTCATTCTTCTCAAAGTCACCAAAACCCTTTGTTTTCCTTTTTCTTTTTTGGGGGGGGGGGCGGGGTCACACCTGCAATGCACAGGGGTTACTCCTGGTTCTTCACTCAGGAATTACTACTGGCGATGCTCGGAGGACCATATGGGATGCTGGGAATCGAACCCGGGTCGGCCGTGTGCAAGGCAAATGCCCTACCCGCTGTGCTATTGCTCCAGCCCCTACCCTTTATTTTTCTAAATTCATTTGTCTATTCTCTTTCACTTGTTTGAACTCATGTGCATTCAGATTGATTAATCATTTCCTCCTTAAGTCACTTTCCTAGTACATGAACCCAAATATATACGTGGGTTTGGTTGGTTTTTTTTTTTTTTTTGCTTTTTGGGTCACACCTGGCGATGCACAGGGGTTACTCCTAGCTCTGCACTCAGGAGTTACTCCTGGTGGAGCTCAGGGGACCATATGGGATGCTGGGAATCGAACCCGGATTGGCCACGTGCAAGGCAAGCGCCCTACCCACTGTGCTATCTCTCCATCCCCTATATATGTAGTTTGTTTTCCATCTCACTAGCTGTATATTTTCAGAGTACTCTTGTCTAACTTGTAAACAGTAAAGTTCCCAGATTTCACTCTAGGCCTTCTTCTTTTTTTTTTTTTCCCTGCTTTTTGGGTCATATCCGGTGATGCTCAGGGGTTATTCCTGGCTTTGCACTCAGGAATCACTCCTGGTGGTGTTCAGGGGACCATATGGGATGTTGGGAATCGAACCCAGGTCGGCTGTGTGCAAGGCAAATGCCCTACTCGCTGTGCTGTTGCTCTAGCCCCATCAATCTAGGTCTTTTTAATTTATCTTTTTATGTACTTTTTTTTTTTTTTTGTGAAACAGACATAATCTTGATTTGGTTTTTTAATGATTGAAACAACATTTACAACCGCAGCTTCTGGAAGAACCATTTGTTCTTGCCGGTCTTGTATCTCTCCTTGAACTTGACCTCTCTCCAGGCTTTGCGTTTAAGAGCTGGGTCTCTGAAGACATCCTTGTTGAAGATGGTTTTGTCTAAGGGGATGTCCACAGAGTACCCTGTGGGCAGGAGGTGATTATAGTTATAAACTTTCACAAAAGACTTGATCTTGTACCTTTTGGCGATTTTCTTCTTGCCCATGGTAGCTGTCACTTTGCGGGGTAGCGGTCAATCCCAGCCACCAGGGCATGGTTGTAGGAGCGGTCTGAGGTGCTTTCATCAATGTTCTTCACAATGACCGCTTTGCGTCCTGAGTAGCGGCCCACCAGGACCAGCACCACCTTCCCAGGTTTCATGAACTTGCCCATTTCGACAGCAACCACTTGGGCCTACAGCTGAAAGGAAGCTATGTACTTTTCTTAGGTTAAATCAAATCTGATCTCTTCTGAGCTGCAGGATATTTTTGTGTTTTCCATTGCCAAAAATCATGTAATTTCCCCCAAATTTTCCGTTGATTTCTCTTCAAAACTTTCTTCTCCATTTCTTCATTGATTTATTTAATTAGAGGTAGTTTGTTAAGGCATATATGCTAGGAGTCATTCTAGGTTTGTTTTTGCTTTTTTAAAATCCCACATCCCCATTTATCAGCTTTTTCTCTGAGTATCTTTTCAAAACAAAGCCTGATTGTCATTTCAGAATATCTTCCTGACTTCAGCTTAGATAAAACCAACAGATTTGTATATACTTCTTCAGTCTCCTCCTAAGTGGTTTCTGTTTTTATTTTTACCTTCTCTCCGCTGCCTTCACATTCCATTGGCCACAGTACTGTCAGAGTGACTTTTGGTGGGGAGGGAATGTAGGGGATTCGGCCATTGTACTTTAGATCAGATTAAAACTATTTTGTTTTTATTGTTTTGGATTTTGGCCCAGACCTGGCAGTGCCCAGGGGACCTTATGTGATCCTGGGGACCCATATGTGGTGCCCGGGATCAAATCTTGGTGGGCTGTGTGCAAAGTAAGTATCTTACCTGCTGTACTATCTCTCCAGCCCTCAAACTCTGTTTTGATCTTTACGGTCTTTTGTGATCTGACCCTGCTTTCTAATCTTCTTATTCTCAGTCATAGTATCTTTTAAGTATTCCTCAAAGATGCCAGGATCATTGTCATTTTACTCTGGAATACTCATTCAGGTTGTCCTTTCTAAAATATTTCTTAATCAGACCAGGTGATAGAGCAAATGCTTCACATATATGAGACTGGGCTTGAGCCTTGGTAAACCCTCCAATAAAATGCTTCTTAATTTTTTTATACTTTATACATATATAATATACATGAAGTTTATATGTAAAATTTATGTAATATTTATATCGTATATATTTAAATTTGTATTATGTAGATTTAAATATTCATATTTTCTGTATCCCTCACTAGAATGTATATTCTAATAAGGGTTGGGATGACTACTGTACTCCGTAGCATCATGTGCAGCAAATCCTGGTCCTGTATGTCTGTATAATAAATTCCTTTAGAATTAATGAAAAAATTATGAGCATGTTTTCGTTTGGAAAAAGTGCCTCAAGTTTTATAAATTAGTAGCTATAATCTGATATAAACATTCTATCTGGGACCAGAGTGATAGGACAGCTGATAAGGCATTTGCTGTGCATACACCTGATCTGAGTTTGATCCCTGGCATCCCATATATTTCTCGAGCCCTCCCAGGAGTGATCTCTGAGTGCAGAGACAGGAGTAAGCCCCTGAGCATAGCCAGGTATGGCCCCAAAACCAACACCTCCCAAGTTATATCTGATAAATCTCTTTATTAAAAATGACCAGGAAATTGAAGAGCTTATACATCTTATTTATATTTATTAGTAAACATGACTCCTTCCTTTGGGTTTATAATTTTTATGAATTTCATTTTGAACCTTACTGTTGTTTGCAGCCAGTTATTTGTTTAGCTTTTTGACTTGCAATTTTTTCATTTGTATTGTGATTCTTTTTCTTTAGGGGCCTTGGACAAGTTGTTACTGACTATGTTCCAGGGGCTACAACACAGAAAGCTGCCAAGGCAGGTGTTTTGGCACTCTCAGCTTTAACCTTTGCTGGCCTCTGTTATTTCAACTATCATGACGTGGGCATCTGCAAAGCTGTTGCCATGCTGTGGAAGCTCTGACCTTTTTGACTTGCGCCTTGAAAATTGATTCTACACCTTTTTGCCTCTGCTCTGTCATGCCATTCAACTCACAATAAGGAGGGAGTAGCAGATAAGTTTTTTGATGAGACACACCTCTTCTGATCATCCGATTAGAATTTAATTTTTGAGGAAAAGGTTTGAAAAGAATTATATTTTGTAAAAAATGATGTCAGGGTAAAGTGCATATTTTGAATATATGTAGCCCTGGGTTCAATCTGTGGCACCAAAAAAAGAAGAAAGACACAATTGTGAGACTGAATTCTCTGTTTTGGTGAGTTAATAATGTTTCCCAGCTTCCCATAAGATTCTCATTGTAATCGTTACGGAACATGTGAGCTTTTGTCTTTCAGTTTATCAAACTCTTTAAAGAAGCCCATTTTTGTTATTATCAATATCTAATCAGACTGGAATGATGGGGGGAATGGAAACACTTGTTTCATAAGTAAAGTCTTTGTACACATCTTTTCCCAGCCAAATTATTAGTAAGATTTGGTGATGAAATAAAAAGGAAGACTGCAGAAAATTGGCGATGCTTATAATGTGAAAATACGCCCTCTGTTCCATTGACAGCAGTTAATGATGATTACATGTCTAAGAAGACTTTAAAAGTAGGAGGAAATGCTGATATTTTACATTACTGATTTCAAAATCCCAGGAAGAAGACATTGAAAGCTTCTTAATATATTAAAGTTTCATTTGGAAAGAGGTCTCCATATTAGATGTTATCAAAATATTGTAGATTCTAAATTTGGTCCTCAAATGTGTTTGTTTTATTTGTCCTAAAATAATCTGTCTACAAATATAAAACTCTTAAAGAAAAGTTATTTTCCCATTGGGACTCTTTAATGTGGAAATGTATTCTACCAACATAATTTTATAAAATAAAACACTGTACAACAAAAATGTGTTCTACCATTTCTTATACGAATCTTCCCTAGTTTTATGAATAGAACTGTCTCTTAGTGTAGTCCACAGCACAACAGGACTTTTGTATTTAATTTCCTTATGTAGACTAAGCATAAAGTGTTGTGATAAAAAAGATATAATGTGAAATAGGCAGAAAGATTTAATGTGTAAAAGGCAGAATAGGCAGCATATTATGAGGAGAGTTTTGGAATTTAGTAGAAGGAACTAGAACTAGTTCCAACATGCTGCCTTTGAAATTCAAATTATATTCTTTGTTTAATCTGATGCCAATTAGATATGATAAATAAGTCAAGTTACTCTCCTAGCAATGGAGAATAACTGGGGTATAGAACATTACACTCACCACAGACCTTACTGAGTGGCTGAGACAAACTATTGAAAGGGTGTTGTTTAGAAAGGTAAGTTTGTTCATTGATGTCTATAGGTATTAATGATAAGTCCTGACATGCCCTTTAGGAGTTCATATGTGCATTAAAGGTTTAAGAAGAGATGGTTAATTCTGTTTTAGGGTGGGATAAAGGTTTCAAAAAAAAAGTAAAGCCTGAAGGGCTATAGTATAGCAGGGTAGGGTGTTTGCAGCAGACTGGGTTAGATCTCTGGCATCCACATGGTCATCCAAACACCACTGGAGGTAATTCCTGAGTGCAGAGACAGGAGTAACCCCTGAGCACCACCAGGTATGGCCCAATAATTAAAAATAAAATTAAAAAAGTAATGCTTGTATGGGCTTACTCTGGCACCAGTTTGTCCTGGCGGGGAATATTTTATTACTAATATTATTTCATGATGATGATAAACAGTAAGTTGACCTTTAGTCAATTTCTTTATTACAAAACTTCCTGTAGACAGGAAAGTTGCTATGCATTTTCACCCAACCCCAGTTGGGTGAAATAGGATTTTTCATGTAGTCAAAATGGGAAAGTAGATAAAGACAGGTATCCTATAGTTGCTGCAAATACCACCATTTTCCAGTTCAGTCTGGAAGGATTCCTAATGCCAATAAACTTTATTGGATGACAGTTGCGCGGTAGTACTCCGTTGAAAAAATGGGATAGATTGCTGAATTGTCACTTTAGAAAGTCAGTGAGTTGTGCGAGTGATTATAGCTGTGGCAGGGGCCAACTTACAGCTCTAGGTTTCTGCAGTTAAGCAGGATTTGATCAGAATCAATTTAGGTGATATTGGGAAATAGCTAAGCAGAAGGCAACATAGAGGGAGAAAGAGACAGAAGAAGAACCTGAACTATAATAGGTACAATGGAAAGTGGGAGTCAATTAATAAGGTACTGTGAAAGTTGAAAACTTCATCCTGTAAGTACCTTACAGCCTTATAGAATTGGAACTGTGCCTAGTACTTAGAATAAGAGATAGATATTCTCTGTCCATAAAAGCAATTTAATAATTTAATTGGGGCACCATAAATGATTGCGATACTATGGGTAATAGTTAAGCATAATGTGCAGTGATACAACAAAGGGTGTGATATGAGTTTGATTGCATGTTTCCTGGAAGGGATTCTTGACCTGAGTTCTGAAAGACAGTGAACTTACAGTAGGCCAAGAAACTGGGTGAGGTTTAAGGATGAAGATGATAAACAAGATTGTATATAATATGCTATGAGTGTAGGATAAAGACTGGGTTGTAGAGGATAGATACTTTGGTAAATCATTGAGATTATCTTGAGTACATTCAGTCAGTGAAGATTGTTAATAATGCAACTGTTAGGATTAGATGTTTGTTTTAAAAAAGGTTATGCTAGTGTTGGAGAGAGTACAGGAGGTAATGCCCATGACTTGCAATCGGTGGACTCTGGTTCGAATCCCTAGCACCACCTATGGTCCACCAGGCACTGCCAGGGGTCACTCCCGAGCAGAGCCAGCCAGGAATTGCTTCTGAGTACTGCTAGGTATAAACCAACCAGCATGTACTCTCCTGTTCCCAACCCCCCCCCCCCCCCGCCCATCCCCATAAATAAATTAATAAGAAAGAGGTTATGGTAGTAGTACTTCACATACTGTGTGAAGTACGTGTTTGAAGAAGGTAAGCAAGGAACATTATTGTTCAGGGAGATTATTTCAGTGATCCAGAAATGAATTCTGAGGGCAGTATAACCAGAATGAAGGAAAGAACTTTAATCAGTATTTAGAATTACAGCCAGTGTGAAAACTCATGAGAGGAAGGAGTCTACCTCTGCTCACATTTTGTTGTAAATAAGTGGAGATCTAAATCTTTGCAGGAAAATTAGTATAGTCGTGGAGTGTAGGTTGTTCCTAAAGTTTTGGATTTGTGGAATATTCAAAAAGAGATTCAAGTTGTGGGTTTGTATCTTTGACAAAAAGGCAAAATCAATTTTAGACATAATTTCCTTATAAACATCTTGGAATGTAAATGATAGAACTGTGCTTTCAAAAGAAAATTCTCTTAGGGTGAGAGCTGTAGTACAGTGGGTAAAGCATTTTATTGCACTGGCTGACCCCATTTTCATGCCCCACCAGAAGTGATTCCTGAGCTCAGAGCCTGTAGTAAACCCTGAGCACTAACCAGGTGTGGACCCAAAACAAAAAGATCCTCTTAAGCCAGAACAAAATGCCATGAGGTAGGTGTGAATATGCTCAGGCATCAGTTACCCTGCAGAAGTATCTACTAGGAGTATCTGCTAATTCCTAAGTATCTAATAGAAGTATCTACTAATTCCCAAGTATTTGCTAAAAGTATCTACTAATTCCAGGTGGCTTAGAGTTCTGTTTGGGGCAACATCTGGAAGTGCTCAGTGCTTACTCCTTAGAGCTTACTCCTGGTACTCAGCCGACTTTATGTTATACTTGGGATGAAGTCAGGGTTGAAAAAAGGGTGAGTTAGGAAAAATACTTTCCTGCTTTCCTTTGGAGTTCGCATACTTGGTCTTTTTTAAAGAACTCTTTTGATTGAGGTATTGTGATTTACAATATTGTTAATTATGATTTTGTATGTACATAATTCAACTCTGCACATGTCCCCCAAGGTCGTGGTCCCCCATGGCCCTACCTCCCTTTCATTTCCCCCACACCACTGCCCCAAACTCAGAAACAGGTACATTCTTTTAAACTTGTTAATTAGTGGCTAATCTGATCTAGAAAAGTAGTTCAAGGTATATTAAAATTGTGAGTGTGAAAGAACATAGAAAAAAGTGAAGGATTGGGAAAAAGAGCACAATAAAAATCAGCAGAAAACTGGGTTGTATATATAAAAATGGGGCTGGAGCGATAGCACAGTGGGTAGGGCGTTCGCCTTACAAACGGCCAACATGGCCGACCCGAGTTCGATTCCTCCGCCCCTCTCGGAGAGCCCGGCAAGCTACCGAGAGTATTGGATATGCCAGACACAGTAACAACAAAGTCTCCAATGGAGACGTTACTGGGCCCGCTCGAGCAAATCGACGATCAACGGGAGGGCCTTTACCTTTACCTATATATAAAAATAGATTTTAAGTCAAAACAAGTGTTGTTAAAAACAGGATAACAGTAAAATACATTTATTGTATCGGGGCTGGAGCAATAGTATAGTAGGCAGGGTACTTGCCTTGCAAGTGACTGATCCAAGTTTGATCCCTGGCTTCCCACAGGTCCTCTGAACCCACTAGGACTGATTCTAATGTAAGTCCTGAGCACCACTGCGTGTGTCTTCTCCAATTCACCATTATAATAATTATGGATCTATATGCCCCTGATAATCATAGCCTCAATCCTCTAAAATTAAAATGTGACCATATGTAATTAAACCTGGGTTGGCCACATGCAAAGCAAGTGTTTTTAACCCCAGTGCTGTCTCACTGACCTGCAAAATTCTAAGAGAAAGTATGGGAAATTTCAAATATATTCCTGTATAGAGTGTTATAGGAGGGAAGACAGACTCAATGAGAGAAATGACCAGTATAGTAATAGTAAGAGGCTCTGCGGGGGGAGCCTCAGGGGCCTGAGGTGGCCGATCAGATCCTCAGCCCGCTTGCTCTGAGCACAGCCTCTGGCTCTGCCCTCCTGCCCCCCTGAAACTGCAGCCGAATCTGTGATCTTTGGAGCACCACGGCCAGGAGTGTGCAAACACTGCCCCTACACTGTGAGTCCCAGTGTGCAGAACTGCTGGAAAGTGTGCGAGGACCACTGCCTGGCAAGCCTTGTAACGACACCAGGAGCACTGTAACCAAAGGAGTCAAGCCCAGTGATTGGGATGTGTCCCCTGCAGCTACTACCATCCTCTCCCCTTCATCGACGCACACACGGAAAAGGGAAGAATGAAAAATGACAATAAGATGAAAGAGAGATTAATGGGGGCCGGGGAGGAGGGTGGGGGTCATACCTGGCATTGCTCAAGGTCTCCTGTCTTGGTGCTTGGGGCTTACTCTTGGCAGTGCCCAAGGGGCTTTGCGGTGGTGGGGATCCAACCCCAGGCCTGCATGCAAAGCATGCTTTCAACCTTTGAACTACTCCTCTGGCCCAGGAAGGAAGGATTTGATTGCAGGCAAAGACATCTCACCCGGTGAGCACTGTAACCAGAACATGTGGGAGCATCAGAACTAAATGAGTGCAACCCCCTGCAAGCACCTGTGCAGGAACCACAGCCAGATGTGTGTGACCTCTGGCTATATTGCACCAAAGGGAGTGGGGACTGAAGACCAGCACAATTGTAAATTCTGAAACAAACAACAAAAAAGGCATAGCAGAGTCTAGTCTCAATCTCAGCAAATGTTATCCATGTAATAGAATCAAAGAAATGATAGCACATTTAGAGATCTTCTACCATGCCTTAATGACTGAGATTGTTTTGTTGTTGTTGTTGTTGTTGTTTGCTTATTAACGAGTGTTCAGAAACCAAACCATCACAGACTCCTTCAATTATGACTATAGGTGTTATCAGAAGGGGGGGCTGGAGCCATAGCACAGCGGTAGGGCGTTTGCCTTGCATGCAGCCAACATGGCCGACCTGAGTTCGATTCCTCCGCCCCTCTCGGAGAGCC